ATGCCTGGTGGGGGAGGGCAGTGACCGTCCACTAAGCGCGGCTGCTGGGAACAGCAGCAGCTCCCAGCAGTCGCCACCTGTCTTTGGGCTGCTGGGCTGAAGTGCCAGGCAGGATAGTTTGTCCTTTTTCAGGATCCTGGAGCTGTGAGCCTGGCACAGTGGGTTGTGCCTTCTCGCTGTTTCCCTCCACCACTCGATCCTGTGTCACAGCTCCAGGCTCACCCACGCGCTGGGCCTTCCCCGTGCGGATGTGCAGGTGGGGTTTCTAACAGCCCCAGAGGCCCCCATCCACCCGGTCATCCCTGAGTGGGGACCGCTGGGCCCCACACAGGCCACTTCTGGATTCATAAAGCCAGGAGTTGACCCAAAACAGATCTGGTGAGGCCCCACTGCTCGTGGGGAGAGCTACACAGCCCTGTCTCCTCCCCGCCCCCGGGTGCTGCAGAAACAAGTGGGCATCGGGATCACCAGTTACCGGCCCAGCTCACAGCTCTGCTTCCTGGATTTTCTCCAATAATGTAAACATGTTAATTTTTTTAAAAGATGTATTTACTTTTACTGGAAAGTCAGATATACACAGAGGAGGAGAGACAGAGAGGAAGATTTGTCTGCTGATTCACTCCTCAAGAGACCGCAACAGCAGGAGCTGAGCTGATCAGAAGCCAGGAGCCTCCTCCAGGTGTCCCACGAGGGTGCAGGGTTGCAAGGCTTTGGGTCGCCCTCTGCTGCTTTCCCAGGGCACAGGCAGGAAGCTAGATGGGAAGTGAAGAAGCTGGGATACAAACCGGCGCCCATATGGAATCCTGGCGTGTGCAAAGGAAGAAGTTTCAGCTGCTAGGCTATCCTGCTGGGCCCTAAAAACCAATCTTAGCTTGCAGACTGGACCAGATATCATACATCTAACAAAGGAGTTTTACCACTCAATGACCCAAAGACCACGCAATTTCAACACAGGGCAGGGAACTGGAGTGGGCATTTTGCCAAAGGAGACACACCATCAGGCAATGCCACCTGAAAAGACGTGGGCAGCATTGCTCGTTAAGGACATGCAGTCAAAACCACAATGACACGTCGGCTCAGCACTGGGAGGATGGGTGTATAATCAGAGGATTAAAGCAGCGGGCCCAGCTGCCACTTACAACCATAGCCCATGGCAGTGGCTGCGGGTGGGGGGGGCTGTCCGAGGCCTGGCTCCTCCCTGCTGCCCCAGCTTCTGCCTAAGGTGCCTGGGGAGGCAGTGGATGGAGTGTTCCTACATCACCCCTACGGGAGATGGGTAGGAAGCCCCCATGGTGGGCGTGACCGAGCCCCGGCTGTTGTGGGCACTTGGGGGGCACACTAGCAGATGCAACAGCTCTGTCTTTCCCTCTTTGTCCCTCTGCCTTTCAAATTCACACACAGATAAAACCAACACATCTTGGGGGCTGGCACTTTGGCTCAACTGGTTGATTTTCTGCTTACAAGTGCCAGAACCCTGATATGGGCGCTGGGTCATATCCCGGCTGCCCCACTTTCTGTCCAGTTCCTTGCTTGTGGCCTGGGAAAGCAGCAGAGGATGGCTCAATGCCTTGGGACCCTGCACCCTCGTGGGACACCTGGAGGAGGCTCCTGGCTTCTGATCAGCTCAGTTCTGGCTGTTGTCACCATTTATCAGCGGATGGAAGATATTTCTTTCTGTAAATCTGTGTTCCTAATAAAAACATATCTTAAGTGACGACATGTCTGCACAGTAGCTTCATGTGTATGACAGCAGGTGGGGACCCCCCCTCAGGTGTCCATCACCCTAAATAACCACAGGTCACGAGGCTCATGCTGCGCCGACCCTGCACTCAGGGGCCCCTTCCACTACCCGTTCCCACTCCCTGCTCAAGTGCACCCTGGGAGGAGGCCTGTGGCCTCAACGGCTTGGTCCTTGCCACTACGGCAGGGACCTGGATAGAATTCCTGGCTCCTGGTTTCAGCCCTGGTCCAGTTTTAGCTGTGGCTCTTGCCTAATGCCAACCAGATACTGTGGGCATTTAGGGTGTGAAGCAGCAAATGGTATATGCTCTCTCTCTGTCTCTCTCTCTCTCACACACTGTCTCTGTAAAATTGGTAGCTCTCAAGCAAAAGTAATAAATAAATTATACACAGAAAAAAAGGGTCAAGTAGAGAGGGAGGTCTCCTATCACAGGAAAGATTTCAAGCTGCTGGCATGTGACTCTGCCGTTAAGCCCCCATCTCATACGCACGCCCAGCTCCATGTTAATGAACCCTGGAAAGCAGCAGCAGTTACAGTAACTGCCTGGGCCCTGTCACACCTGGATGGAGTCCCGCCTGGCCCAGCCCTAGCTGTTGTTGGTTTTGGGAGAAATGTGCTGGGCAATGGATTACCGTGCTTTGTATTTTAAGTAAAATTAAAACTTGAAAACGTTAGAAAACACAGAGAAAGTTTTCTCGAGGAAAAAGGCATTTGATCCACAAGATAATGCATGTCTACTCACACACAGCTCGGGTTCAATGCCCAGCTCGGGTTCCAGGCAGACAGCTGATGGGAGCTCTCTGCCTGCCCCTCTGCCTCCGAAAGAAATAAAAAATAAACAAACAAGATAAAAGCATTCTGAAGACCCTGGGTTTGAATACAGATGAAGTCCTGGATAATACCACAGGCAACAGGAACTGTAACGGAAGTGGAGTAGCCAGGACTCAAACCTGCGCCCAGACGGGTGGTCAGAGACTCCACTACATCACAGCACAGGGATGTCCTGCATTTTCACAGCATCTTCTTCCAGCATCCTGACGATCGGATCCCAGGCAAAAGCTCAACAGCTTCCCAAACCCCAGCGGAATAGGGTCCAGAGAAGGCACAGGCCACCTGCTGCAAGTTTTCTCTCCAGAGTCCCCCAAGGAGTTCCAGTGCCTCTTCTCACCCAGTGACCCTGGACAGGCCCAGCAACCACTGTGGAGCCCCCACTGCAGAACCCCAATTGCCTGCCCCCAACCCCGAGATAGCCTGAGCCCCTACTGCCTGCACCTCGACAGCTGAGCACCCACCACGGAGCCCCCACTCCCTGTACCTAGACGGCCCAAGCACCCACTGCAGAACCCCACTCCCTGCACCTCACCCCAAGACAGCCCAAGAACCCAACGCTGCACCCCCACAGCAGAGCATTCACCATGGAACCTCACTGCCAGTACCCCGACAGCCCGAGCCCCCACTGCCTGCACCCTGACAGTCGAGCACTCACCATGGAGCTCCCACTCCCTGCACCCCAACAGCCCGAGCACCCACTCCCTGCACCCCAACAGCCTGAGTACCCATCGTGGAATCCCCACTCCCTGCACCCCAACAGCCCAAGCCTCCACTCCCTGCACCCCAACAGCCTGAGTACACATCGTGGAATCCCCACTCACTGCACCCTGACAGCCCGAGCATCTACCACGGAATCCCCACTGCTTGCCCATCACAGCCTGAAAGCCTGAGCACCCACCACGGAACCCCCATTCCCTGCACCCCAACACTGGAGCACCCACCGCCTGCACCCCAGACAGCCCGAGCGAGGGGGCGGCTTCTCCGGGGAATGTTGGGAGTTGTAGTTTCCGCTCCTTATCACCACGGCCGCCTGGAAAGCTTTCTTAATTATTGACTGAATAAACGGGATCCTTGTTCCCGTTTCCCTCAGGACCTGAGGCTGCTGGCCCGCGACGGGCAGGTCCCGGCCACACCACCCTCCCATCCCTCCCAGCCGGCCCTTACCTCTCCGACGACTCCTCCAGTCCGCGACGCTCTTCCAACTGCGTCTCGACACCGGAAAAGAGCGCTGTTTTCCTTTCTGGGCAGCACTCACTTCCGCCCGGCTAGAAGCGACCGGATGTAGGGCTGCCCCTAGTTTTCAGGCACTTCGTTTGGCTAGGTAAGTTTTCTCTGTCTTTTTTCCTCCCTCCGGAAACGTGAGTCGGAAGCTCGAACGTTCCGGCGTAGCGCAAACGGGCATCTTAGGGCGAACGTTCAGGATGCGGTGGTTGGCATCAAGCAGGGTATACGAGTTCCTGTTGGATGCTCAGGCTTTGGAGTCTTTTCCAGCTCGAGTTTAAGCACTAACTGCGTCCAAGGGTTGCAATGCCCACTTCCTCAAATATAACTTTCGTTGTCTTTGCTGTCTCCAAAGAGACTATTGAGAAGGGATAACTTACTTTATGCAGAAACCCTATCAAAGTTATTGAGCTACCCTGGGGAGACGGGATTTATTGCCACAGCCCCGCCCAGCCATCCCGAGGGCGGGGGCTTTCCGTTCCCGCCTGTTTCTAGTCCTCAGATATCTAGAGATTCTCTTTGTCCTATCTGGACAAAGATAGGAGAAATGGACGGACCCCAGGTTGGAGTAGGGGCAGGAAGGGGGTCAGTGTAGATCCAAGCCTACCCCCAGAGTGCTCCCTTGATGTTTGGAAACTCGACTCCTCACGGCGGCTGACATCCTTAGACCGGTCATCCTAAGGGCCCTTTAAATACTTTGTCCCTTACCTGCTTACCTGAGTCCCGCCCAGGACAGGTAGTCACTGGCCCCGCCCCTTTGCCAGAAACCGGGATCGCTGGGGCAGGTGGCTGGAAGTGGAGTTCCCCTCCTCCCTCTCCCCCCCTTGCCCACCTCCCCTTTACAGCTGGGCACAGCTGGCTGGGGAGGGGCTCTGGTGAAAGAGGAGAGGGCATTGCTCCCCGGGGACCCTGGGCAGGTAAGTGTGTCCCTGGAGGCACATCCTGGTCTGGGGACCCTCAAGTCCTCCTGGCTTCTCTGCACACCCTGTAACCCCTAATCCAGAGATGTGGGGACCAAAGACCCAGAGCCCTAGCCCTTCTCTAAGGCCCTTGGTATGCCTCGTTCCTGCCCTTAGTGTAATCTTTGATCTCTATGGGTGGATGTGGCAATGAGCAGCGAGATGTCAGCGGGAACTGGGAAGGAATGTCATGATGTCATGAATCACCCAAGAGCCATGGGTCCGAGGGCCACCCGGGGACTGCAAGCTCAGGGCATAGAAGATACGAGCCGTTCTCCCCCTGCCCAGCCAGGCACCTTGACTGTCCTCACAACCTGACTCTGAGCATGCCTCGGTCTCCTCATTTTTAGAACAACATCCTAACAGCAGATCCAGCTTCCACGGGTCCACTAAAGATGCCAGGCCACCCCTCCCTGCTGTTGCTGTATGTGGGCTTGGCCTCCTGCCTGGATCCTTCATCCAGGATGCAGCAAGGCCAAGGTGAGTGTCCAGGGACCTGGGCCAGGAGCTGCCCTGCCCTGCCCTTGGCCTCCAGTCTCTCCCCCTTCCTCCCCCAAGCTTTCTCCAATCCCACCCTCAATTTTGTTGGTTTGTTTGTTTCCTGTCACTCATATCTTTGGATCCAGAAGTGTTCCTGGGCCCTCCAGAAGCCCGGAGTTTCCTGGGCAGCCGTAGGCGGGTGCCGAGAGCCAATCGTTGGGACCTGGAACTGTTCACGCCAGGGAACTTGGAGCGGGAGTGCAACGAGGAGCAGTGCTCCTGGGAGGAGGCCAGGGAGTGCTTTGAGGATGACGCTCTGACGGTGAGGACAAGATGTGACGTTCATCCTCCTCTGCCCACTACCCTGGGAAATCAGCCAGGGCTGCCCTAGTGGGAGTGTACCTGTGTGACTCTAACACCGATTCCTTCACCCTGTACCACCTCCAGAAGAAGTTCTGGGAGAGTTACCCCTACAATGGCAAAGGAGGTGAGTGGGGGCTGGTGTAACCCTTCCCGTGGAGGTCAATCCAATGTCTGCTGTCCTCATCCCAACTCTTTCCCTGAGCCTTCTCCATCGAGACCAGAGTTGATGTGGCGGGAGGCACTGGCTGGAGGCACTGGCTGGAGGCACTGGCTGGAGTAACTGACAGCCAACCAGGGCAACTGGGGGTAGGGTGGCTAGGGGAGTTCTGAGGGGCAGCTCACCTGAGTTCTTCTTTGAAGCCCACAGCTCTCCCACCCATTTGGCAGCTTGGTTGCTAGCTGGGCTGCTCCCTAGCAACAGAGCCAGGGAGGAAGCCTGGCTACCCTCGCCTTGCCCAGTGTGCCCACCCTCTAACTACTCCCAGTGGCCGGAGTTCTGAGGCCCCACTGGACTGCAGCCTGGTTGCTAAGGGGGGCTGCTCCTTAGCAACGGGGCCTGGCCAGGCCAGACAAGAGGAAACCAGAAGCCAAGTGCGCTACCTGGCCCAGGTCCCCTCCCCCACAGCCCCTCCAGCCTCCTGCCTGGTTGCTAAGGAGGCCTGCTCCTTAGCAACCACACCTAGCTGGGGCACCCAAGGCGTGCTGCCCACTGGAGGTCCTTTCAGATGTCCCCCCAACACACTGGTGGCCTGGTTGCTAGGGGCAACAGGCCCTACCAAGTTGGGGCCTGAAATATCCTGTTTGAGGTGCCTTTGCTGTCAGCCCCCAGCAGAGTTCATAGGAAACCTGCCTGGGGGTGATGGGCAGCAAGGCTCAGTCCCCTCGCTTCTCCCGGCATTGGAGGCTTTTTCCAAGGGGCCCTAAAGAAAGCCCACCCCCCCATCTTGCTACTGTCACCCTGTGTCCCCCCTCTCCTGGGACGGGAGGCCATGAGCTGCTGGTCCAGCTGTACCTGTGAGCATCAGACCCCCAAGGGTTCCAGGCACTCTTGCATTGTGTTCAGTGCAACTCTGCCAGCTTTGTCGTGAATTCAGGGGGAGGGAGGGGCTGCAGTGCAGACGAGGCAGCGGGGGTCTGCAGTGTAGGAGTTCCCCGCCCCTCTCCCACCCTGTGTCCCCTCCCACCCCTCATTGCTGGGGTGGGGGCTCCATCTCCCCTCTGAGCTGCGTGATGTGTCACAGCCTGCTGGGTGCAGGTTCCAGCAATTCTCAGAGCAGGTGAGGAGGTGGGGTCTGCTGCCTGGCAGGGGCAGGGGGTCCCAGGGTTGGAAGTGGCTCCTCTCAGGGAGCAGGAGACAAGAACTGCGGGGTTGCTGGATTGAGTGACAGTCCCCAAGGCGGTGGCTCGTTCTCCTCTCGCCCCTTCCCCACTCCCAGGGCGCAGACACATCGATGTGGCTGGCCTGGCTGTGGGTCTCACCTGCGGCATCCTGTTCATCGTGCTGACCGGCCTCGGAGCCTTCTGGTACCTGCACTACCATCGGAGCCGAAGGCAGCAGTCCTGTCCCCAAGAGTAAGGGGACTTCAAGGACAAGGGGGTGGGGGGACCAATGCCTCCTGCGTGCTGGACGGTCTCCCCTGACCACCTGACAAAGGCACCTGCTGGTGGTTGCTGGGGGCGGTAGCTCTGTGGTCCAGGCCTAATGGAGGCACGGGACAAGGAGGCGGTTGGGAGGGAGAGGGGTAGAGTGGGCCTAGGGAAGGCAGACAGGTGTGTCCAGGTGCTGGTAGGGAGTGGGCCTGAACTAGCTGGGGTCTGTTGGCCAGACCCTTGGTTCACAGCTCATAGCAGCAGTCCCGGTGCCACCTTGTATGGGGGTGTTTCTGGGATGAAGAGTTGTGGGGCATTTGGAAGCAGCCTGTCTGTTCAGCTCATCCCGCGGGCTTTCCCATGCGGACTGCATCCCTTCCATCCCCAGAGCCGGGCTTATGAGCCCTCTCACTACTCTGAGCCACCTGGACACTCCGACGACGTCCCCGCCTCCACTCCCACCCCCGGGCCTCCCCACCTACGAGCAGGCCCTGGCGGCCTCGGGGGTCCATGATGCACCTCCGCCCCCTTACTCCAGGTAAGAGGCGGAGCTTCTGGGGGAGAGGCGGGCTCTCGGAGTGGGGGGTGGGGCTTGGGATTTGGGGCTCAGCGCGGGGGCGGGGCCCTGCACCACTGTCTGGAGGGGCGGGACCCAGCGTTGCAATGGGAGGTTGATTGTGGGGCGGGGCTCCTGCTCTGAGGGCGCGGGATTGGCTGAGACGCCCGGGGCGGGTTGCAGTGGTCCTGAGTGAGGGGCGTTGGGGCGGGGGGCGGGGGACACGAACGGCCGGATCTGTGGGTCCCCACTGTGCCCCTCCTCTCGCAGCCTAAAAAGGCCTCACTGAAGAGCGGCTGGAGCCTCGGCTTCTCCAACTGTGCCCACCCCCATCGATGCACACTGAATTCCGGAAGCCCACCCCCACCCCCTGGGCCTCCTGGACACAGCAGAGGAGCTGGGTGGGTGGTAGGTGTAGGGGTCATCTGACCCGAGGCCTAGCTTGCCACTTGGTTGCAAGTATGCCCCCCCCTCCCCGCAACAGCGTGCTCCCGCGTACTGGCCGGGGCAGGGCCCCACGCCCCCCTGGCTGCGGGGCTGGTGATGGGACCCTACTCCGAGCTCGGCCGGTGGCAGCTGGCTGTGCAGCTCCCTAGGGTTCCGACCCTCGCCCCCCGCCAGGGTCCGTGGGGGTCCGCGGTGGTCCGCGCACTCGTGTCTTCACGCACAGGGGTGCTTTGCAATCCTGGGAACGAATATGCGTGTGGGGGAGCGTATGCAGGAGCGCCCTCGATGGGGGCAGGTTCACCTTACACCCAGGGCACTGGCATGACCTGTTCTCTTCAATAATAAACCCTGTTGGAACAAGACCCCGAAAAGCTGAAACAATGCAAAGAAATTGTAACAATAAAAATCGAATGATTGCAACGCATTCCCGGCTCCCGGCTCGTCTGAGCGCGCGCGGCGGAGCTGGCTTTCCCTGCCAGCTCTGCGCCCTACACCCCCAGGCCCTGCCGGCGCTCCGTCCCTTTCGCTTGCTCGCGCTCGCTTTCTTTTTTTTTTTTTTTTCTTCTTCTTTTTTTTTTTTTTTTTGCATTTGCACGGGATTGTGGGAGGAAGCGGAGCGCAGCCAGACACCCCGCCGCCCGCCCCCCTTCCCCTCCCCCTCCCCCAGCCGCCTTGTGCAAAGATGGCTGCACCGTGAGCTCCGAGGAGGAGGAGGAGGAGGCGGCGGCGGCGAGAGAGCGAGCACCCAGCGCCTGCACCCACCCCGGGGTGCCCGGGACGCCCCCTCCGGAGCGCGCGCCCCCCCTTCTCTCTTGCAAGCGCCGGGGCAAAGGCGGAGACAGCGGGGTCCCTCCACCCCCCTTTCCCTCCTCCAGGGGGAACCCCCTTCCCCCCTCCTTGGCTCAGCCGCTGCACCCCCCTCTCTTGCCCGCCCCTCCGCCCCAGTCCCTCCCTCCCCCGCCCGGGGCCTTCCCGGGCCTTCGGCGCCTGCAAAGAAAAAAAGCAAGAGAGAAAGAGAGAAAAGGGAAAAAAAAAAAAAAAAAAGCAGCAGCGGAGGGAGCGGCGGCGGAGGAGCGCGCGCGCGCCCCCTCCCTCCCCCTCCCTCCCCCCTCCCCCCAATTTCCACCGCGGCCAATTCATGGACAGGAACTACCCCAGCGCCGGCTTCGGGGACCCGCTCGGCGCCGGGGCGGGTTGGAGTTACGAAAGGTCAGCGAAAGCTAGGTAAGGAGCTGAGGGTGGCTTGGGAGAAAGGGCCCGAGGGGTGGGGGCCCGAGCGGGCCGGGCCGGGCCCGCCCGGCGACGCGTGCATCGCCAAAACTCCCTCTGGTTTGCAAGGGAGCGGCCTCCTCGGGGTTCGTAACGCCGCCGCCGCTGCCGCCGCCGCCCCAGTTTGCAAATTGCAAACTCTGCTGAAGCCAGCTCGGGCAGGCAGAGCGGGGGGGAGTGGGGGTGCACAACAAATTCGCATAGCGAGGTCTCGGGAAGGTGGGAGGCAACCGGCGGAACGAGGCCTGGACTTCCCCCCCACCACCACCATCCCTGGATTCCCAGGCCTGCAGACCCCTCCCCCGCGGTACCCTGGGCTCTGCCCTTGCAAAGGTGGGCAGGAAAGGAGAAGCCAGGCGCCGACCTGGGGCCGCGTACCCCCTTCCCGGGTCCTATTGTTTCGGGACCCAGCAAGGCCGCGCCACTGCCCCCCCAACCACGAAATTCCGCGCGCAGAGTGGGCCCAGGGCCCCGCCCCCTTTCCAAGCTGGGGTTCTGTATGTGTGGAAGATAAGGGGGGGGGGGTCCTGGCATTTCGGACACGCCCCCTTGAGCTCCCCCACCCGCCAAGACGGAGAATCTGTAGTTACTGGGGAGGAGTGGAGCGTGTGTCCTCTGGCGCCTCGGCCACTGGTGGGGGACAGATGCCTGGGAAGAAGTCAGAGGTTTCCCCGCGTGGGTGTGCGTGGGTGTGCACCTCAGCCTGAGCGTGCGTGGCTCCCGGTGTGTTCACTGACTTCCTGGCTGCTCCCCATCCTCAAGCCCTCAAGCCGCCTTACCTAACCCCGGGGAGTCCTCCTCTTCCTTGCCCCCACACCTGGCCCTCCCAGCGCAGTCCTGCGCAGACCCCCGAGTGTATCAGGGTTTGGCACTGCTCCATCTCTTCTTGTCCCCGGCTGAGCTGGGTGCCCCTCTGCACACACCTTCCCTGCTGCTGAACCTCCACTCCGGGGACGTACCGCTTGTCTCTCCCCACCCCTCTCCCACCTCCCAGCCCCTACCTTTTGGGGTGCAGTCTACCTCCTTATCCTGCAACTACCCCATGAAGGTATCCCAGAGATTACGCTTCTTATGCGTTTATGCAAGACGGGGGTGGGCGGGGGCGTACATGTGCACCACCCTGGGGTGGCCCCCACGGCCTTGGTCACCTGTGTGCAGGGAGGGCCCCACAGGCAGGGTGGGACCCTGGCAGTTCACTTCTTTTGCCTTTTTGGCTCAGGATACTTCCTGTGACGTTTCCTATGTATGCATGTTGGTGAAGTGAGACCTACTGGGACTCTGAAGTGAGAACCCCAAATTCCTGAGGATGGCCTCCCTGTCGCCCCCAAATCCCACAGCAGCTCTCTGATCTTGTTCAGAGGGAATCAGCTTGGGGAGGACCCTCTGACGTGTCCCCCTTCTCCCTTCTTAGCTTGGTCTATGGCAGCTCCAGGACATCGCACCCCGAGACGGACATCTTGCACCGCCAGGCCTACGCGGCCCCCCACCCACTGCAAAGCTATGCCACCAACCACCACCCGGCAGGTACAGCCCCTGTGTCCCGCCCCATGCCGCCAGGGCCCGCCTCCCGGCCGAGCTGGTTGGCTGCCCAAAGTTCCACCCCTCCTCGTTGGCCGTGGCTCTGGGTCTTCTCGCCATGGATTGGTCCACCCCTAGGCCTGGCCCTGCCCATTTGGCTGTGTCCCTGAACCCCTTGATTCCACCTCCTCTCTTCCCAGCCCACCTGGGTTCCTGCTCTGGGGTCACCCTATCTTCTGGTCTCCTTGGTCCTTCCCCGACAACACCTGCACCCTCCTCCTGATTGGCTCCCTTCCTCTGGTCCCATCTTTCTCCCCCCCCCCCGTGCACTTTGACCCTGGGTACCCTGGAGGTCTCCTTCATTCCTTTCCTTCCCAAATTTTTCTCTGGTCGATGGTTGCAGCCCAGGGATTCTGAGATTTCCCCTTCCTAGCTACAGCTGCTGCCTCAAGCCTTGACTCTCCTCCCTTCCCCTCCTGCGATACTCTACCTCTTTGCTGGCCGCGTCCCTCCTGGGCTGCCCACCCCAGTCCCATCTGTCCACCTCTCTCCCTTCCCTGTAGCCCTGCCTGGTCAGCCCGGTTCTGCTTACTTCCTCCCCTTTGGGCTTCCCTGCTTTGGGCCTAGCCCTGCCCCTGCCCACACTTGGGCTGACTCTGCCCCTGTCCCTCGGCCAGGCCTCTCCGGGCTCTTCGACGCTGGCCTCCACCATGCGGGCTCGGCAGGGCCCGACGCCTCCGTCATGAACCTCATCTCAGCCCTGGAGTCCCGGGGCCCACAGCCTGGCCCCTCTGCCTCCTCTCTCCTCTCCCAGTTCCGCAGTCCCTCCTGGCAGACAGGTAAGCCCAAGCACTTGTGGGGAGCCCCGGAGGAAGGGAGCCGATGGGTGGTCTGTTCTGACCAGGCAGTGGCCTTCTCTGCCCCTACCCTCCCAGCTATGCACACGCCAGGCCCCACGGAGCTGTTCATCTCGGGCGCCCTTCCAGGTTCCAGCACCTTCCCGTCCTCCTCGGCCCTGTCGGCTTACCAGCACCCGGCATCCTTTGGTAGCCGCCCTTTCCCGGTGCCGTCATCCCTCAGCTTACAGGACCCTCCTTTCAGTCCCCCCGCCAATGGGCTCCTATCCCCTCACGACGTGCTGCACCTCAAGCCTTCCCAGGCGCCCACCGTGCCCTCCTCTTTGGGCTTTGAGCGCCTGGCAGGGAGTGGTGTCCTGGGGCCTGCTGGGCTTGGTCCAGCACAGACACCTCCTTACCGCCCTGGCCCCCCAGACCCACCTCCACCTCCCCGCCATCTCCCGACTCAGTTTAACCTGCTGGCTTCCTCCTCCGCCGCTGCGGCTGCTGCAGCTGAGCAGTCCTCCCCCCAGCTCTACAATTTCTCAGGGGCTGCCCCGGGTCCCCCGCCGCCGGAGCGGGCCCTGCCCCGCCAGGATACGGTCATCAAGCACTACCAACGGCCTGCCAGCGCCCAGCCCCCGCCGCCCCCCGCCCACGCCCTGCAGCACTACCTGAGCTGTGGCGGCAGCTACCCCTCCATGGGCCACCGAGCCAACCTGGCCTGTAGCCCCCTGGGTGGGGGAGAGCCCTCCCCGGGCGCTGGCGAACCCAGCAAGGCCGGACCCACCGGAGCTACCACCGGGGCTTCTGGCCGAGCCACCGGTCCTGATGCGGCTGGCGGAGGTGGGGCGGGAGGCGGTGGGGGCGGCTACCGCCCTATCATTCAGTCTCCTGGTTACAAGACCGGCAAAGGTGGTTATGGAGCAGCGGCAGGAGGCGCCGCCAGACCCCCGCCACCTCGCTCTACCGCCACGCCCAAATGCCAGAGCCTGGGTGGACCAGCAGCCGCCTATGCCCCGGGCAAGGCTTCTGGGGCTGGTGGAGCTGGGGGCCAGGCCTATTCCCCCGGCCAGCCTCAGGGGCTGCTGGGACCCCAGGCCTATGGGCAGGGTTTTGGAGGTGGGCAAGCACAGGACTTGAGCAAAGGCCCTGGCTACTCAGGGGGTCCGCCACAGCCTCCCAGCGGCCCTCCGCCCCCTGGACTAGCCACTTGTCAGAGCTATTCCCCAGACCAGCTGCAGGGGCAGCTGTACGGGGTACAGGGAGAGCCGTACCCCGGACCAGCTGCACACTCTCAGGGGCTACCCACGGCGAGCCCCTCGCTCAGCTACAGCACTGGCCATTCCCCTGCGCTCTCAGGCCACGGGGGTGGCTGGGGACCCAGCTCCCTGGGCGGTGGTGATGAGGCCAGCCCATCCCACATTATCCGCCCGCTCCAGTCCCCACCTGCCACTGGCCGCCCACCTGGAGTTGGCTCCCCTGGAGCCCCGGGCAAATACCTGAGTTCTGTCTTGGCCTCAGCCCCGTTCCTAGCGCCCCCAGGGGCCGGCAGCTATGCCACCGGAGCAGGAGGCTACAAGGGCAAAGGTGATGGCTCAGAGCTGCTGGCGGGCCCTGGTGGGCCACCCGCTGAGCGCACAGAGGACGAGGAATTCCTCATCCAGCATCTTCTACAGGCTCCCAGCCCACCTCGGACCTCGGGGGCCGATGGCCTGGTGGGCGAGGACGGGTCGGCAGATGCCTCCAAGGGACTTGGGGGGAGTGGTGGGGCCAGGGGGCCGCCAGGCACGCCCTATGAGTTGGCTAAGGAAGACCCGCAGAGGTACCACCTGCAGAGTGTCATTCGCACCAGTGCCAGCCTGGACGAGGGCGCCACCGCTGCCCTGGAGCTGGGCCTGGGAAGGCTGAAAGAGGAGAAGAAAGGTCCTGAGCGGGGCGGCGAGACCCCCGAGGGGCTGGCCACCTCGGTAGTCCACTACGGAGCTGGTGCCAAGGAGCTGGGGGCATTTTTGCAGAAGAGCCCACCACCACCACCACCCTCAGCTCAGCCCACGCAGCCCACCCCGCATGGCCTCCTCCTGGAGGCCGGGGGTCCCAATCTCCCTCTGGTGCTCCCGCCACCTCCCCCACAGCTGCTCCCCTCTGTCCTCAGCCATGCCCCTAGCCCCTCCTCCAGCGCCCCCAAGGTCGGTGTCCACCTCCTTGAGCCAGCCACCCGAGACGGGGCACCCCAGCCACCACCACCTCCACCACCCCCACCCCCGCCACCCATGCCCCTCCAGCTGGAAGCCCACCTGCGCAGCCACGGCCTGGAGCCTGCCGCCCCCAGCCCTCGCCTGCGACCAGATGAGAGCTTGGAGCCGCCAGGTGCCATGCAGGACCTGCTAGGTGCCCTAGAGCCGCTGCCCCCAGGGCCTGGTGACACTGGTGTGGGCCCACCCACTTCAGAGGGCAAGGACCCAGCAGGCGCCTACAGGAGCCCAAGTCCTCAAGGCACCAAGGCGCCCCGCTTTGTGCCCCTCACCTCCATCTGCTTCCCCGACTCGCTGCTCCAGGATGAAGAACGCAGCTTCTTTCCCACCATGGAGGAGATGTTTGGGGGAGCGGCAGCAGATGACTATGGCAAAGCAGGGCCACCTGAGGATGAGGGAGACCCCAAGGCGGGTGCTGGGCCTCCTCCAGGTCCCCCCACCTATGACCCATACGGGCCCTACTGCCCGGGTAGGGGAGCTGGAACCGGGGCTGAGACTCCAGGCTTGGGCCTGGACCCCAACAAGCCCCCGGAGCTGCCCTCCACGGTCAATGCCGAGCCCCTGGGCCTCATACAGAGTGGCCCCCACCAGGCGGCTCCACCGCAGCCCCCGCCACCTCCACCACCTCCTCCACCACCCCCACCAGCCTCGGAGCCCAAGGGTGGCCTCACCTCGCCCATCTTCTGCTCGACTAAGCCAAAGAAGCTGCTCAAAACATCCTCTTTCCACCTCCTACGCCGCCGTGACCCACCCTTCCAGACACCCAAGAAGCTGTATGCCCAGGAGTACGAGTTTGAGGCAGATGAGGACAAGGCTGACGTCCCAGCAGACATCCGCCTCAATCCCCGGCGCCTGCCCGACCTGGTGTCCAGCTGCCGCTCTCGGCCAGCCCTCTCGTCCCTGGGCGACATTGACTTCTGCCCGCCCAACCCAGGCCCTGACGGCCCCCGGCGCCGAGGACGCAAGCCCACCAAGACCAAGCGCGATGGTCCTCCCCGGCCACGCGGGAGACCCCGGATCCGTCCCCTGGAGGTTCCCATGGCCACCAGTGGCGCTGGGCCAGCTTCAGCCTCCACAGCCAGCGAAGGAGCCAAGAAGCCCCGGGGCCGGGGTCGGGGTCGGGGCAGGAAGGCTGAGGAGACGGGGGGTTCCCGGTTGGAGCCCTTGAAGCCACTGAAGGTGAGGGTTGGGGGCACCTGACTCTTAGGAAAGTGTTGGTGGGTTGAGGGCTTGGGTCTGATCTTGCGGGGTTCACCAGGAGCTAGGATCACACTTGGCCTGGCTGCAGTTTGGGCTTTTAGGTCCTAGATCTTAAAAGAATGGCTGAGCAGGCATCCCACCTGCCTATGGGTGGGGTGTCTAGGGAGCTCAACCCCAGACTGGGCAAAGAGGGAAAGCTGATGGAAGATCCAAACCAGACAGGAGGGTCCTGGGTGTAAATTTTAGGCATCCGCGAATGGGAATGTGAATTTAATTTTGGGAGGAAGGGAGGCACACCTTCTGGGCCCTTAACTCCGCACTGCTCCCATATCTAGATCAAGCTATCTGTGCCCAAGGCCGGCGAGGTGCTGGGAGCTACCTCGGGTGACACCATCCCCGGCACTGACCACAACAGTCTGGACTCCAGCCTGACGCGGGAGAAGATCGAAGCCAAGATCAAGGAGGTGGAGGAAAAGCAGCCGGAGATGAAGTCGGGTTTCATGGCCTCCTTCCTGGACTTCCTCAAGTCAGGCAAGCGCCACCCGCCGCTCTACCAGACAGGCCTGACGCCCCCGCTCAGTCCCCCCAAGAGTGTGCCACCCTCGGTGCAAGCCCGAGGCCTGCAGCCCCAGCCGCCCACCGCCCCCCCTGCTGTGCCACACCCCCAGCCTACCAGCGCCTTCGGGCTTGGGGGCGCCCTGGAGGCAGCGGAGAATGAGGGCCTGGGGCTGGGCTGCCCATCGCCCTGCAAGCGACTGGATGAGGAGCTGAAGCGCAACCTGGAGACACTGCCCTCCTTCTCCTCGGACGAGGAGGACTCTGTGGCCAAGAACCGGGACCTGCAGGAGAGCATTTCCTCCGCCATCTCAGCCCTGGACGATCCCCCCCTTGCCGGACCCAAGGACACTGCTACCCCAGACGGGCCTCCCTTGGCCAATGCAGCTGTGGTCCCGGGACCCCCGCCTCTTCCCGGGCTCCCGAATGCCAACAGCAACGGCACGCCCGGTGAGCTCTGGGGGAGATGGGGTTGAGATTTTCGGTGGTTGAGAATGCCAGAGATGGCTGTGCCCAATATGTTCTGTGCAAAGGGGTCCTATGGTAGGTGATGCAGACTCAGCTTGCTTCTGACAGAGGGCAAACAAATGTTGGTGGGCAGGTGCATTGTTTTTTGACTCACATGGATGTGAATAAGCAAGTCCAGGGCGGGTGGCAGGAAGTAAGGAGGGAAATAGGGCAGGTTGTAAGTGATAATGTGAGAGTTTGGGTCCCAAAACAACTCTTAAGGAGTTAGCTGTGAGTGACAAGGGACAGGAAGACGGGGGTGGGGAGGAGACGGTGGTTGGGGTGCAGTGGGGAAAGGCTGGGGACCTGGCCTAATCTGGGTGACATGTTACATGGATCTGGCAGTGGACAGGGCTGCTGGTGATTTGGTGGGTGGGACAGGTGCTGGCAGGGGGCGGGGGGCTCAGAGGTCGGAGAAGGGGAAGGCTGAGCAAAGGCAGCTGAGAAAAGAGGACGAAGAACCCTGGGTTCCAAAAGGAGAGCTAGATCAACAGCTGGACAGGTCAGGGAGTGGGAGAGGACCGAGGGCTGGAGGGCAAGTGACTTTGGGGTTGGGAAGGGACAACCGGCAGGGACAGGGCCTGGGTGGCTCCAGACCTGGGGACTAAAACTCAGCAGGTACAAGAGCATTAGGAATGGGGGGCGGGAGGATGTGGAGGTGACAGAAGGGTTGCTGGGGGTTATGGTCGCAGGAGACTGAGGACCGGGGTGGTCCTCAAGGTGCCCAGACCTTATGCTGCGCTTCTCCCCAGAGCCCCCGTTGCTGGAGGAGAAGCCGCCACCCTCCCCGCCTCCTGCGCCTCAGCCTCAGCCTCAGCCTCCTCCGCTGCCGCCACCCCCACCGCCAGCCCTACCCTCACCGCCACCCCTGGTGGCCCCCGCAGCCAGCTCGCCGCCTCCACCACCACCACCTCCACCGCCCCAGCCCCAGCTGCAGCCGCAGCCGCAACTCCAAGCACTGCCTCAACCGCAGCCACCACCAGCCATGCCTGCGTCCCCGACCCCGCCGCCGCCGCCACCACCTCCACCACCACCACCTCCGGCGCCCCCAGCCCCACCTGCCGCCCCTCCCGAGGAGCCCCCTGCACCGTCCCCGGAAGACCCCGAACCACCCGACGCGCGGCCCCTGCACCTGGCCAAGAAGCAGGAGACTGCGGCCGTGTGCGGGGAGACGGACGAGGAGGCCGGCGAGAGCGGTGGCGAGGGCATCTTCCGCGAGCGCGACGAGTTCGTCATCAGGGCTGAAGACATCCCATCGCTCAAGGTGAGTCCCAGCCTCTGGCTCCTGCTGTAGGGTCGCGGGTTGATGCTGTGCAGGTGGCAGGGCCTCCCGCAGCCTGTTGGTGTATGTGTGGGTAAGTGTATCTGCTCAAAGATACATTCTGAGAAGGCCGCAGGTGTTGAGGCCCTGGAAGGGTCTAGCACTTAGAGACCTGCGTGTTGCAAGCCATGGAACCCTGTTTGTGGGCGGTGGCTGTGGGGCAGCCGCTGACAGTGATGGTTAACATGTATCCCAAGCCTCTGTTGCAGCAGCTACAGTAGCGAACCATGGGGGTCAGTCCAGCCAGGGATACAATGGGGCGAGCTGGCAGAGATAGGCTGCCTTGTTTGTGCCATCCTAGTGGCTGGTGGCTGGCGAACTTAACACGTGGGAAGGTTGAGTGTCAGACCATCCATCCGACTGACCATTTCCAGTTATACTTCTGTGGGAATTAGCCCTCCACCTGTTTTTTGCAAATAAAATGTTACTGGGCACATAGCCACCATCTTTCATTTATGCATCATCTGTGGGTTTGTTTATTTATTTATTCAATTTTACTTATTTTGGTGAGTTGGTTCATTAGGTCAAATGTACCATCTTGCCCATTATGCAGGCAGTATGATCTGTGTGGTGTTCGACTCAGGGGACAGAGTTGTGTTGGGTCAATGGGCTAGGCTGACGATTGAGGGTGGGTAACATCAGATGCATGGGTAGGGCCCAGTACAAGTGCGTGGGGGGTCAGCAGGACATTGCACTTGCTGGTGGCACCCACGGCTGGGCTCTGTAAGTCACCCTGGGTGACGAGGCACAGGCAGAGTCGTGCGTGATCGCTATTTGTGCGATCCAGGATTTGGTTTCTCCCGAAATGTGCGTGGGAAAAACTGAGCAATGAGTCATCCGTGAGGATACTTCTACGATGCTCTGGTCTGAACGGAGGGAGGGATGTCGGGGGCCCTGCTGTATTTTCTTCCTGTGTTATCATTCTTCATCTGTTTTGTTGTGGGCAAAGTGCAGCAGAGAGGAATGGAATCATATGTGCCCATTTCTTTATTTGTTTTTAAATATTTTATTTATTTATTTGAAAGTCTACAGAGAGAGAGAGAGAATATCTTCCACCTGCTGATTCACTCCCCTATTGGCCACAACAGCTGGGGCTAAGCCAACTTGGAGCCAGGAGCCAAGAGCTTCCTCCGGGTCACCCACATAGGTGCAGGGACACAAACAGTTGGGCCATCCTCAGATGCTTTGCCAGGCGCGTAGGCAGAGAGCTGAGTTCACAGGAAAGGGCTCTAACAGCTCAGAAGTCTGTGCCTTTAGCACCAGGCCCAGCCTGTCCTGGGACAGCAATAGCCATGGGAGCTGCCACCCCGGCTGGTCACTTAGCATCAGGCCACAGCAGCAGGAGTCTGGGATGGAGATCCTCTGTTGCCACCCCCCCACGCCCATATTATAGATGCGGAAGTTCACTCTGTTGGCGGGGCCCGTGCTGAGCTGGGACTAAGGCCAGGGCTATCTGACACCGCTGCCCAGCTGGCACGGGTAGGGGAAGGGATGGGTGAGGATTTAGATGCTTAAAATACAACTTGAGCGTGCCACCCGTGCACATGTGGAGTGCTCACGCAGGGAGCCCAGAGGTGGGGCCGGCTGGCCACATGGTCTTGAGCCCCACTTTTGGTGCTCAGCAGATTGGATCGAATCCTGGCTTCTCATGAACTGGACCTCAGCTGGCTGTACTGCCAAGTGAAGTTGGGCAGCTCAGCGTTTCCCTTGCACGCAGCTGGTCACTTGTCACAGTAGCCCGTGGCTTTTTGCCACTGCCATTCTGCTGGCTGCTCTCGGGCCAGTCTGGAGCCTCAGGCTTGGGCAGCTTTATGTAGAAGGGGCTACAAACGAATTCAGGCTTTGGGGTGATAGGAACAGATGCAGGCAGAGACATAGGAACATTTTAAAGATTTGTTTCTATTGGAAAAACAGATTTACAGAAGGAAGGAGAGACAGAAAGATCTTGCATCTGCTGGTTCATTCCTAAAATGGGGCTGAAGCTGAGCTGATCCAAAGCCAGAAGCAAGGAGCTTCTTCTGGGTCTCCCATGTGGATACATGGTTCCAAGGCTTTGGGCTATGCTCCACTGCCTTCCCAGGCCACAAGCAGGGAGCTGCATTGGAAGTGGGGCTACTGGAACTCGAACTGGTGCTTATATGAGTATCTGCACTACAAAGCAGAGAATTAGCCTATTGAGCCATCAGCTTCCCCTCTCAGAAGTGAACTTTTTTCCCCCAATTTTGTTTTTATTGCAAAAGCAGATCAGATTTAAAGAGAGAAGCAGAGAGGGACCAGTGTGGTAGTCTAGTGGCTAAAGTCTTTGCCTTGAATGCTTCGGGATCCAATATAGGTGTTAGTTTTAATCCTGGTAGCCACACTTCCCATCCAGCTCCTTGCCTGTGGCCTGGGAAAGCACTCAAGGACAGCTCAAAGCCTTGGGATCCTATACCCGCATAGGAGACCTGGAAGAGGCTCCAGGCTTCTGCCTTCAGATTAGATCCACTCCAGCCGTTGTGGTCACTTGGAGAGTGAATCAACAAGAGATCTTCCTCTGTCTTGCCTCCTCTCTGTGTATCTGACACTCCAATAAAAATAAATAAATCTTAAAAGAGAGAGAGAAGCAGAGAGAGGAAGATCTTTCATCCATCGATTCACTCCCTAAGTGGCCACAATGGCCAGAGATGAGTCAACCTGAAGCAGGGAACCAGGAGTTCCTTCTTGGTCTCCCACACAGGTGCAGGGTCCCAAGGCTTTGGGCCATTCTCTGCTACTTTCCCAGACTACAAGCAGGGAGCTAGATGGGATGTGGAGCAGCCAGGATACATGCCAATGCCCACATTGGATCCCAGTGTGTGCTTGAGAATTTAGCCATTGAGCCATCACCCTGGCACGAGAAATGAACATTTTAATATGTCATGTGGAAAAAGAGAAAGCCACTGAGGCATTTGGCATTGGGTTTTGTGTGCTGACTCTGGGAATCCTCGTGTCTGTTGTGCCCTGGGAAAGCATACCCACGACACTGACTGCTTGTCTGGCTCCAGAGGCTTGCAGGGCCGCCACAGTCGGGCATGGACACTGCAGGGCTAGCTTGTTCCCTGTTGCAGCTTCCATGGCGATGATGTACGAGGGGCAAGGGTGACTCCATTCTTGGGTTACGTTGAAGATTCTGGGTGGAGAAAGTTTTGGAGGACCAGGATGGCAGACCCTGCAGTGGGAAAAACTTGTGCAAAGGCCCTGTAGCAGAGAGGGCATCACATGAGTGTGGGGCGGGTGTGCGATGCATAGATCTGAGTGGCTTGCAGGAAGGGGGAGGTAGGGGCCAGGTCCTGTAGGATTTGGGGTGTCACATGGATGGGTGTCTTTGTGAGTGCTGTTATGGCCCCTGGCCAGTGAGGAAGGGTGTGGGGCTGCAGGGGGCATGCGGTCCCTGGCTTCTGTCATAGGACTCACTTGTGTTCAGGGACCCTGTAGCTCTCATGCCTATGTGGGTGCCCTAGCTCTCCACCTCCTGTTGCTAAGGTGTCTGATCTGGTTGCTGCTCAGACTCTCAGGGTGGGATCTGATTGGCCAGGTCTTTCCCCAATCAGCCGCAGCGTCCCTCAGTAGTAGAGGCTGCGGGTAGGGATTGGGGATGTGATTGGCATGAGGTGTGGGCGGATGAGCCGAGACAGGAAGAGCGGGGCTTGGGTACTGACTTGGGCCTTGAGGAGAGATCAGGCTAGGGGGATGCTGGGGCGTCATGTAGGACCCTACAGGAAGAGTGGTTTGGGGGATGAGAGAAACCAAGGGGGTCTGACCCATCTGCGAGTCAGTAGGAGGGGTCCTTGGAAAGGCAGCAGGAGAGTGGGAGGGCCTAATGAGGGGGTCCCCAGTGCTGGAGAAGGTACTCTAGTGGCCTCACCTAGAGCTTCTGAGAGCCACAGCTTGGAGGGGGCACCCACGTTTCACAGTCTGGGCTTGGGGTAGCTCTTGTGGCACATGAGTTAAGGTGCCTACAGCCACATCCCCATGTTGTAGTGCCGGGGGCCAAGGTCCACATCTGCCCCTGCTTTGGATCTGCCTTCCTCCCTGTCGATGGGCACCCTGGGAGGCAGCAGGTGGTGGCTCAAGTGCTTGAGACCTGGATAGCGTTACAAACCCCTGGCTTCGGAGCTTCAACAATCCTGGGTGCTGTGGGCATTTAAGAAGTAAACCAGCGGGCCCGGCGCGGTGGCGCAAGTGGTTAAAGGTCCTCGCCTTGCACGCCTGGGATCCCATATGGGCGCCGGTTATAATCCCGGCAGCCCCACTTCCCTTCCAGCTCCCTGCCTGTGGCCCAGGAAAGCAGTCGAGGACGGCCCAAAGCCTTGGGAACCTGCACCCGTGTGGGAGACCCGGAAGAGGCTCCTGGCTTCGGATCGGCATAGTATCGGCCCGTTGCGCTCACTTGGGGAGTGAATCATCGGACGGAAGATCTTCCTCTCTGTCTGTCCTCTCTGTATATCCGCCTTTCCAATAAAAAAATAATAAAAATAAATCTTTAAAAAAAAAAAAAAGAAGTAAACCAGCAGATGAAAGATTTGCTCGCTCTCTAAAGAAAAGTGAATGAGTGAGCATTACAAAAAAGCAGTCTGGGTTTGTATACTGAGCTTAGAGGCCCTGGGTGAGCTGCTGGACAAGGTGTGTGGAAACTGAGGCACAAATCTCCTTTGTATTGGGCCAGAGAATCTGCATTTGAGGCCTTGGAAGCTTCCGGAAGAGGGCAAGGGTGAGGTCTCAAATGGACCTTTCCAGCCTCGGGCCTCCAACCTGCAACCTTGGTCATGACCTAATTGATCTCCCTACCGTGGTCATCAGTTGGGACGACCGGCCCAGTGGGAGGACTTTGTGGGAAGGACTGCAGCCAGGGTGCTGTCTGCACCATTGTCTCACCGCTGGCTAGTCCAAGCCTTGAGAAATATTGAGGGTCCAAAAACAAATTGCCCCAGACCAATAGTAGATATACCCAAAACTATGGCATTCAGCCTTCCCCTTGTTGTAGTCTATGCCGGTGGCAGACATTACTGATGGTCCTAGTACTTTCCCAGGACAGCACGGCCAGTGGATTCAAGGAACATCTGTTGAGCACTTGGCTGTGTCCTTAGACTGCATGAGCTGCCCCTCCCTACACCCCTGGGTGGTCCCTCCGCGCATTATACACTGTCCTCTCTGCTCATCACTTCTCCCAGGAAGCCTGGATTCAGAATGAATTGTCACAGTGTCTGGAGAGGCCAGCAGGGCCTGTTCACTTCCTGTCCCCTTATGTTTTGTGCCTCTGTCTGGTGACATACCTTTCCCTTCACCCTTGAAGCCCCCAAACCCACGTGGGAGAGCTGAAAAAAGCTCCTTGCTTCAGTCTGCTGGAGCCCCAGCCATTGTGGCCCTTGGGAGAAGTGAACCAGTGCAGGAGAAGCCTCTCTTTCTATAACCCTGTTTATTTGTTTTGTTTTATTTTTTTGTTTTTTATTTCTAAAGAGTTAATTGGTTTTATCGGAAAGGCAGATTTACAGAGAAGGAGAAACAAAGATCTTCCATCTGCCGGTCCACTCCCCAGGTGTCCACAACAGCTGGAGTTAAGCCAACTCAAAGCCAAAAGCTGGAAGCTTCCTCTGGGTCTCCCATGTGGGTGCAGGGTCCCAAGGCTTTGGGCCGTTTTCTTTTTTTTTTTTTTATTGTTATTAACATTGTATTATGTGATACAGTTTTATAGGCACTGGGGATTCCCCCCACCCCTCCCACATCCTTCCCCCCGTAGTGGATTCCTCCACCTTGCTGCATAACCTCAGTTCAAGTTCAGTTGAGATTCCTTCATTGCAAGCATATACCTAGCATAAAGTCCAGCATCTTATTGTCCAGATAAGTTCAGTGGCCTCTTGGGGAGACCTTCTCTGGTCTGAAGGTAGAGCTAACACAGTAAAGTTCCGGTCAGTTAAAAGCCCCAACAAAACATCAGCATCAATATACAACGTTATGGAATTAATTGACATAGTATTGAGTAAAAAATATGTTAAAAATAATGCATGTTCAATTCTTCAAAGCATCTAGGTTGAGACAGTATCAATGACAGGTTTGGGCCGTTTTCTACAGCTTTTCCAGGTTGCAAGCAGGAGGCTGTGTGGGAAGTGGAGCAGCTGGGACACAAACTGGTGCCTATATGGGATCTCAGAATGTGCAAGGCGAGAATTTAGCCACTAGGTCATAGCTCATGGCTCTCTGTAACTCTGCCTTTCAAATAAATACACGTTTAAAAAATTTTTTTTTTAATTGGAAAGGCAGATTTACAGAGAGAAAGAGAGACAAAGCTATTCCATCTGCTGGTTCACTCCCCATGTAGCCACAATGGCTGGAGCTGAGCTGAACTGAAGCCAGAAGCCAAGAGTTACTTCTGGGTCTCCCACATGGATGCAAGGCCCAAGGTTTTGGGCCGTCCTCTACTGCTTTCCCAGGCCACAAAAAGGGAGCTGAAAGGGAAGTGGAGCAGCAGGGGTACGAAGCAGCACCCATATGGAATCCTAGCCCTTGCAAGGCAAGTACTTTAGTCACTAGGCTACCGTGCCAGGCCCATCAAATAAGTTTGTTTGTTTTTTAAGATTTATTTTTTCTAAAGATTTATTTAGAAGGGAAGGGAAGCGGGGCTGCCGGGATTATAACCGGCGCCCATATGGGATCCCGGGCGTGCAACGCGAGGACCTTAACCACTTGCGCCACCGCGCTGGGCCCAAGATTTATTTATTTTTATTGGCAAGGCAGATGTACAGAGAGTAGAGACAGAGAAGAAGATCTTCCATCCGATGGTTCACTCCCCAAGCAGCCGGCCACAGTGGCTGGAGCTGAGCCAATCCGAACTCAGGAGCCTCTTCAGGGTCTCCCACGCGGGTGAAGGGTCTTCCCTGACTGCTTTCCCGGGCCACAAACAGGGAGCTGGATGGGAAGTGGAGCCGCTGGGATTAGAACTGGCCACCATATGGGATCCCGGCACGTTTAAGGTGAGGACTTTAACCGCTAGGCTATCACGCCAGGCCCCTATCAAATAAGTTTAAAAAAAAGTTTTTTGGGTCTAGCATGGTAGCATAGTGGCTAAAGTCCTCACCTTGCATGCCACAGGATCCCATGTGAGTGCTGGTTGGAGAGAAGGAGAGACAGAGAGGAAGATCTTCTTTGTACTGATTCACTCCACAAGTGGCTGCAACGGCCGGAGTGGAGCCGATCCAAGAGCCAGGAGCTTCTTCTGGGTCTCCCACACAGGTGTAGGGTCCCAGGGCCTTGGGGCTGTCCTTGACTGCCTTCCTATGCCATAGGCTGGGAGTTGGATGTGAGGCGGGGCTATGGTATCCTGTTATTTGCAAGGAGAGGACCTTAGCTGTTAGGCTACCTTGCCAGGCCTAAGATTATTTTATTTTTATTGGAAAGGAAAATTTACAGAACGAAGGAGAGACAGAGATAAAAGATCTTCTATTCTCTTCTCAAGTTGCCGCAACAGTCAGAGCTGAGCTGATCCAAAGCCGGGAGCTGTTTCCTGGTTTCTCATTTGGATGCAGGTTCCCAAGGCTTTGAGCCATCCTCCGTTATTTTCCTAGGGCATCAGTGGGAAGTTGGATGGGAAGTGGAGCAACCAGAACATGAGCTGGCAGCCATGTGGGATCCGGCGCTTGCAAGGGGATGACTAGCCAATTGAGACCCTGTGCTACGTCCTAAAAATACATTTTAATTGATACACCAAGCCAGTGGAGACTTTATAAGGTCCCCACGGGCTCCAGACCTAATTGATCTCCCCACAGAGGCTAAGCCTCAGTCCCATAACCTCGGTGGTTCAATTTTCATGTAAGAATCCAGGGGGACCAAAGGATTCGGGCCTTGGCATGGGGACTGTCTTGCTACCGCACCCGCCCCCTTGCTTGCACCTGCCAGATCTTGTTGCCAGATCACATGGTGCAGCTGTGGCATGGGAACAACCAGCCTCAACAGGACGCGTGGGTGACCACCTGCCAGCTTTTAAAAGGAACTAGGGGCAGCTTGTGGCAGAGTATTTAGACACCATTTGTGATGCCGGCATGCCATGTGAGTGCCCGCTGGAATCCTGGCTGCTCCACTTCTAATCCAGCTCCCTGCTGGTACAGCCAAGAAAGCAAGGGAAGATGGCCCAAGTGCTGGGGCTCTGAGCTCCTGGACTTGGCATGGTCCAGCCCTGGCTGTTGTGGCCATTGGGGAATGCACAATCTGTCTGTATTTCCCTCTCCCTCTCTTTACCACTCTACCTCCCAAATAAACACATCGAATGTGTACAGGCCGCAGAGAGACAAGGCCACATTACAAATACCCGAGGGTGTTTGTCAACAGATGGGTGGTGCTTGTTTTCTTTAACAGTTATTAATATGAAAAGCAGAGAGAGATCTTCCATTCTGTGATTCATTCCCCATGTGTCCTAAACAGTCAGTGCTGGGCCAGGCTGAAGCCAGGAGCTGTATCTGGTTCTCCCACGTGGGTGTAGGGACCCAAGAACTTGAGCCACCCTCTGCTGCTTTCCCCGGAACATCAGCAGAAATCTGGAGGGAACTATAGAAGCCGGGATTCGAACCGGCACCCGTGCTTACACAGGATGCGAGTGTCACAGCTGGCAGGTTAACCTTTAACCTGCTGCGCTACAATGCTGGAACAGAAACTTGGTGTTTAAGAGGATGGTGAAGAACGGTCGCAGGCCCAGGGGCAGGGAGGGACATGGGCACGGGGGAAGAGGTGCAGACACCATTGCTGGCCTCCACTCCCACAGCTGGCGCTCCAGACTGGACGTGAGCCCCCACCCATCTGGCGCGTGCAGAAGGCCCTCCTGCAGAAGTTCACCCCGGAGATCAAGGATGGCCAGCGACAGTTTTGTGCCACCAGTAACGTAAGGCCATGGAGAGGAGGGGGACAAGGGGTGGGAGTCAGGGTCGGGCTGCCAAGCTTCCTCACGTGCCCCTTCCTCCCGGACTCCTCAGTATTTGGGATACTTTGGGGATGCAAAAAACCGGTACCAGCGTCTGTACGTCAAGTTCCTGGAAAACGTCAACAAGAAGGACTACGTGCGTGTCTGTTCCCGGAAACCATGGCACCGGCCCCCCATGCCAGTCAGGTACCTACTGTGGAGGATGGTGATTGCTGGAAACACTGTCAGCAGATGGCACCAGGAGGGAGGGTCCCGGGGGAGACCCTGGGATGCTTCCAGTCACTGACTATCGTTTTTCCTGTTCAGACGCTCTGGGCAGGCCAAGGGCCCTGCACCTGCTGCCAGCAGCTCTGCCCCGCCCCCCAAAGCCCCAGCCCCACCCCCTAAGCCTGAAACTCCCGAGAAGGCCACGTCCACGTTGGAGAAGCCTCCGGAGCCAACGCCAGAGATGGCTGTGCCTGAGCCCCCAGCTCCGGAGAAGCCGTCCCCACCACGGCCTGCGGACAAGGAGAAGGACAAGGAGAGGGTGACCCGCACTGAGCGGCCACTGAGGGGAGGCAGCAGTGGTGGCAGCGGCAGTGGTGGTGGTGGTGGTGGCCGGCAGGCGCGGCCTGAGCGGAGCCTCACCACAGCCCAGCCCGCCACTTCCCGCCTGCCCAAGGCTCGGCTGCCCAAGGTCAAGGCTGAACCACCCCCTAAGAAGAGGAAGAAGTGGCTGAAGGAGGTGGCGGGCAATGCTGCAGCAGGTGGGGGCCCCGCAGGCAGCTCCTCGGACTCCGAGTCATCCCCAGGAGCCCCCAGCGAAGACGGTGAGGCTCCAGGCAGACCAGCCGGGGTGGTGCGGGGAAGGAGCTGGGTGGACAGCTCGGGGGTGGAGCGGTGGCACCAGGCCCAGGGTACCAGGTAGCCTCACTCCGTTTGGGATGCCATGAAATGTGTGGATTACAGGCATCAGCTGCAGTACAGGGTCATGGGGTCCCTGGCTGCAGGCTGTCCCATGGGGACAGTGTCCTGTGTTGCTGTACTTCATTGTCATAACCATTCCCGGCGGTGGGCACGAGTTACTGTCCTTGCGTCCAGATGGGAAAATTGAGACACCCATGACTATAGGCACCTTCCCAGCCCCAGATGGAGCTGTGCCCAGGCCTCCCAATGGCTGGAGATGGTGCCCTGGTCCCAGAAGTGGTGCTGTGATGTATGACCTCGCTGTGGTGCTTGGTGCCCGATGACCTTGTCCATAGAACAGGCTACTGATCACTCTCCATGTGTAACTTTTTTCCTCTTTAAAAAAAGATTTATTTTAGTGTTTCTATTGGAAAGTCAGATATACAGAGAGGAAGATCTTCCATCTGATATTTCACTCCCCAAGCGGCCGCAACGGCCAGAGCTGTGCTGATCTGAAGCCAGGATCCAGATGCCTTCTCCGGGTCTCCCACACGGGTGCAGGGTTCCAAGGCTTTGGGTCGTCCTCCACCGCTTTCCCAGGCCACAGGCAGGGAGCTGGAGGGGAAGCAGTGCTGTTGGAATTAGAACCAGCACCCATGTGGGAACCCAGCACGTGCCAGGCGAAGACCTTAACCATTAGGCTACCATGCTGGGCACAACTTTTTTTTTTTTTAACATGATTTATTTATTAACGTGGAAAGGCAATTTTACAGAGAGAAGAAGCGACAAATATCTTCCATCTGCTTGTGATGGTTCACTCCCCAAATGCTTGAGATGGCTGGAGCTGAGCCAATCTGAAGCCAGGAACCAGGAGCCTGTTCTGGGTCTCCCAGGCACATGAGCTGATAACTGGGTGGGCAGTGGAGCAGCCAGGACTCAAACCAGCATTCCTATGAGTTGCAGGTGTCTCAGACTGCAGTTACACCTGCTGCACCACCAGTGTTGACCTGTAGGTTGATTCTGGGGGCCTGGCACGATTGCTCAATGGCTACATTCTCAATTTGTAAATAGCAGTATCTCATATGGGCGCCTCTTCTAATGCCAGCTGCTGCACTTCCCATCCTGTTCCCTCCTGGTGGCCTGGGCAAGCAGTAGAGGACAGCCCAAAGCCTTTGGTACTCTGCACTTGCATGGGAGATCCAGAAGAAGCCCCTGGCTCCTGCCTCACTTTGGATTGGCTCAGCACCAGCCATTGCAGCTACTTGGGGAATGACACAACAGATGGAAGATCTTTCAGTGTCTCTTTCTAAATAAATCTTAACACAAATATAAAATAAAATTTTAAAAATGCAGATTCACAGAGAGAAAGAGATCTATTTGCTGGTTCACTCCCCAAATGGCTGCAACAGTTGCGCCAGTCCAAAGCCACGAGCCGGAGCTTCCTCTGGACCCCCATGTGGGTGCAAGCGTTCTAGTACTTTGGCCATCTTCTGCTGTTTCCCAAGAGGATTTGCAGGGAGCTGGATCAGAAGTGGAGCAGGTGTGACCAGATTGGATTCTGTAGGTGATGCTTCCACCACGTGCTGTATCCCAGTACCAGCCCAGAGGGATATTTTGTAGCCTTTGGCCAGCTCCTCCAGGGTTATCGCTGTTCCAGAACTTCCTAGAACCCAGAGGAACCCACTGTTGCAGGCTTCCTGCTATGAAGTCTTAGTTTTGATCACCTCCCTTTGTCGTGCCCTTCCTGTTCTGGTTGCTCCACTGTTTGGGGAAATAGACTTGACTCTTTCCTTTGTGCCCTATAGCTGCTTTTACTTTCATTGTTTTATTTATTTACTTATGGGCGAGACAGAGAGGGAGAGAAATGGATGCTCCACTCACATGGTTCACGCTCCAACAACTGCTAGTTTGGCCTGGCTAAAGGAACCCATCTGGGTTGCCTGTGTAGGTGGCCGTAATCCAGACCTCAGTGCCAGCACCTGCAGCCTTCCCAGGCGAGTTAGCAGGAAGGTGGATTGGAAGGCGGAGGTGAAACTTGATCCCAGGCATTTGGATATGGGATCTGTGCATCCGATTAGTGGCTTATCCTGCTGAGGCACATTGCCCACTCCAGCTGCTGCCTTTTAATTAAAAAAAAAGAAAGATTTTCTTTCATTTGACATGGACAGAGAGAGCGGAGAGAGAGAACGGCCATCTGCTGGTCTGTGCCCTGAATGCCCTCAATACCTAGTGCTGGGGATGCCAGCCAGGCCTCCCATGTGGGTGGCAGGACCCCCGTCACTGCCCTCAGCCCTTGCCCCCAGTGTCTGTGACAGCTGGAAGCTGGAGCTGGGACCGGAACCTGGGCACTTGCACGTGGGATGTGTCTTAGCCGCTAGACTTCGCTGTGCCGCCTGGTTTGATGTTCCTGGGGCTGGACTCGCTGTGCGTTGTCACTGCAGAGTGAGCTGCCCTGTGACCCTGAACAAGCTTATGCACTGTGCCCACAGCGTCCGGTGCTGCCCTTGGGACCTGGCTGGGCATCCCACCAGCAGGGCATGCCTCACATGGGTCTACTGGTCTCTGGTGTTTGGGACAGTGTCAGCCCCACAGGATGTTGGAATGACTGCACTCACTCCCTTTGTGCCCTTAGAGCGGGCGGTCCCGGGGCGCCTGCTGAAGACACGGGCCATGCGGGAGATGTACCGGAGCTATGTGGAGATGCTGGTGAGCACGGCACTCGACCCAGACATGATCCAGGCCCTGGAGGACACACATGGTGAGCTGGGACCTGGGGAGGGGCTGGGCTGGGCCCCTGGGTGTGAGGGAGGAGGGGCTGGACCCCTGGGTGTGAGGGAGGAGGGGCTGGGCTGGACCCCAGGTCGAGGGAGGAGGGACTGGGCTGCATCCTTGGGTGTGAGGGAGGAGGGGCTGGGCTGGACCCCTGGGTGTGAGGGAGGAGGGTCTGGGCTGGACCCCTGGTGTGAGGGAGGAGGGTCTGGGCTGGACCCCTGGTGTGAGGGAGGAGGGGCTGGGCTGGACCCCTGGGTGTGAGGGAGGAGGGTCTGGGCTGGACCCCTGGTGTGAGGGAGGAGGGGCTGGGCTGGACCCCTGGTGTGAGGGAGGAGGGGCTGGGCTGGACCCCTGGTGTGAGGGAGGAGGGGCTGGACCCCTGGGTGTGACGGAGGGATCTGAGGCCCCAGTGCTGCTGCCTGCTGCGGATCCAGTGTGTGGTGGGCCTCCTGACCTCCTGACCCTGCCCTCACCTTTAGATGAGCTGTACCTGCCGCCCATGCGGAAGATCGATGGCCTCCTGAATGAGCACAAGAAAAAAGTCCTAAAGCGGCTGTCGCTGAGCCCAGCCCTGCAGGTGCTGAACGGGGTGGGCCCCGGGGCTAATGTGTGGCTGTGACTGCAGTTTCCCGAGTGTCCTAGCCGTTGAGGATTTATTCTGGTGCTGCAAATAGTGGCTTAACCTGGTGTACCACCATTTCTGGCCCCGGGATGGGCCGGAAATACTCTGCAAGAATTTGATTTGGCTATTTGGGCCTGGTGCTGAAAATGCTGTCCTAGGATTTTGGCTGGCAGGGAAATTTCGCGAATTGGGTTGTTAGATTGGGAGTGAGGATTCTCGGATAGGATTCTGGTCTCCAGATTTCTGGACAGAATGTTGGAATCGCAGAAGATTTGGGGATAAAGTGTTTAGGCTGCCTGCTTCAAAGGATGCTGGGTAGACGGTTGAGCTCCCCCAGAGCATTCTGTGACCAGTGGTTAAGCAGGTGCTGGGTGGAACTTGGTGTGCGCCAGAGGCCTGCCTGGTGTGTGAAGGTCACCCGCCAGCAGCCCCAGGCTGCTCTCTCTGACCGCTCTCGGCTTGCCACCACAGGACGCCCTGCACACGTTCCCCCAGCTGCAGGTGGAGCAGAGCGCGGAGGGCTCCCCCGAGGAGGGCGCCGTGCGGCTGCGGCCAGCTGGGGAGCCCTACAACCGCAAGACGCTCAGCAAAGTCAAGAGGAGCGGCGTGCGCGCCCAGGTAGGGGCGGGGCCCGGGCGAGGGAGAGGGCAGCCCCGCTCCAGGCCAGAGGGGCTGAGGCCTCCCCGCTGCACCCACCCAGGAGTTCAAAGTGGAGCTGGAGAAGTCGGGATATTACACTCTCTACCATTCACTCCACCACTACAAGTACCACACCTTCCTTCGCTGCCGCGACCAGGTGAGCCCCTGCTGGGCATCCCACCCTCTACCCGGGGTTTCGGACCTGACATATCCGCTTCCTCAGCTCTCTCTCTCCTTCCTGGGGCTCCCCGAGCCTGTTGTGTCCCCTCCTCGCTCTCCCCCCGCAGACCCTGGCTCCTGAGGGCCCCCTCTCGTTCCCCCCCTGCAGACCTTGGCCATCGAGGGCGGCGCCGAGGACCTGGGCCAGGAGGAGGTGGTGCAGCAGTGCATGCGCAACCAGCCGTGGCTGGAGCAGCTCTTCGATTCCTTCAGCGACTTGCTGGCTCAAGCACAGGCCCACAGCCGCTGCGGGTGACTGTCCCTCCCTGGGGCGCCCCCTCCAAGAACCGAGCACTGGGGCAGAGCTGCCTCCGCGGGAGCTGTCCCCTGGGCTCCAGGTGCTGGGGGTAGGGGGTCGTTGATCAGGGTGTGTCCAGGCTGACCCCTAGGGCAGGGTTCAAAGTTCGACTCCCTGCTCTTCCAAGCCCCTCCCCCCACCAAGCCCTAGCCGCTCTTTCCCGTTTCCTCCCACTGTTCCGGTGTACAGAGAAATTATTTATATATATGTATAAATGTCTATTTAGTAACGGTTCCCTCTGCCCCCACACCTCACCCCTCCCTGGCCCTGATTGCCCACCCCTCCCCCGTGGCCACAGAGCCCCCTGTCCCCTCTGCCTTGTACATAATGTATAGGAAAAGTCTATGTATGGTTGAGGGGGTGCGGGGCGGCTTCCCAGAGCTGGGGGGGTACGCCCCAAGCTCCCCCCACCCTCCTTACAGGCCAAGATCTTTGCAAAAGGCCATTCCCTTCCCCCTGGGCATCCGGCGTCGGGCGGGAGGGGGAAACGCATCTTGTTAATTATTTTTAATCTTATTTATTGTACAGACCTGGGGCGGGGGTTGTGGGGACAAAGTGGGTGGAGGGTCCCCGCGCTCTCTGCCTCCTTCTCCCACTCCTTTTCTACGGCAGTCTGTCTGTGTCCGCTCTGTGCCCCCCCACACCCCTCCCCGGCTTCCTGTCGTCTGGATGTGGTTCTATTTTTTATTGGTCTCCCCCTCCCCAGCGCGCCTCCCCGGCCCCCTTCCTGCCCTCCCACCTCCCCCTGCCACCCTGTGTCTCTTGCTCTCTCTTGGGCTTCTGTACAACTCAACTTGTATACACTGTGTACACACAACCAGCCAAACAAAAACCCAATGGCAAACACTTTACCGCTGGCTGGAGTGTCTTTTCTTCCACCGCTGCTGGGTGGGCTGCCGGTGGCAGGAGCCCAAGCACAGGGACTTTGTTCCACCACCTTGCCATGAGCATTCCCAGGGAGCTGGATGGGAAGTGGGAGCAGCCAGGACTGGGACCAGTGCTCCGATACCGGCTGCCATCGCCACAAGTGCCGGCTTGGTACACTGCACCACCACACTGGCCCAAGTGCATTGTAGTTCAGCGGTGTTGCCGTTCCAAGGGTGGTCCGGTCCACGGAAGCGTAGGCCCTCAGGCTGCCCTCACCAAGGTGGACGGTGGCAAAACCTGCTTTGTGTTAGAAATCCTGAGAGGCTTCTAACAAGCATGGGAGGGCGGGGTTGTAGCTTTCCTGCGTTCCTGACTGCTGGGCCGCTGCTGGTCAGTGGGTGGGGTGGAGCCGTTCTAGAACCCACATTGTTCCAGAGCTTGTGTGTTGTACAAAGCCTTGCAGCCCTGGCTCAGCAGAGGCCAGGGCAGAGAGCTCTGATGGTTTTCACAGCGGGGAGGGGGGACCAAGAACTTCTTAGGGGACCACTGAGTTCAGGGGGCACAGGATGGGCCCTCGGTGTCCTCGGTCTGAGCCTTGGTAATCCACCTGCCTCACTGGATCCCAGGCGGGTGACCTGGGTGGCAGCCCCCATCCTCGGCTTTGTCATCTGTGAAATGGGCATGGGAAGATGGGGAGGGCTTCCAAGTGCATGGCAGGCACCAACCTCCCCTTGAGCAGAGGAGGCCCTGAGTGGGGTTCAAAACATGGACGGGAGAGATGGGAGGGAGAGGAAGAGCAGGGGTCAGAGCTGGGACAGAGCTCAGGGTCGCTGGGAGCCTATAGCCCCGGCCTGGCGTGTGCGCAGACATGCCCAAGGCAGCGAGCCGACCTGTCCTTGATCCCCACATCCTGGGGCAGGGAGCTGGGGGTGACAAGCTCACTGAGCTCCTCGTGGTCCTACAGGCAAGCAGGGGTTCCTTCCTGGCTGTGCTGGGGTGCTGCAGGGCTTTGTGCTGGGCAAGTTGTTAGTGGAGCCCTGGGAAGGACTCCCACCCAGCTGGGGGATCAGATGGTGGCTGGGGCCTCAAGGCCCTCCTTCCAGCCCTGGGGTCCTGAGGCTGTAGGGGGGAGGGAAGGGAGGTGAACGTGGGACACCAGTACTTCAGAGCTTCACTCCCTCCGAGGGAGGGAGGTTGAATGCAGGCCAAGGATTCTGGGGTCATGTGACCTGCAAGGGAGTGCCTGACTCAGCTGGACTCTAATCTGGAAAACAGAAGGACACCCTGGGATTTGGGGCAGGATGGAGCCCTGGGGTCCCGGAAGCAGGGGCTGGGGGGGAATGGAACACTCCAGACGTTGAGGGGCCAACAGTAGGGGGAGTGTCAACTGGTGACAGCTGTCATTGGCCTGCTGTGTGGGGTTTACCAGGCAGGCTGCGGAGGTGGTTTCTGGCCCCAGGGTGGTAAACAGTAGGCAGGTTTGGGGGTCCAGAGTGAAAGCTGCTATGTGCTTGCTTAGTGAATGCTCGTGTTACCCCTGCTTTCCCCCTGGTCTCAGAGCTGGTGTCTGCCATCCCCAGGTTGGATTCAGGGGATTTGCATGTTGCAGCCCACTCCCCGGGGAACTTTCTAGAACTGAGAATTTGACCAGATGGCTGCTTGTGCTGTCCCATTCTGCCCACCTCTTTCCTTCCAGCCACATGGTCTCTCTGATGTGTGTTTGAGGGGGTCATTGGACAAGCAGGGTTTGTAGCAGTTGCCACCTGTCTCCAAGGTTCTAGAACTTTCTAGAACACTAGCTTTCTGCAACCACAGGGCTGTTGTAGACTTCCCCTGCCCGTGAAGACAGCCAGTAGCCACTTGTGTGCAACAGCTGAGGTTTTGATCTTGTTAGTGTAGCTGAGACGTGGTTTGTTTTATTTACTCTGAAACAATAACTTGTAGTTCCTGGCTACCATACCAGACAGCCTGAGTCTCAAAAATTTTCCAGGATAAAAATGATCTTTAGATGTTCAACCTCAACAAATGTCTCCCAAGATAATGTGCCCTGTTGGTGGGGGAGTGGGGGGAGTGTCTCCTGCTGCTATCCATGCTGGAACTTTTAGAAATATTTTAGACTGGCAGTGCAGGGAGTGAGGCTCTCAAGTTTTGGATTCCCCCACCTGTCCCGAGCCCCAGACGCAGCTCCTGACACTGGCAGTGAGTTTATTTCTTCCTGGGCAACAGGACATATATACAGCTGTGATTCAGGAACCCCCCCCACCAGGCACTTGGGTGGGGGACGGAGGTGATGGCAGAAGGCACATGGTGGCAATGGCCTGGAAAAGGCCAGGAAGTAAAGGCTGGGGTGTCACGTGTCCTGGGAGACCCAGCCGTGGAGGCCAAGGCTCAGCCAGGGCCTAGGGTCACAGACAGCAAGGTGCAGGGCAGCTGGTCCCAAAGGCCGGCGTGCAGGCTGCTACAGGAGGACGCAGGGGCAGCCGGTGGCGTTCCTCTTCCTGGGCACGCTGGGTGGGCTGGGAGGCAGCTCCTGTTCCTGGTATTTCCTGTGGGAACATGCAGGTGAGTTTGGGTTGGAGTGGCAGTGGGAGAGGGACGGGGCGCAGGATAAAGGCTTGGCTCACCGCACGGCCCGCACCAGCTGCTCAAAAGCTTCGTCCACGTTGAGCCGCAGCTTGGCCGAAGCCTCGAAGTATGCCACGTGATGGGAAGCGCTGAAGGCTGAGGCATCAGACCTGAGGACCTAGCGGGGTGCATGGGAAGAAGTCAGGGGATCCCACTGTGGATTAGTGAGAGGGGCAAGAGAGGAGGAGACTGGGACCAGACCGTGCTGGCTGTCAAGCCCAGGGTAGCCAAGCTGGGGCCCCTGCTAGCCAGGATGGGGTTGAGGTCTGAGCAAGGCAGAGTGGCACAGGACATGGTGGGGGGCACCCTTATCTCCTTTGCAGCACTGACTCCCAAGCCAGGACTTGAGGTCACTCCCCTGGGATGTGAGCGTAGTAGGGACGGGGTTGGGGTTGAGGAAGAAGCTTCGAGGTCCCAGAAGGGTGACGAGGGCTGGTGGGGCTGGGGACAGGGCCTGCACCTGGCGCTGGGACTCCAGGTCCGCCTTGTTCCCAACCAGCACGATGGGAAAGTCGTCGCGGTCCTTCACTCGCAGGATCTGTGTGAACAGCTTGCCCACCTCGTTGAAGCTGCCCAGGAAGTCGCTCAGGTGTCAGGTTCTGCCCTGGTCCCACCTTCTCCCCCAACTCCCTCCCTGTCCCTCACGCCCTCACCTCTGCCTGTCATTGATGGCAAACACCAGCAGGAAGCCGTGGCCAGCGCGCAGGTACTGCTCTCGCATAGCCCCAAACTCCTCCTGGCCTGCCGTGTCCAGGACTGCAGAGATAGGAAGAGGGGACGCCGTGAGGACAAGCCCCAGCCACTCTACCCACCTCCACCAGCCCAGGCCAACCCCCCACTCCCTGGGCCCTCACTGTCCAGCCGGGCCGGGATGCCATCCACCGTGCAAATCTTGGTGTAAGAGTCCTCGATGGTGGGGTCGTAGTCAGACACGAAGTAAGACTGCAGGGTTGGGGACAGGTCAGCGACCGTGGTACCCACCACCCCTACCTTCACCCCAGTCCGTCCCTCTCTCATTGCTCCTGGCCCCTTTGTGGTGGCGAGTGGGCTGTCTCCATGGTTATCATGTCCCAGCTGTGGGGCTTTGAGCAAATCACTTGCCCAAACCTCAGTTGCAAACATAAGAACAGCGCTGCTTCCAACTCGGAGTGGGCCAGACCAATCCCCAACACATGGCCCAACGCCTGGCACATGTAGGAAATCATCAGCCTATTGGGAGCCACTGTCCAGAATAGCCACTGCTGTCGCCCTCTTCCTCCTTCTCTTCCTCCTCCCCTCCCCCCACTCCTGTTTAGGCAGCCTCCAGCGTCTCCTCCCAGGGGAAGGGGCCGGTTCCAATCCGGGCCTCGAGAAGCCGCCCCACCCTCCGGCCCCCGGCCCCTCCCTTCCTGGCTGGGTCCTGCCTGCGCCAGCCAGGCCCTTGGCCAAGCTTTTTGGGTCTGCCCCTGGGTGCCAGGGACCCAGGGCTCTGGGCCTTCCTTTACATAGGTTGGGGGCAGATCTTGAGGGGTCTGGGGCACAGAGGTGGCATTTGGGGACGTGCACCTTTCTGGGGTCCCTATGGGGTAGGAGGGCTTCCCTTGGGAACGAGATAGTTTTCTGGGTGGGGATGAGTTAGCAAGAGAGAAGGGGAATTTGGGGATTTGGAGGGAGGGTCTGGGGCTACACCTGTTGGAGCAAAGGAACATGAAGACCTGGGTGAGGGTGCGGCCTCTGGAGGGGTTTGGGGTGCAGAGGACACTGAGCTGGGGGTACGTTAGGGTATTTGGAAGGTTTGTATATGCCAGAGAGATGCGTTTATGAGGTGGGGGAATTTCTTGCGGAGTGTGTATTTCCGGAAGGGCCCCTTCCCGAGAGATGACTGGAGGCTCTCCTGGGTTGCTGCAAGAGCCTAGGGGGGTGGGATGGAGGAGTGGCTGGGTCCTCTTAGGGAGGAGACAGGAGTGGGGGAATCACCAGGGCTCAGGGTCTCTGGCGTTTTCTGGACTGACCAAGGTGTAGGGTCTGAAGGCTCAGCGGGCGCTCAGAGGAGCCCAGGGCTCCGGGAGTGGGCGTCATGTGTGGCTTCTGAGGAAGCTGCCCAAGCGGCCAAGCATCCAGAAGTCCTCCCAGGGGGAACTGGGAGTGTGAGATTTGGGGTGGAGGGAGGCAGGTAGACAGGCTCAAGGCAGAGGGAGTGCTTCGGGTCTTCATGGGGTGACTAGGCTAATTCAGCAGGGAAGCGAGGCTCTTAAGTCCCTGGGGTAGGTGGGAGAGGGAGGCTTGGTGGGCCCCGCGTTAGGAAGGAGCAGGACGCTCCTGTGTGTAGGGGCTGGGGTGCCTGGCTAGTGTAACCTCAGTGCATGCTAGGAGGGTCTCGGGGAGGCCCCCCAGCCCGGGGCAGGGGCGGTTAGCAGGGTCTTGGGCTCCGTTTTGGGACCGGGGCACTCCCTCCCCGGTGAGGGCCCACTACCTGGATGAACTGGATGGTCAATGCGCTCTTGCCCACGCCGCCGCCGCCCACGACCACCAGCTTGTGTGTCTCGCTGGGCGGAGGGTCCCCGGGCCCCGGCCCCCCGCCCCGGGGCCGCCCCCGCCCTGTCCCGGACGCCGCCCCGCTGCTCATGTCGCCGCTGCCGCCGCCGCCGCTGCAGCCTCGGGGAGGGTGGGGGGAGCCGGGCGGGAACCGGGGGGCCGGGCCATGCTAACGAGGCCGATGCATAGTCATGAGGTCGGCTGAGAAGGATGCGCGGCTCGGGCAGGACACTTAAGGAGGTGGATGGCCGGCTGGGGAGGAGGAGCTATGCTAATAAGACAGGCGATGTCTGCAAGGGGGAATTCCAAATGAGGCGGGACATGCTAATGAGGGACACGTGCGCACCACTCTCCCTTCCCACGAGCTCGCGGAGTGGGCGGGGACATGCAAACGAGCGCATTCTTTCGGGGCGCCCGGGGCGGGGCTATGCAAACGAGGCGGGGCAGCTACGGCATCCACGCCGCGCGTCCCTATTTAGGGTCCTGAAGGGACAGGGTCGCCCTCCGAGCGGCCCGGAAGGCCGGCCAGGTTCGGGACCCGCCTGCCGAGGGACAGGGGCTTCCGGGTCCTCCCGGGGCGGAAGGCCCCAAGGGGAGACAGCCCGATGGGGCCCCGAGGAGGGACAGGCCGGGGAACGGGGCGGGGAGGGGCCGTGACATCACCGCATTCCTGAGCCGTGAGCCACTCGGCCCGCGGCCCCCGGGGTTCTGCCGAGAGGGGAGGCCAGCACCCTGGGGAGTGGGGTCGGAGCGGTGCCCCGGGGTGCAAGACCCCTGAAGGAGGAAGGGCCAGGCGGGTGCAGGACACTCAGACCCCTCAGGCAGAGGCAGGGGGTGTAAGCGTGTGAACCCCCGAGGGAGAGGTTTCCGGGTTCAGGCTTCTGGTCCTACACTTAGAGAAGGCGACAAAATCTGGACTCAAGAGATTTCCTCAGGATGTGGGCGGGGCAATGTCCGTGCAAGGCTTCACAGTCGAACTACAATTCCCAGGCTTCTGTTCACCCCCTGAGCAAACGACTCCCATTTGCGTCGCTTCCTGTTCCGCCGCCCTTTCCGCGCGCACGCAGGGCAGTGTGGGGCTTCCCCGCGGGCTACTGCAAACCCCGCCCACTTCACCTCTCACCTCCTGGCTAGACCCAGCGCGACGGAGGCGGCGCGCGGACTACGCCTCCCGGCGTGCGTCGCGCGCGCCCCGCCCTACGCTTTACTCTACGGGCTGCTGGGAAGCCGAGTCCAGGCGCCTTCTCTCCAGCCCGCAAGCCGGCGTCCTCGGTACTTCAGGTCCCGGCAGGCTGCGCGCCGCGCGGGCTCCGCCCCGGCCCCGCCTCCTCGGCTCGCGGGCCCCGCCCCAGGCCGCCCCGCCCCGCGCCGGGGCCGGAGCCGCAGCCGGAGCGGCGGGGTAAGATGGCGGCGGCGGTCCGGGCCGCGGGCCTCGGGCCTGTGGGGGTGGGCGGGGCGGAGCCGGCTCGCCGTGGGTCCCGGGGTCCTCCTCGCACGCCGCGGGGCCTGGAGCGCTTGGCGGGGTGGCTTCGGGCCCGGCAGTAGCGGCGAAGCCTGGCGCCGAACGGAGCGGGGGGCGGCCTTTGGAGGGCTCCGGGACGCGTCTGTGGGCGCCCCCACCCCCCCAGAACGCTGGGGTCGTTCCCAGAACCCGGATCTGCCGTCCGCCCTAGTGCCGGCCTGGGTCGTGCCTGGGGGTGCCGCAGATCGCTCTTAGGGGCTGACCCGAAGCTGGGTGGGGGGGCATCTGTGGAGAGGGTTTTGGGGCCATTTTGGGATCTTTGAGCCGTATCCCAGGGATGAAGCAGGTCTGCAAGGGCTGAGGAGTGTCACGGCCACCTCGAGCGCCCAGGGTACGTCTCTCCGGGCTGGCAAGCCTGTGCCAGGGGGCTGGCCAGAGGATGCGGCTGATGTCCACCAGTCTTGGGGTGACGGGTGGGGGGTATTGATCGGGCCTGGGATGAATTGGCCAAGGGCCAGCAGGAAATGTTCTGGGGCTGTACGGAGCGGCTGGGGTGTGCAAAGCCGATACCGGTGATACCGGTGCTCCCTTGAGGCCTGGAGATGCCTCCCTGGGCCTCCCTGGACTGGGCACTGTGTGATTGGAGTGACAGGATATCGGGGACAGTTCCAACGACCTGGTGGGATCTCCATGGCTTTGATGGGCCTGCAAAAAATGCAGTCCCTGCCTGGGGGGGAGGACGGTGAGCAGAGAGGGAAGGTTTCAGTGCACCTGGGGGCCAGATGAGCTGGTGGAGAAAAACAGGAAAGAGTGTGTGTCAGGAGTTTTACCCAACTCAGATGCACATACCATCAAGAAAGTAATTCCAAGGGAATATGTTTTTAAAAGCCAGGGGAGTTAGTTAGTCCCCAGCCACCTGGAAGAGAGGGGTGTGGTGACACCACTGCCGTCCTGTAACACATTGCATGTCCAGTTCTTTTTTTCAACTTGGATACATTCTTCATTGAAACAAAGTATACAGTAACTTGAGTCCTGGGAATTGCTATTTGCAGAATTACTGTGACACTTTATTTCCTTTTTTGTAACAACTGGTCTCTGTCACAAAGCTTGCATTTGGAGGAACCCAGCCCAGTCCGCTGGGCTTCTGAGGCTTCCCAAGTCCTGTGGGCCCGAGGGAGGGTGTGTCTGCCAAACCTTGGGCGTTGGCCAGGAGCAAGGGGGCATCCTGGGGCTGACCATGCCCATGGTCGGTGGATCTGGACAAAGTCTCTGATAGGTGATGGTCACCGTCCCAGGTGTTATATGCCACCCAGGAAGTGCCAGGGAGCGGCCCCAGGGCTGGGCTCTGTCCCCAGGGCCAGAGTGTTGTTGAGAAAGGCTGGGGTGAGGGGTGGGATCCTCCGAGGGGGGCCTGGCCTGGGTGGTGGGGAGGAGGCTGCAGGCTCTCAGCTGTGAGGCTAGAAGTGGAAAGGTGAGGCCTGGGAGCTCGCTTTGCACTTGTCTGCAGTCGGGGACCAAGGCAGACAGACGGGAGAAATCAGGCGGCATGGCCGCTGGAGGGACGGTTGCTGTCCAGTGGTTCCGAGCACCCAAGATGTGCTGGGTTGTGGCAGGAGGACATCTATCTTCACGTCCGACCGGGCACTCTGAGCTCACTGCTTCCAGCAGGAGTGCCATGGTGCTGAGACCATGGAGGTGGGCAGGGCAGCCCTGTGTGAGCTGAGCAGACAGCCAGATCTGTGCGAATCCAGGCGTCATCCAGGCTTCAGCCCTGTTTGCTAGGGTGGTGGGCAGATGGACATTGCCCCCTCCCCAATGCCCAGTCTTTTGAAGCTGAGCATTTTTGTTTGAAAAATGCCTTGAGGCTTTTGCACAGCCCGCTCACCTGGCCCTTCATCATGTGTTGGGGACGGCTCGTGTCCCAGGAAGCTGCAGGGGCATGGCACCGGATATTACCCAGCAGATGGGGGCTGACGGGCCTGTGGAGCTAAAACTCCCCAACGCTGCTTTGTGTCCAGTGAGCATGTTCAGCAAGATCCTGAAGCTTGGATTTGTTGGGGGGGTGGGGCTGTGGCACCTGGGAAGTGCAGTGTTAAGATGGGAAGCCTGAGGAGGCCTCCCACAGGCAAAGACCCTGAGAAGCAACCAGGATGGCTCTCGTCCCTATGGGTGGGGGGGTGCTTGCATTCAGGATGAGAACAGGGCCCTTGGTGGTGTGAGCTCCCTGCTCCATTGGCTCCCCTGCAACTCTGGCTCTGCTGCCAGCAGGTGACCATGGAGGAAGAAGATGAGTCTCGAGGGAAGACGGAAGAGTCGGGCGAGGATCGGAGCGAGGGGCTGCCTGACAGAGACCCTACGCTCTCTCCTTCTGCCTTTATCCTGGTGAGGCTGCTGGCAGGGCTGGACCCTGCTGCCAAGCTCCTGGGCCATGCCTGAGTCTGGTTGTGGGGGTGTCCCAGGGAACCCAGGTGGACCCTCTAACTTCCGGCATGCCCACCTCTCCCCTCCCTCCCCAGCGGGCAGTGCAGCAGGCCGTGGGAAGCTCCTTGCAGGGGGATCTGGCCAACGATAAAGGTATGGTGGGTTCCGGGAGCAGGGACCCCAGCACCACGTGCTTCATGCTGGTTTTGCTCTTCAGCAGCTTCCGGGGGGTTGGGACCTGCATGCTAGTGCTGAGAGCCTGAGCTGGGTTGGGCCTGTGGGGCGGCTGCCTTCTAGGGGCTTGTGATCCGAGGAACCGGAACTGGGGAGGATGGGAAGGGACAGTTAGGGCACGAAGGCAGGTGGGGGTCACTGGAGTTGCGGAGGCTTTTCCAGCTGGGGGACAGGGGGACAGATGAGCTGGTATGGCTGGAACAGCCCTATAGGCATGGAACAGCTTGCCCACAGCACAAGGCGTGGGTGGCGAGAGACAGGGCACCACAAGACAACATCACAAGATGCTGAGGGCAGACCCCAATGCATGAGGGTCAGAGCTTCCAGAGTGGGTATAAGATCAGCTCCCTGCCCCGCTGTGCCACCAACCCCCAGGATGTGAACAGGGGTTGCTTGCTGCAGGTGGCCAGCCTGGGGAGCAGACAGGTACAGAGTCCTGCCCCTGGGTGTTACAGCCATCTCCTCCTTCTTCTTGCCATAAGGTTCTTCTCACCCCCTGCCCATCTACAACCCCCAATACAAATCTCTCTCTCCAGATGGCTCCCGGTGCCATGGCCTTCGATGGCGGCGCTGCCGGAGCCCACGGTCCGAGCCCCACCCCCAGGAATCGGGAGGCACTGACACTGCAACTGTACGTCAAAAGAGTGGGCGAGGGTGGGGCATGTGACCTGGGTGTTTGAGGCTGTGGAGGTGGGGGTTGGGGACTCCAGCCCATAGTCTGGGGTGCCACGTGGAGTGGCGATCTGGAGTCAGCCTGAGAGCGGAGCCCTGGGGCCCAGACTTGTGAAGGTAGAACAGGGGCCTGGACTGTCTCCAAGGTTGCATGGGAGGGCAGGGTCAGTGCGTCCCACAGCGTGGTGCCCCCCGGCCTGTTGCAGGTGTTGGACATGGCGGCAGACAGCTTCCTCATGGGGCTCGTGAGCATCCTGGATCCCCCAGACACCTGGGTCCCCAGCCGCTTGGACCTGCGACCTGGAGAGTGAGTACCTGGGTGGCGGGATGGGAGCAGCCCCTGGCAGGGCAGCTGGAGGCCGCTGCGCTGGGGCTCACCTATGCCTTCTCTTGCAGGAGCGAGGACATGCTGGAGCTGGTGGCTGAGGTTCGGATCGGAGACAGAGGTCCCATGCCCCTGCCCGTGCCCAGCCTACTGCCTCGTCTCAGGGCCTGGAGGATGGGCAAGACGGGTATGCGGGGCGGGCGGCTGGGAGGTGTGCGAGGTTGCGGCTCAGTGGTGGCAGCACTCTGTACAGGTGCGCCTGAGCCTCTTGGTAACAGGTCCCTGGCCCACTCAGCAGGTCTGGCCTGGGGCTGGAATTTGCCTTTTTATGTTTAAGATTTATTTATTTGAAAGGCTGAGAGAGAGGTCTTCCATCCACTGGTTGGCTCCTGGTCAGCCGCCTTCCTCCTGCGCCTGACCAGGAGGAAGGTGGGCTGTCTGACTGCTGTTGTGCCTCAGCACCTGAGCCCTGAGCAGATGTTGGCCTCTGGGTGGGTGGGGGGCTTGTGGCAGAGCGAGCAGTTTAGCATAGGGACTCGGCTGTCTATCCGGCTGTCTGTCCTCGGCCTTGCCACTTGGCACCACATCAGTCCTCTGCTGTGCTGGTTCGGGTCGAGGCAGGAGGTAGGAGCGCAGGCTGGGGATGAGGCACCTGGCCTCGGGGTTGTGCAGTGTCCCCTGTCAGCACCCCGCCTGTACCCTGAGTTGGCTTGTGGGAGGCACCTGAGCCACGCAGGGCAGAGCGGCAGGTGGCAGGAGGATGGTGGTTGGGCCGCCTCTGGGGGTCGGGTGCTGCTGGGGCCCCTGCATTGGCAGGGGAGGGTCCCTGGGCACCTGAGTTGGCCTCCTCTGTTCCCTTGCAGTTTCTCCACAGTCTCACGCATCTCGACCCAGCTGCGGCCGCCACCTCCTCACCTTCGGCACAGGAGATGGGGGCCCCGCCCCGCCCCCCGCCCCCTCCTCTGCATCCTCCTCCCCTTCCCCATCTCCTTCCTCTTCCTCCCCATCTCCCCCTCCACAACCCCCACCCCCTGGGCCCCCAGCGCCCCCTGCCCCGCGGTTCGACATCTACGACCCCTTCCATCCCACCGATGAGGCCTACTCCCCTCCGCCTGCGCCAGAGCAGAAGTATGACCCCTTTGAGCCTACCGGCTCCAACCCCAGCTCCTCGGCGGGGACCCCCTCCCCTGAGGAGGAAGAGGAGGAGGAGGAAGAGGAGGAAGGCCTCTCGCAGAGCATCAGCCGCATCTCGGAGACCTTGGCGGGCATCTATGACGACAACAGCCTCAGCCAGGACTTCCCAGGTGACGAGAGCCCCCGGCCCGAGCCCCCGGTCCCAGAGCCGAGCCCCGCACCCGGATCGCCGCCCCAGGTGGACTCCACGCGGGCTGACGGGGCGCCCCGCCGGCGAGTGTTCGTCGTGGGCACCGAGGCGGAGGCCTGTCGCGAAGGCAAGGTCTCCGTGGAGGTGGTGACGGCTGGCGGGGCCACGCTGCCGCCGCCGCTGCTCCCACCCGCCGACTCGGAGATCGAGGAGGGAGAGATCGTGCCCGAGGAGGAGCCCAGGGCGGCCCTCGGCCTGTTCCGGGCCAGCGGCCGGGCCGCCCGGCCTCCTGCGGCCAGCTCAGCCGCCGCCCTGCCGCTGCCGCAGCCACCCGCCCGGGCCCCCGAGGGGGACGACTTCTTGTCGCTGCACGCCGAGTCGGACGGTGAAGGGGCGCTGCAGGTGGACTTGGGGGAGCCGGCCCCCGCCCCGCCGGCCGCAGACTCCCGCTGGGGCGGCCTGGACCTGCGCCGCAAGATCCTGACGCAGCGCCGAGAGCGCTACCGCCAGCGCTCGCCGTCCCCGGCCGCCGCCCCGGCCCCCGCCGCCTCCACGGGGCCGCCCACGCGCAAGAAGTCCAGGCGCGAGCGGAAGCGGAGCGGGCTGGAGAGCAAGGAGGCCTCCTCCTCGTCCGGGGCGCAGGCGGCCCCGGCGGCCCCGGCGTCTCCCTGGGACTCCAGGAAGCACCGCTCCCGGGAGCACAAGCCCGGCTCGCACGCCGCCTCGTCCGCGCGCCGCCGCTCGCGCTCGCGCTCCGCACGCCGCCGCTCCCGCAGCACCGAGCGCCGGCGCGGGGGCAGCCGCAGGTCCCGCTCCCGGGAGAAGCGGCGGCGGCGGCGGCGCTCGGCCTCCCCGCCCCCTGCCACCTCGTCCTCGTCGTCGTCGCGGCGCGAGCGGCACCGCGGCAAGCACCGGGACGGCGGCAGCAAGAAGAAGAAGAAGCGCTCGCGGTCCCGCAGCGAGAAGCGGCCCGGGGACGGCGGCGACAAGGGCTCGGCGCCCGCACCGTCGGCCAGCTGCGCCTCGGCGGGCGGCGAGCGCGACAGCCGGCGGCGCGGGGCCGTGCCACCCTCCATCCAGGACCTCACGGACCATGACCTCTTCGCCATCAAGCGGACCATCACGGTGGGCCGGCTGGACAAGGCCGAGCCGCGAGGGCCGTCGCCGGCCCCGACCTCGTCCCCCAAGCGCGAGGTGCTGTACGACTCCGAGGGCCTGAGCGGCGACGAGCGCGTCGCCAAGGGCAGCGAGAAGGAGCGGCGGCGCTCCGGGGCCGCGGCCGCCTCCCGGGAGAAGGGCGCTCGCCGCAAGGCTCTGGATGGGGCGGACCGGGACAGAGACAGAGATCGGTCCTCCAAGAAAACCAGGCTCCCCAAGGAGGCAGCCCCTTCGTCGGGGGCCCCGGCCAAGCCCCCAGCCAGCAGCGGCTCCGGCTCCTCGTCGTCCTCGTCGTCCAGCTCCTCGCGCAAGGTGAAGCTGCAGTCCAAGGTGGCCGTGCTGATCCGCGAGGGCGTCAGCAGCACCACCTCGGCCAAGGACGCCGCCCCCGCCGGCCTGGGCTCCATCGGTGTCAAGTTCAGCCGCGACCGTGAGAGCCGCTCGCCCTTCCTCAAGCCCGATGAGCGCGCCCCGGCAGAGGTGGCCAAGGTGGCTCCGGGCAGCACCAAGCCCAAGAAGACCAAGGTCAAGGCCAAGGCTGGGGCCAAGAAAGCCAAGGGGACCAAGGGCAAGACCAAGCCGTCCAAGACGAGGAAGAAGGTCCGCAGCGGGGGCAGTGCTGGCCCTGGGTCCCTCAAGAAGTCCAAGGCGGACAGCTGCAGCCAGGCAGCAGCGGCCAAGGGTGCTGAGGAGACCTCGTGGTCTGGGGAGGAGCGGGCATCCAAGGTGCCCAGCACCCCTCCCCCAAAGGCGGCCCCACCACCCCCTGCACTCACGCCAGACTCACAGACTGTGGACAGCAGTTGCAAGACCCCTGAGGTGTCCTTCCTGCCAGAGGAGGCCACGGAGGAGACTGGAGTGCGGGGTGGGGCCGAGGAGGAGGAGGAGGAAGAAGAGGAAGAGGAGGAGGAAGAAGAGGAGGAGGAGCAGCAGCCTGCAACCACCACAGCCACCAGCACGGCCGCAGCCACCCCAAGTGCTGCCCCCAGCGCGGGGTCCACAGCGGGCGACTCGGGGGCCGAGCACGGGGCGGCCAGCCGAGCCTCTCAGCTGCCCACGCTGACCCCACCCATGCCCTGGAACCTGCCGGCTGGGGTGGACTGTACCAGTGGCGTCCTGGCCTGTGAGTGTCCCTCGGGCTGCCACCCACACCTACTCCCACCGTGGAAGGCGAGCAGGCAGGGCGATGCGCTGGAAGGGGCGGCTGTGGGAACACGAGAGGTTGACGAGTGGCCAGGGTCGGGGTGTGCAGAGCGCTGACAAGCACGGGCAGGCCGGGTGGCCAGCGCTGCCTCAGAAGTGGCACAGGCCTGAGTTACATCTAGAGGTGGTCAGGCTCAGGGGCTGAGAGGGCCCCCCCATGATGAGAGGCAGTTGTCCCTACCAGACCACAGAGGTGAGGGAAGGTGGGGGGGGCAGGAGAGCACGTTGGCCTCTGGTCACTGCCCCCAGCCCCTCCACTCACACGCCTGGTGATTTGTGAAAGCAAAATGAAATGGAGTGGGCAGCCTAGGGGCAGGCAGCAGAAGGGGGCACCTCACCGGGTCTCTGCTCCCCCCCTCCTGCAGTGACTGCCCTGCTCTTCAAAATGGAAGAAGCAAACCTGGCGAGCCGAGCCAAGGCCCAGGAGCTGATCCAGGCCACCAACCAGGTGGGCCATGTGGGTGGGATGGGGTGGAGCGGGAGCTGAGGTGGGCCACAGGCGCGGGGTACATGGCCTCTCCTCTCTTGTAGATTCTCAGCCACCGGAAGCCACCCTCAAGTCTGGGGGTAACCCCAGCACCTGTGCCCACCTCCCTGGGCCTCCCTCCTGGCCCCTCCAGCTACCTGCTTCCTGGCAGCCTCCCCCTCGGTGGCTGCGGGTCCACCCCTCCCACCCCTACGGGGCTGGCTGCCACCTGTGACAAGAGAGAAGGCAGCAGTAGCTCTGAGGGACGTGGGGACACAGACAAGGTGAGCTGGCCTTGGGTGAGGGGTGGCCAGTCACTGAACTGGGAGGAACCACGTCTGAGTGCATGGGTGGGAAATGGGTGTGTGTGTGTGTGTGAGCATGTAGGAGTGTGAGGTGTGTGAGGGTACAAGGGCGTGTGAGGGTGTGGGCGGGATATGTGTGTGATGAGGCTGTAGAGATGCGAGATGGGGTGTGTATGAGTGGGTGGGGTGCGCGTGTGAGACGTACCCCATGTGCTCTGCCCTCCCTGTGTGAGCAGAGGGGGTGCTTAGCCCAGTCAGGAGCCTGTTCCCAGAGGGAGCGGACACAGGATGTGCACATAGGTGCATGCGGTCTGGCCAGCTGCACCTGATCTCCCACCTGCTTCCCTGCCTGATAGCTGAGGCGAGTGCTACCATGTGGGCTTCTCATCCGTGGCGTGGGACCAACTACCTGGGCCACTTGCCCTAGGGGCCGGGTGCCCAGTCTTCCTCGCCCTGTGTGGTGTTGCTACCCACACGGAGGGCATCAGCAGTAGACCCTTTCTTTGGTTATGGTGCTTCAGGGACCACTTGATTGTGGGGCTGGCTGAGTCTGAAGCATGCCTCCCAGGCAGCCAGGAAGATCATGGCGTGCGGCGGGCTCTGCGCCTCTGCCTGTGGTCGCCATGGTACCCTGGGCCTACAAGCCTTAGCGCCTGCAGACCTCCTGCCTGCACCAGCCCAGGGCACAGGGTCAGGAGGGCAGCACGGTGCCCCTGGGGCTGAGGATGGGCAGCTGAGAGACAAGGCTGCTGTAGCAGACTGGAGCCTGGAGCCGTCCCACCTGCTGTGGGGAGGTGTTTGCCTGTGGCAGATGGAGCAACACTTGTTGCCTATAGGTGATGGACTCCCAGAGTTTATCTCCTGGGATAGTGAGGCAGCTGTGTAGACAGTGGGGTGGGGACAGCCCGGAACAAATGACACTCAGCCGGCCCCGGCCCTCTCCCTCCTGCCGTGTCCCCTGTAGTATCTGAAGAAGCTGCACACGCAGGAGCGGGCAGTGGAGGAGGTGAAGCTGGCCATCAAGCCGTATTACCAGAAGAAGGACATCACCAAGGAGGAGTACAAGGACATCCTGAGGAAGGCCGTGCACAAGGTGGGGTGCTGCTGAGACAGGTGTGGGGGGCCTGGGAGGCGACAAGGACCGGCTTGCCCCAAGGCCACGCAGAGCCGTCCTGTGGGTACGAAGGAGCCCCCATTGAAGTGGGACGTGGGCCTGGCCCTTGGGAGGACGCTCTGTGCCAGGCCTAGGCTGCACCCTGTCAGGGTGCAGGGGTCCCCACGGCCAGTGACCACAGCTGCCCCTGGCCCCCCAGATCTGCCACAGCAAAAGTGGGGAGATCAACCCGGTGAAGGTGAGCAACCTGGTACGGGCCTACGTCCAGCGCTACCGCTACTTCCGCAAGCATGGCCGCAAGCCAGGGGACCCCCCAGGGCCCCCCCGGCCACCCAAGGAGCCGGGACCTCCTGACAAGGGCGGGCCTGGCTTGCCCTTACCTCCCCTCTGAGCCCCTGCTCACCCACCCCTGGGCTCTGAAATTCTGGACGTATTTATGGCTCCGTGGCCCCGCTTCCCTCCCCTCAGTGGGATGATGGGGAGGGTCGCAGCGGGAGGAGAGCCCCCTGCCTCACCCCACCCAGCCTGGTGCCCATCTGCCCCCCAAAACCTGTCTCTACTGCCCCACCCTGTTTGTGCCCCTACCCCCAATTTCATTAAAGGTTTCATGAAATGTATCCCCAGTGCTGTTATTTCAACCCTCTTCCCCCCACCGTTTCCCCCCCACATCCCTGCTGCATACACATTTGGGGAGAGGGGTGAGAAAAGAGGCAGATTTTGCTGCAGCTGGAGGGTGGGAGTAGGGAGGCTGCAGCGACCTGGGGCAAACGCCTCGCCTTCCCTGGGCCTTAGTTGCCCTCCCTGGGAAGCAGGCGTGCAAGGGATTGACTCAGGCAGGCACAGCTGGGCTGCTGGGGAGGGTCCCTGGCTTGCTGTCTCCTGCTGGAGTTGGCCTTGCCCAGGCGAGCAGCTGGGCCTGAGCTAGGCCCAGGGTTGCAGCAGTTGCGGGACACCCTTCAGCCCTGTCTGTTCTGGCCCGAGAGGGGAAGTGCATTCCCAGCAGTCAGGCCTGGATTCTGACCTGTGGACCATGGAGGTGACCGTCACCTCCTCCCCAGGTCCCCTTGGGCAGAGGGGAGGAGGCGATGAGTGGCTGTGCATTCTACCCAGTGCTTAGTCCTTTCAGACGTGGTGACTCCAGCATTACAGCACTGGCCTGGGGACATCAGACACAAGGACATAAGTGGTAACCACAGTTTATTCACAAGCTGGAACTTAGGAAACCATTTTTTCAACCAGGTCCTGCAGGCAGGCCTTGTACTGGTCCATGGTGAGGGAGAGTGGCTGGCTGTTGGAAATGTGCAGGTCCACGGTGTTCTCCAGGGAGGATGCGCCCTGGGACTTGGCCATGTCCAGCAGGGCCTTCAAGCATGTGGGCAGGATCTGAACGTGAAGCACTTGGGTCAGCCCAGTGGTGAAAGCCAGCGAGGCAGCCCCTCCCCCACTATAACTCAGGGCTCCTGGGAAATGTAGTTCCCCCACAGTCCCAATGACAGGAGGCCCCTGACATGGGGGCCAAGCAGCAGGCGGTCAGTGTTCCTGGGGCTGCAGCTGCCCACAGGGCTGAGGGATTTGGCACCTTTATGAGCTCAAGATAGAACTGGGGGAGACACCCAGGAGTTCCTGGGTACAGGGAACAGGTGGCTACAGGGGCTCTGGGAAGTAGGATGTCCCAGGGGCTTCTGGGAGTCGCAGTTCCTAACAGTAGCCTTGTCCCTCAGCTGCCCACCCTCGACTCCAGGGGCACCGCGCTGCAAGCACCTTAAGCATCACCAGTCTCTTGACCCACGGCTGGTCCTGGGGCCATGCCTCCCCCATACAGAACCAGAGCGTGTAGCGAGGTGAATGTCCGCTTCCATTGATGAACTTGATGAGATCTGAGGGCCCAGGAGCCTATAGTCAGGGGTGGTGGGGAGAAGGCCTCCGTCCACCCGCCACCCCCACATAGTTGCCTCTTCAGAGCTACAGCCCTTGGCCTACAGCCCTTGGCTAGCAGGACCAGTGAGCTGCCAGCTTAGGGAAAACAACTGCCATCCCCCTCCAGGCCCGTCACTGGAAGCCAGCGCCACCTGGACCCTGCCTGCCATCTGGACTTGCACAGGGGGAGTAAGCCATGTCCAGCACATGCAGCTCCAGAGTGTAGCATGACATCATAGTACCCGCACGGGCCTCAGGCTCACATGGCTGGGGACTCCAGGCTGCACAGCGCAAGGCCAGAGCCTCCGTGAGGCCTGCAGGGACCCACCTTCCCTGCCGGCTTGTACTTCATGGTGATAGGGACGGTGGCCATCCACCCCCTCAGCCTATCGCATGTTCCGGACCGGGCGCCTCACACCGGCTCTGGCAGGTTTTGAGGGGTGACAGTCCTAGGCCCCGTGTGCTCTGTACAATGTCCAGCTCTGAATGCTGCCCCTTCCTGCCTAGCCCCAGTGCCCCACAGCTGCCCCACTCACCTTTCACAAACGACTCCAGGTCAAACACACTTCCTTCTCTGTCCTTGGGGACCTCGCCACTGGGCCCCTGCCCGCTGTTGGGGAATAACTCCTCACCCACAGCCCAGTAGGTGTGGCAGTGGCCCAGGCGCTGGGCGCAGAGCTGAGATCCCAGCCGCCACAGAGTCAGTCCCCCGCCCAGGCTTCCCAGCACCTGCCGCACGTATCTGGTCACGCTGTAGTCCGACAGGGCCTCCGAGGGGTCAGGCAGGGCGACGGGCTGCCCCGGCAGTGCCATGTTCACAGCCTCTGCTGTGCCCACCAGCCGCAGCCCCCAGGGGCAGTAGATGGTCTGCTGGAAGACCTGGCGGCCGCGGTAAAAGGCAGTCACTTCGAACTCCCATTCTGAGCAGCACCAGCAGTGAAGTGGGGAGGAGATGGGAAGAAAGGGCATGAGGGGCTGGGGGCCTTGGCCACAGCCTCTCCCAACCCCTGCGGGCACTTACGTTCCTCAGGCACCAGCAGCCGCCTCAGTGGATTTTCAGGGGGTTCCAGGTTTGGGCAGGGATTGGGCTGGTTCAGGCTGGGATTCAACAGCAATTCAGGGCAGTACTCCTGGACCGCAGCCCCACCCAGAGGCCCCTGCTCTGGACCTGGGGCCAAGGCCATGTCAGCCAGTAAGTCCTCCAGATTGTCCTCCTGGAGAACAAAACAGCTGGGCCTTCAGCTGCCATTCCTGGGGCCACAGGAAGGACCAGGCAGGCCTCTGTTCCCTCGGGGAGTTCCTGGAGTGGAGGACCCACTGTGGGCACTTAGAGTGGCACACGAGCCCCATGAGTGCCAGGCAGATGGACTCAGAGGAAAAAGAGGTCACGTGGGCAAGCCGGGAAGCCCTAGCCTGTGGGGTTAGGGCTCTCAGGGAACCCAGGAAATGCTGGACTTCCTCCCAAGGTCTCACCTGGGGGTCAGACATGCTGCCATCCTCACCCACTTCTAATGAGGCGTGCCTGGCTCCTGTGGAGAAGGTATGGCTGGAGCAGGGGTGCCAGGTGCCAGCAACGTGGCAGCCCTCCATGGGAAGCCCTGCGCTGGCACACCTGGGACCACAAACTCGTAGACCTTGTGTGGGTCGTGAGGGTCCTTGCTGTTGTCCTCTGCTACACGCACCACTTCCTTCCGGTTCAAGGCCGACCGAAAATTCCTCTTCCAGGTGGGCAGGTCAGGTCTATCCCTCCCGGGGACGTAGCTCCCGCTGGCCTCTGCCCAGGCCTGGCGGGCAGGAAGAATGAGGTGTCCCCCACCCCCCGCAGGTTCCAACAGCCTCAGCTTTGTCTAACACTAACCTCATTGGCCCCAGGCATCCCTGAACTCTGCCCCTTGTGCCGGGTACCCTAACTTGGTTAGCAAAGCTTGAAACATCAGCTGATCTTCTAGGACCCCACAGTCAGGAGCCCCAACCCAGCGTACGCGGGAGTTCTACCTGCCTTCCCACACGCCATACTGCTGTTGTGTTCGCACACTGCTCCCCAGGATCAGGCCACTGAGCCCCAGCGCCACCCAGCCCGCACCGCGAGCCTCCCGCACCTGGAATATGCTGAAGTCCTGCGGCTGCGCGTCCTGCCGCAGGCCATGCTTCCAGGGTATACGGAAGCGCGACCGGCTCTGGTCCACCCACGACACACCCTCCAGGCGCCTGCTGTCCAGCTGCTCAATCAGCCAGGGCAGGATCCGCGGCTTCTGTGTCCCCATGGCCACACCTGCACCGATGGGAACATTGCTGGGCGTGGGGAGGTATGCCGGGAAATTCCGCACACTGTCAGGCTCGCACACAGCGCCTACCCCGCGAGGCCTCCTCTCCCCACCCTCCCAAAGTAGAGATGCGCTCATTCGGCACGGGGTCCATCCCAGCCCCACTGCATAGCCCCCCGACACGGCCGGTCAGTCGTGCAGACCCAAGGCTGACCCCATCCTAGCCAATTCAGTGCGCACACAACAACTCAGCCCCCGCCCCGTGAGCCGCTTTGCACGGCTGCCCCACGACACGGAGCCCCCTCTGCCCGTGGGCAGCCAGGCGCCCATGCACCGGGCTCGCCCACGGCCGGCCGCCCCTGGCCCCAACGAGCTGCCCGGCGAGAACAGCCACGCTCTCACCCCCTCTTTCGGTCCCCCCCTGCGGTTGCTGCCCTTTTCCTATAGCTGACCTCCAGCGCCTTCCAACCGCTGCCTTCTGCTTGCTCGGCTCTTCCCGGGGTGCACCAGCTACCAGCGCAGATCCATCCCGGCTCCTGCCACCGGACTCTTCCGCCTTTATGCACCGGGCGCTGGGGCTCAGCCGTCTGTGGTCACCCTATTTCCCGCCAGCTGACACTAGAGCACAGGAAGCTTCCTTTGCTGTCGCATTCTTAAAACGAAACTAACTTGAACATCCTTTGGGGCACAGGTTCGATACCCCAAGGGACGTTCCCGCACGCCCAGTGGAGACGCGTCTTCCCCTCTTTCAGTCTTCCGGACACAGGCCTGCTGGGAACGTGATATGCAAATGAGACGGCGGCCAGCACTCCGCCCCTTCCATGTTGGGGCGGTTACTCACTCGGTCCAGTACGCATGCGCGGCAAAGTTGAAGGACTTCCCAAAAAAAGTTTTTACAACTCTAGCGGAGAGGGCTGCGGCAGCGGCGCTCTAGACCGGGTAGGTGAGCGGGGTATTGGCAAGAACTGGGATGAAGCGCCGCGTGGAGGACTGGCATCCTGGAGCGGTTACCCCCTTCCCGCTTCTCCGACATCCTAAGCCGGGCTGTCCCCATCATATGAGCCAGCTAGTTGGAACTACATCTCCCAGCAGGCTTGTTGGCAAATGTCCCCTTTTGTCCGTGCTCGTCCTCCGCCAAGCCTGCTGGGGTTGGTAGTTCCGGTCTTCTGAGGGCATCGATAAACTTAGCCATTTCCCTCCTTCCGTGGGAACCCCAAGCCCCACCACCATCCTCCTTTTTCCCTCTTAGACCCAGGATTCCAGGCTCCCAACTCCCTCCTTCTCTGGAGCTAAGGATCTTGGCCTGGCTCCCTGCTTTCCCAGGATAAAGCAATCAGACACCATCCCTCTTGTCCCTCTAAGGAGTCCCAGCTCCTCACCCCTCCCAAAGCACCCGGACCCTCAGCATCTTCCTCCCTTCGGTGCTGCTCATGAGTGCTGCCCCTCTCTGGGGCTTGGGCCCCAGGCCTCCGTCTGCTGTGCATCGCTCAGCCGCCCCTGTCCTAGGCACCTCCATGGCGGGCTCGGAGGAGCTGGATCTCCGCGAGGACACGCTGAAGGTCCTGGCTGCCTTCCTCCGCCGGGGCGAGGCTGCTGGGTCCCCCAGCCCACCCCCTCCGAGGTAAGAGGAGCTGAGCCCCTTCATCCCAGGATAGGGCCGGGTCCTCCATGAGAGCGGAAGAGCAGGAGTCTGGGGGGATTACTCTCAGGTCTTCTACCCCAGGACACCACCCGGAGAAGAGCCAACTGACTTGCTGAGTCGCCTTCGAAGATGTCTGCCATGCCCGCTGGGGCGAGGAGCTGTGCCCCCCGAATCCCCACGGCCTTGCACGCTGCCACTGCGCCCCTGCTATGGTTCAGGACCTGGTAAGTGACTGTCCTCACTCACCTGTGCTGCTGGCCGAGTGAGGCACCCTCATTCCCAAAACACACAGGATGCAGCTCACGGTCGCCCAGCTAGGGGGTCACTGCCATCACCCACCCTTGCTATCCTGTGGACTCCCCTGAGCCTCGGTTAGATTTCTGAGTTCATTGGGTTGGCTTTGGGATGGCCTTTGGTGGCTTTCCACCATCCTGTGTGGGTTTTGTTTTTTTTTTAACCCCCCAGCATGCACAGTGGGGCTGGCGGTGAGGCGTAGCAGATCTGGCTTTGGATGGCAACTTTTGGGCGACGTGGTTGCATGAGGGTTGGAGGGATCCGTGATGGACTCTGGCAGAGCAGGAAGGGAGTGGGAGCAAAGGTGGTGGTCGTCCTTCTTCTTGATCAAGAACGACCTCTCTCATTGGTGAGCCCAGATGGATTAGTCATGGCTGCTGGGAGATGCCCCGCTTGCGGGTTGGGGAGGGGCGAGGAGTGCCGTGATCAACTTACAATGTCTGAAATCTCGTGATGTCATAGCTTGCATATCTACTTGGAAACACAAGTGAGGGGGCGTTGAGGATTAGTGCACATCCATTAAATGACGATGTGAAAGATAAAGAACTCCCAGAAAACAGTCCACTCGAGGGGCAGTAGCTAAAGCCACCCTGCACCCCAACACCTGCCTCCCATTGAGCGGAGCACCTGTGTGAGTCCAGCCTGTCGGCTGACCCATGGGAAACAGGGGGTGCTGACTCAAGCGGGCACTTGACTTGCAGCCAGCCACGTGGGAAAGAGACCCCAAGGGACTTCCTGCTTGCTGGTTTCAGGCTGGCACTGCCTGGGTTATGGCAGCCACTGGAGGCGTGAACCAGACCTCTCTCTCACCCTTGCTCTGTCACTCTGCCTTCCGGATAATGCATCATGAAAAAGTTATTGGAGAAGGAGAAAGACAGTGAGAGGGAGGGATTCCCCCAGGAGCTAGGAGGTCAGGCTTGGGCTCCTGCAGTGTGGCAGGACCCCTGTTCCTGAAGCCCTCGCTGCTCGTCCATGGTGGCAGGAAGTTGGGCATTGAAGCAGGTGCTACAGTCCCGGGCGCATGCGCCTTGGCTGCTAGGCTCCAGTCTTGTCCCTCTTTTTCCAAATACAGACGGATGGATATGAAAGGCCGAGCGCCACAAAAGAGGTGGCAGTGCCAGAAGTGTGGAGTAGGGAGGGCGCAGACAAGGCACCCCACTGCAGGCTTAGGACTTCCAAGACTGGAAATGCCACATACGCATCGTCTTCCCGTGGGCAAAGTCCTCTCCAGAGCACCCCCATTCGGCTCTAATCTTCCGTGTCAGACCTGGGGACATAGTAAAGTTGACTAAAGGATCTGGCATCTTTGCCAGTTTGTTCATGGGGCCTCACTGGACACCTTTCCCCCTTGTAAGGGTGGAGTCCTTACTGTGGAGGCGGTTGGGGAGGAGAGAGGCATTCAGTGCCCAGTGTGGTGGAGACTGCTACTGCCCGCTTTTGCGCCAGGCCCAGCTACCCCCGACTTCTATGCCCTGGTGGCCCAGCGACTGGAACAGCTAGTCCAGGAACAACTGAGATGCCCCCCTAGCCCAGGTGAGACCCGGAGCCTTGGAGAGGGGAGGGCCCGGCAGGATAGACAGGGTTCTGCCCTGGCTGATTCAGTTCTGTGCTGCAGAGCTCCAAGACCCCCCAGCCACAGAGAAGGAAGCCCTGTTACGCAGGCTGGTGGCCTTGCTGGAGGAAGAGGCAGAAGTCATCAACCAGAAGGTGATCCCTGGAAAAGCGAGGGGTGGGAGCCAAGTGCAGAGCATGCACTTTGGAAGCCTGACCCCAGGGGAGATTGGGTTTGGGGAGGGAAGGAAGGCAGTGAAAGCCAGGTGAGGGGGCGTGTCCAGAATCCCACTGGCTACAGAAAGGACTGGCTTAGAATGTCACATGGTCCATGGGTTGTCACCTACACCGTCAATTATAGGGTGGTGAGCAGCCCCAGGGTGGAGCTAACTGGAAGGCAGTTTCAGCAGAGCCTGGCTTTGATCCACTGGGAGAACTCAGCAGGGGTGTGGCCTGTGTGCTAGGCCCCACCCTCCGGGAGCAGCTGAAGCCCCGATTGGCTGATAAGATGGATGGGTGTGGCTTTGCCTGGCCCCTAGACCTGCACATGCAACTTTGGCGACTAATCCCCTTCTTGGCTGATCAGCAGAGCTTGACCACATGCATCCTGCCACTTCCCCTCTCTCCCTCCACCCCACAGCTGGCCTCGGACCCTGCCCTGCGCCAGAAGCTGGCCCGCCTGTCCACCGCCTCTTTCGCCCGTCTGGTGGAGCTGTTCTCCAGCCGCGAAGGCAGCCGCACCAGCCCGTCCTTGCCGTGCCCAGGCCCTCCACCGCCCTCCCCGGAGCCCCTGGCCCGCCTGGCCCTGGCCATGGAGCTGAGCCGGCGCGTGGCCCACCTTGGGGGCACCCTGGCCGGACTCAGCGTGGAGCACGTGCACAGCTTCGCGCCCTGGATCCAGGCCCACGGAGGCTGGGTGAGCCGCGGGATGAGGGGGGCTTCCCACCCGTTGTGTGATGGGGGGGGGGGCGGACAGGGGATTGCTTAGATTGCCCTTCAGACTGCACAGGGGTCCTCCTGGTCCTGTTTCCTGTGCTGTCTGTTCTGCACCTCTGGTCCTGTGCTGGAATCCACCTGCTTGACTTCCTGGTTCTTCTGTTACCCAACCCTCCTACCCAACCCTCCCTCAGTTTTTGCTCCTGGCTTTGTGTCCAGTGCCAGTCTCAGAGTGGGCTTGATCTGCAGCTTGCTGCCTGGGAGCTGCCTGCTGGCAGCCGCTCCCCGCCCCCTTTGATCCCCCCTCCAATGGGTATGTTTTCTGTTAATCTGCCGAGTCCTTGTGCCAGGCTCCTGCAGTGTCACCATTACTTTGTAGATTGACAGGCATGGGGAACAGGGAGGAAGAGGCTGGTGGCAGCACATGGTGTGGGAGAGAAGGCGAGATGAGATGAGAAGACGGGCAGCCACATCCTGGGGGGACTTTGTGGAGACTCGAACCCAGTGACCCAAACACTCCCCCACGCAGGTGCCCACAGGTGCCCTCTGCAGGCAGAGTGGGGGAGGACAAGGGCAGAGGTGAGGCTGGGTCAGACCTAGGGCAGTGCAGCTGCCCACAGTCAGGAATTCCTGGTCCAGGGCAGGCAATCGTGGGTTGGTGCATTTCCGAGGCTGGAAAAGTGGTCTGTTCAGCTCCCGGGCTTGGAATTGAAGACAGCCTCGTGAAGTTAGGTCCACTGTCAGGGGACAGCACCTGGTGGTTGGGTGGCTGGGCTGGTGCTGTCCCCCTGGGCTTCGGAGCCTACAGCACTGCCTGTCCCCCGGTGGGACACAGGGTGGCCTGTGTCCTTAGCAGGCCCCGCATAGCTGCCAAAGTCAGATGGGACTGTGGATGGCCTGGGGGATGACCCTAACCATGACCCACAGGAATTATTCAAATCCTTTCCTGGACTCACTGCCCCTGAGCTTGTAAGTCCCCATTTGGCCTTGTCACCTCTTTCTAAAAAAGATTTTTATTTGTTAGAAAGGCAGTTATGGGAGGAGATCTTTACCTGGGGAGGGGCTCACTCCCTACTTCGCAGCAGAAGCCAGGAGCTTCCCCTGAGTTTCCCCCATGGGTTCAGGGACCCCAGGACTTGGGCCATCATTTGCCCCTTTCACAGACACCTTAGCAGGGAGCTGGATTAGAACTGGATCGGTAGCCTGGACTTGAACCGTATAGGATGCCAGTATCTGGGGTAGTGGTTTTAATTTGCTGTGCCATGGCACCAACCCCTTTCCCCCATCACTTTTTACGCTGAGCACGTGAGGGCCCCAACACAGACCTGGTAGAGAGCTCCACTCAAATCGTAGGAGAACCCTGGGTGGTGAGGAGAGTGGCCTCAAGGGGGAGGTGACTCAAAGTGGGATGCTTGCATGGTGGGGGTGGCTGCTTGGCCTGGTACCCCAGGAGGTAACTCCAGTGTGACCCCAAGTGCCTTCTCCCAGCCTCTGCGCCCCTCTTCTGGCACTGAGGGGCACTCTTCTGCCCCTTCGCCTGGTTGTTCTAGCTCTCTCCTACCCACCCCCCACCCCAGCACAGTCTCATTTCTCTAGGCTGCCAGAGCTGCAAGGAGGGACGCACCTCCCCAGCTCACAGGGGCCTCTGCCGCCTTTCTCCTCCAGGAAGGCATCCTGGCTGTCTCTCCCGTGGACTTGAGCCTCCCCTTGGACTGACCTCAACTTCAGAAATGACTGCCACAGGCCTGGACCTTGTATCCCTGTGGCCCTGCCTTCCTTGTGGGCATTTCCAAGCCCTCCCCTTCTACTCAGGGCTGAGGGGTGGCAGTGGCAGTGGCTGCCCTCCTGTTTTTGCCAAAAAAGATTTTGTCTCAAAGTTTTTCATATAAAAACTGATTAAAATGTTGTATTTTTTACAATATGTATCTATTTCTATTGGAAAGGCAGATATACAGAAAGGAGGAAACAGAGTAAGATTTTCCTTCCACTGGTTCACTGCCAGAACAGCCCCAACACCTGGAGCTGAGCTGATCTGAAGCCAGGGAACCACGAGCCAGGAGCTTCCTCTGGGTCTCCCACACGCGGGTGTCCCAAGGCTTTGGACCGTCCTCGACTGCTTTCCCAGGCCACAAGCAGGGAGCTGGATCGGAAGTGGAGCAGCCAGGATTTGAACCTGCACCCATATGGGATCCCAGCGATTGAAGGCTGAGGACGAGCCAATTGAGCCATTGAGCAATCCTTGCATGTTTTTATTATTCTTTCCCCCAGAGAAAGGAAGTTGTAACAGCTGAGCTCTGGCTCAGCGCTCTCTGTGGTTGTTAAATTGAAGAAAGAGCCAGTCTTTCTAGAAATGCTTTCTTCATTCTAGAAATGTTCCATGGGGGCTCACCGGAGCCTGTGCCTGGCCAGGCGTGTTTGTGGCTCTCTGCAGGGAGTTGCCCAGCATTGAGCCTGTGTCTGCAAGTTACAATCTGCATCCCTGGGCGGGACCTGAGTTCGGAACTCGAGAAGGGTGCGTGGATGAGGCGCAAGAGGAAAGAAATGGACCACTAGGATTTCATGATCATAATGGACAATGCACGGAAGCTGTCTGCTTTATTCATACAGAAACAGTCAAACTCTGGCTCTGACTTTTTACCTCATGGTCAAGTGGGTGTTTCTAAGGATAATTCTGCCATTTGTTTTACCTAAAAACAATAGGAGTTCCTACTACAATTTTTATTCTACAACTTAATTTTGTATCACAATGAAAAGATCAAGGAAAGAATGAAAGTCTAAATATAGGTACCTTGATTAGCATAAGGTCAATGGGGACAGCCAAGACAGTAGGAATAATAGAAGGCACTTTTGCAAGACATTATTATTGACATTAACCTCCAAGCTCCACATTGAGTAAAAAAGCCAACTCCACAGTAGCAAACAATGCCTGGATGGATTAGCGTTCTTCCGGTGTCCATGCCAAGGAAGGTGGAGCTGCATTCAGGTGGTTGTAGAGACATCTGCGGGTCCTCCCTGTAATGGAACAATACTCTTCACACCTTTACGTCCCCCCACATCCACTGCACAGGCCCCAACAAAATTCTTTTTTGTTTGTTTGCTTGAGACCAACAGGCTTGCCACCTTTCTTGGGGCCCTCTCCCTGTCCCATTGCCCCCCTAGAGCATTTGTCAGTTCCGGAAATTAAATTCACAGGATCATAGCTGCAAGCAGTGACAGCTCCCCCAGGGTCCTTTGCAAAGTTCCTAGCTGGTAAATCTGATTTGTAACCCTGAGCTCACAGCCCTTCCCTGCAGCCTGCTGTCCTCCTGGGGAGGAACAGCTCTTGTTGCAGCAGCTCCCTCTGTCATCACTTCCTGTTCTGGGGGCTACTTTGTGTCTCAGGTTTTTTATTTTGTATCTTGGGTTCGTGCACTCAGTTATTCAAACAGTTCCTCCGCACAGCGCCACCTGCAGGCTGTAGTGGGCCTACCTGGGAACACCCAGGCAAAGCTGAGCATATCCCTGGAGCAGCCTGGATCCTGGGAGTGCACAGGCCCAGGGCAGCTGGGATCCTGGGAGAGCCGGGATCCTGGGAGCACACAGGCCCAGGGCAGCTGGGATCCTGGGACAGCTTGGATCCTCGGAGAGCCTGGATCCTGGAAGCACACAGGCCCAGGGCAGTGGGAATCCTGGATCCTGGGAGAGCCTGGAGCCCAGAAAGCACACACCCTGGCAGTGTAGTTCCTCTGAGCTGGGGAGCCAGGGTTGGTTGCCATCCAGAAGACCCAGAAGGCTGGGTAGGAATTTTCTGGATCGATGGGTGTGACTCCAAAGTGCCACTGAAAGTGGTGAAGCAAGCACATGAACCAGGGGCCTTTAAGAAGTTCCTGGCCTGGGACAGGTGCTGTGCTGAACACGTTAAGCTGCTGTGTTCGGGGAGCCCCTCTTCCCATGTTGGGGGCTCCGGCACCCATTCTTCCGAAGCAGCTTTTCGCTGACGGATTATGGGAGAGGCAGCAGGGGCTGGCCCGGATATCTGGGACCCTACCTTCCTCGCATGGGAGACCCTGGTGGGGTTCCAGGCTCCTGACTTTGGCCTTGCTCGGGCGCTGCAGGCCTTTGGACAGTCAGCCAAAGGATGGAATCTCTGTGTCTCTCCCCCTCGGTTCTACTTTCTAAATAAACTTTTTTAAAGTTCCTGGTACAATGGAATTAAAATACATGTATTTTTAACTAGTGCATACTTTTTCATAATTTGCTCTTCTCATGAACCTTTAAAAATTTTTTAAAGATTTATTTTACTTTTTGGGCCCGGCACCGTGGCCTGGTGGTTAAAGTTCTCACCTTGAACACACCAGAATCCCATGTGGGCGCTGGTTCGTGTCCTGGCTGCTCCACTTCCCATCCAGCACCCTGCTTGTGGCCTGGGAAAGCAGTCAAGGACGGCCCAAAGCCTTGGGACCCTGCACCCGCGTGTGGGAGACCCAGAGGAAGCTCCTGGCTCCTGGCATCAGATCAGCACAGCACCGGCTGTTGCAGTCACCTGGGGAGTGAATTATTGGACAGAAGATATTTCTCTCCGTCTCTCCTCTATGTATATCTGACTTTGCAATAAAAATAAATAAATCTTTAAAATTTTTATTTTACTTTTTTAATTGAAAAGTCAGATTTACAGAGAGAGAGACACAGAGAGAAAGATCCTCCATCTGCCTGTTCACTCCCCAAGTGGCCACAATGGCCAGAGCTGAGCTGACCCAAAGCCAGGAACCAGGAGCCTCTTCCATGTCTCCCTCGCGGGTGCAGGGTCCCAAGGCTTTGGGCCGTCCTCGACTGCTTTTCCAGGCCACAGCAAGGAGCTGGGTGGGAAGTAACACTGCTGGGATCAGAACCAGTACCCATATGCGTTGTGGACTAAGGAGTTGATTAGCTCTTGTTGGAATGGGCAGGAACTGGGCTTGTGGCTAAAAACACCTAGACTAATTGGACTGATCTGTATTCAATATCCTGGTTAAATTGAGACGTGTGTGGGGGCGGGGCACATAAGGAGAGGTGAAGGAGCAATAGAGAGACTGCGCAGAGACTTCTACCATCACTGGTCTCCTGTCAGTGCTGCATGCCCCGACCCCTGTCCATGTTACTGGCTCTGCTGGTCGGAGCATAGATGGGAGCCCTGGTGTGCAAGGTGAGGACTTTAACCACTAGGCTACCGTGCCAGGCCCCATTTTATTTATTTTTGATGTTGACATGGTTAGGATGAATACCCATGTGGACCACTGATTAGGATGGGAAAGGTCGAGAAAAGGGGGAAAGTGGATGAGTTGATTGTTTCTTTTTTTTTCTTCCTGTGTCTGGAGGAAGATGGGAGAGAAGCGGAGAGGGCTGCTCCCTGCAGCCCAACCGCATCAGTACATGATACATGCTGCCAGAGGGGATGAAAGGGCTCGCTCATGTAAAACTTCAGCCAAACTGTGGAGGCCCGGACAGCCCACTGTGCATCTGCCCAGTACCCCAGGCACCCCGGAGTGCAGATGGTGGGAGACAGCCAGCCCCTGGGCTTCAGCCATTCCCCCTGGGAGATCCTAATTGAGTGAACCATTCCAAGGCAGTGCTTCTCTCTGCCTTGCAAATACAAGCAGCTTTGACCGCTCCCGGTGCGGAGTGCCACAGGGAAGCTGTGGGCGCGTGGGAGGGTCGGTGGTCTGCCCTGGAAGCTCAGACCGCGCGCTGGACTCTTCCAGAACATGCAGCGGGCCGAGGCCGAGGCCGCGGCGTGGGCTAGCAGTGAGGACAGCAGGGCCCTGAGCGCATTCAACTGGTCACCTCGGGGGGCGGGGGAGCTGGAGGACAGCTTCCCGGAGGAGGAGGTGCCCTGACCGCTGGACAAAGGGAGGTGGGGGGCGGAGGGCTGAAGGGTCAGACGCCTGGGGTTTCGGGGTGCATGGCCGCCCTTCGCTTCCCTGGGCAGAGGGACGCTGAGCGGCGGGAATGGCTGCCCCAGGCCGCTGCCTACCCGCCGGCCAATGGCTTCCTTCCCCGGGAGGGCAGCCGCGCGCCCCTAGTACTAGCCCTGAGGCTTGGTGACGTCACCCGGATCCGCCAATCGCAGAGACCCGGCGGCGGGACCTAGCGTTGATGGACAGCTCGGCTCCCGGACGCCCGCGCAGCGCAAGGACCGCCGGGAAGCTTGGAGGCGATGCTGGGCGGACACTTTTGGTGAAGTCTGTCCAATCAGCAGGCGCGTTACTTGAGATGGACGGGCCGCTTTTCCCATCCAGTCGCCTGGAGGGGGCGGGGCTGCGAACGCCAGTCTGGGCGGAACTCCCGGCCTTTGACGGGCGTCTTCGCAAGCCACTGGCTACGCGGTGCTTTCAGACGGGCGCCTACTCTCGCCAATGAAGCGTACTGGTAGGGTCGCGGTGGGCGGGCCGTCGACCCTCCGCTATAAGGCGGTCCCGGGGCGGGGGAGTGAGGAGAAAGGGGGGGTCTCGGCGGCAGGAGGAGGAGTAGGTGCGGGTGAAGATGGCGGCAGCCGAGGCCGCGAACTGCATCATGGAGGTGAGCGCCCGGCGTTTCGCGGCGTGAAGGAAGAGCGGGCTCTGGGTCGGTTCTTTGGGGGGCCCGGGCCTCGCACAGAGGATCCCTTCGGAATCGAGAGTTTCCCTCGCGTTTCTAGGGCCTTCGATGCTCGGTCGAGCCGGGGTGGGGGGTGGTGCTCAGCCGCCTCCCACGTGGTGTGGGGCCGGGGGCGCTTCCGGCCGGCGCCCCCGCCAGCACGTGGCCGCGGCGAGGGGTGTGTGTGTGTGTGTGTGTGTGTGTGTGTGTGTGTGTTGGCGGATCCCGGCGCCCAGCGGCCTCCACGTGCGGGACACGCGAGCCCCGCCCCCGCCCGGCCTCCTGGGGGGCTCCCTCCACCAGGACCCCCTCAGGCCTCGTCCACCCCCTTGGGTTCTGGGCGCCTCCATGATGACAGGAGTGGCATAGAAGGGGCCCCCACCGCCTCGGCCGGACCCGGCCAGCATCTCTTTGGGACGTCCCTGGAGATGCTCTCCATCCCCCTCCATGCACCCCTGCACACCCAGGAGCTTGTTGGGGAGTCCCTGGAGATGCCCTCCATCCCCTCTACATGCGCCCCTGCACTCCCAGGAGCTTGTTGGGGTGTCCTTGGAGATGCTCTCCTGCTCCCGCCCAGGCACCCCTGCACACCCAGGATCTTGGGGTGTCACACTCCCAGGATCTTGTTGGGGTGTCACACTCCCAGGAGCTTGTTGGGGTGTCCCTGGAGTTGCTCTCCTCCCCGCCTCCCTGCACGCCCAGGCCCTGACAGGTGGATGTGGCATGCTCCTGGACCTGCCTCTGGCATCTTGGAGATCCTACCCGGTGGGGTGCCTCGCACTCCTTGCTGGCCATGGCTGCATATGTGGGAGGGACATGTCCCAAATCCCATCTTCCCCGGGGGAGAGGGGGCTGTACCCCTATTTCCTGCGTGTGGGGGGTGGTTTGTCGTGGCATAGGTGGCATTCGGGGGAGGGTAGGAGCAGGTGGGTTGTGTGACCTTGGGCAGCTGGGCAGGTGGGGAGAGATGTGGTAAGGCAGGCTGCCTTCCCATCTTCATCCGGGCACCTGGAACCATGGGGGTACAGAAAGTACCTTCTCACTGAACCCCACACTCAGGGCCTTTGGGGTGCCAGGTGGCCATCCTCAGCTGGGGAGCGTCTCCTCCCGCCCTTCCTGGTGTTGTGTGAAGCTTCCTGAGGCCGAGCTGGGAGCTGGGAGCCAGGGTGCTGTGTGGTGGGGGTACCTGTGTGCCTAGCTCTTTTTTCTGGAGTGTTCATTTGCGGAGTGGTGTGCTGGGTCCCCAGGAGACACAGCCTGCCAGCACCACTCCCTCTACTATTCAGGGCACCCCAGGATGAGGGTGTGTGTATGAGAGCAGGCGTCATCTAATCCGGGGGATTAGGTGAGGGGAGGGAATGACAGCTGGCTGTGACTGACTGAGTGCCCAGTGGGTGCCAGTTCCTCTGGCCCTGATGGGGGAGGGGCAGTGTGGGGGGCTGGCTGCCATCTGCCATCTCTCCAGCCACAGCTGGGATAGGGGACCCCCTGCTCCTCCCTCTGCTTCTCCCATCCCTTTCACAAACAGTCCCCTCCTCACTTCCTCGCTCTGCCACCAAGCGCTCACCAAGAACCTGCCCAGTAGAAGGCCTCCACTGTCCCCCAGAGCCGGGTCCCCACAGCCCGGCGAGGCCTCTCCCAGAGCCAGTCCCCACAGCCCGGCCCGGTGAGGCCTCTCCCAGTAGCTAATCCTTTCTCCCTGTTACTCTCTCCTAGAATTTTGTAGCCACCTTGGCTAATGGGATGAGCCTCCAGCCGCCTCTTGAAGAAGTAAATATCCTTTTGTGAGACCCCCCCACCTGCAGCTCCACCCTACGCTAGCTCGCCCCAACCCTCCCCAATCTGACCTCTCCCACATGCACCTGCACCTCAATCTAGCTCGAACCCGCGGCTCTGAGACCCACCCACTGCACCCCCATGGCAGGCCCCGCACCACACACCGGCCCCTCCCAGGGGTCCAGCCCTGGTCCCTGTCGCTGCACAGCAGCTGCCCCGAAGCCCCAAGGCACTTAGGACAGGCCCTGCAGGCCCCCACCCCTGGCCTCCCCAGTGCTGTGGTTGCTTCCTTAACTCCAGCTCCACCCCGTGCACCCTACCCGGTGTCTGTCCCTCTGCCTCCCCCTCCCTTCCCCAGCTGTGGGCTGAGCTAGAGCCGGGGGCAGACAGACTGGAGAGATGGTAGGCGGGCGAGGGGTCTGGGGGGTCCTGGACGTGGAAAACAGGGTTGGGGGGCACAGTGGAATGGAAGACTGGGACCCCAGGGCTGTCCTGGTCTGGGGGTGTCTGTGGTACTTGACAGGGAACCATAGGGAGACGGAGATTCTTGTGACTGTGGGAGCGCCCCCACCCCGGATCTGACCCGAGCCCCTATCCCCTCCCCGCCAGGTGTCCTGTGGCCAGGCCGAGAGCAGCGAGAAGCCCAATGCCGAGGACATGACATCCAAGGATTACTACTTCGACTCCTACGCCCACTTCGGCATCCATGAGGTGAGCAGGACGCGCAGCCCTGTGAATTAACACGCAGATGCTCAGCACAGCTAGGGCTGGGATCCCATCCCGCCATCACACAAGGACCCAAGAATGGACAGGGAGCTGCTGTGTTCCTCCAGGTCTCTAGAGCCAGGTGGGGAGTGGAGCGCCCAGGCCTTGAACCCAGGCACTCCAGGATGCCAGCAGGCACCTGTGAAATTTGAGTGGGGTAAATGGTAGTCCTGCGCATGCACACTGCTGCGCCTGCACCTCCCCTCTGGGGTCAGCCCACCGACCGTTGCCTTGGAGACAGGCCTGGGTGGGCATGCGCATGCGCCCCATCCACCACCAAGGTCACGGCCTGCCGGTCTCTGGCGCCCTCTGGTGGCCCATCATGAGACTGCGCCCCCATGTGCAGGCATGCAGGGAGACAGCTGGGCGACATTGCAAAATATTCTTATAGTTGGTCAAGAAGGCTCTGAGACAAAGATTCCCATCCCCTAGTTTGTAACCAATATGCTCACGTGCCGCTTCACTTGCCATTGGCCAAGGTGAACCAGGAGTTCCTCCACATGGGTGCAGGGGCCAGGCACCTGGGCTGTCCTCCACTGCTTTCCCAGGCACATGAGCATGAGCAGGGAGCGGCCGGGACTTGAACTGTCCTTCCTGTGTGTTGCTATATGCGACATTAGCATCGCAGGCAGCAGTTTAATCCACTGCACAGTCACGGTGCCAGCCCCACCTGTGTATCTGCCTGTCGCCCTGGTACTTGGGCTGTGCTGGCGTCTCTGCTGGTGCCGCTTGCGTGTGGCACCTTGGGGCTCAGTGTTGTTGGGTCCTGAGGACTTCCTGCAGCCAAGACCTACCAGGGCAGAGGGGCCCGTATGGGACCCAGGCGGGACGAGGGTCAAGCGCCCTGGTCTGATGGCCACAAAGCACTCTGGAGGGACATGCTGTGGCCCGGGGGCGGAGCCTGGGCAGCACTCAGCACAGCTGCACGCCTCCCCGCAGGAGATGCTGAAGGACGAGGTGCGTACGCTCACCTACCGCAACTCCATGTTCCACAACCGGCACCTCTTCAAGGACAAGGTGGTGCTGGACGTGGGCTCGGGCACGGGCATCCTCTGCATGTTCGCCGCCAAGGCCGGAGCCCGCAAGGTCATCGGGGTGAGTCAGCTGGGCCACCGTGGGCAGGGGGTGGCCAGTGGGCAGCCAAGGAGGGCTCACGCGCCCTTGTCCTGCTGCACCCCCAGATCGAGTGCTCCAGCATCTCTGATTACGCCGTGAAGATTGTCAAAGCCAACAAGCTGGACCACGGTGAGCAGCGGGACGGGGTGCTGGGGGGCTCTCTGGCCTGCGCCCCTCGGCTGCCCTGGCAGAGCCGGGGACTTGGGCCGTGCTCTGCTGCTCTCCCGGGCGACATCGGTGGGCAGCTCGGTCAGAAGCAGAGCCGCCAGGGCTGCCCCCGCGGGAGGGGCTCGGGGAGCCGAGGGGAGCGCCGCTGCCTCCCGGCTCATGGCGCCCGGCCGCCCCACGCAGTGGTGATCATCATCAAGGGAAAGGTGGAGGAGGTGGAGCTGCCCGTGGAGAAGGTGGACATCATCATCAGCGAGTGGATGGGCTACTGCCTCTTCTACGAGTCCATGCTCAACACGGTGCTGTACGCCCGCGACAAGTGGCTGGTGAGGCTCGCGAGCGGGACCCTGCCGTCCCACCTGGAGTTTCCCCGGGGGCCAAGGGAGGAGGGATGGCGCGCATGTGCAGACCTCACAGGACAGGCTTTGACTGAGAGCTCTCCGGCGGCTGTGTGAGCCACAGTGGCCCAGGGAGATGGCAGTGACTTGGGAGTTGGGGGAGCTTGGCTGGTGACACCTTTGGCACCCCTCGCAGGCTCCCGACGGCCTCATCTTCCCCGACCGGGCCACCCTGTACGTCACCGCCATCGAGGACCGCCAGTACAAAGACTACAAGATCCACTGTGAGCCCGGGGCCAGGAGACCACAGGCGGGGCCTGGTGGGGGCAGGCGGCCCTGGGCTGCAGCGGGCTCACCCTTCCTCCCTGCCTTCCCCCCCAGGGTGGGAGAACGTGTATGGTTTTGACATGTCCTGCATCAAAGATGTGGCCATCAAGGAGCCCCTGGTGGATGTGGTGGACCCCAAGCAGCTGGTCACCAACGCCTGCCTTATAAAGGTACACAGGGCGCTGCAGGGTGCCCGCCCCTGGACAAGCAGGGAGGCCTGTGCGGTCAGGCCGGCACACTGCCATAGCCTGCTGCCTGAGAGCACCGGGGCGTGGGGTGGCCGGGGGTGAGCCCGGGCTTGGGAGGCAGGGAGGCAGCGAGGGCCTGCGGAGCCCGCTCACGGCCCTGGCTGGCCTGTCCTCAGGAGGTGGACATCTACACCGTCAAGGTGGAAGACCTGACCTTCACGTCCCCGTTCTGCCTGCAAGTGAAGCGCAATGACTACGTGCACGCGCTGGTGGCCTACTTCAACATTGAGTTCACGCGCTGCCACAAGCGCACGGGCTTCTCCACCAGTGAGTGCGGCGGGGCGAGCCTGTGGGGCGTGGGGGGCAGGAGAGGCAGGGCTGAGTGTGACCGCGTTCCCAGGCCCCGAGTCCCCGTACACACACTGGAAGCAAACCGTCTTCTACATGGAGGATTACCTGACAGTGAAGACGGGCGAGGAGATCTTCGGCACCATCGGCATGCGGCCCAATGCCAAGAACAACGTGAGGCCCGGGGCTGTGGGTGGGGGCCGCGCTGGGGCCGGGTTGGGAGCAGGACTGGGGGCCGCGCTGGGGCCAGGTTGGGAGCAGGACTGGGGAGTGAGGAAGTGGGGTTCCCCCCCCACCACCTGTCAGGGAGTTCTGCATGAGGGCAGCTTGTCAATGGGAAGGTGTCGGGTTTGAGGACTGCAGCGTGGGTGTGGAACCCCATGGAGAAGCCGCAGGGCTTCGAGGGACGCGTGACCAGCCATGCACTATGCCCAAAACTGGTGTGCATGGGGCTCATGCAGCAGGCATGGTCCCCAGTGAACTTGAAGATTGCCAAGTGGAGTTGTGGCTCAAGGCAGGGCCAGCGCATCTGTCAGGTCTCCGGCACAGGGGCCCAGGGGGCTGCTGTGCACAGCCTGGGCTGGTTCCCGAGCCTGGGAGACCTGCACACCAGCCCACCCAGGACCCTCAAGGCCACCCTCTCTCCACAGCGCGACCTGGACTTCACCATCGACCTGGACTTCAAGGGCCAGCTGTGTGAGCTGTCCTGCTCCACCGATTACAGGATGCGCTGAGCCGGTGCCAGCTTCCCCCGCCCCACCTCACCGGCCAGCCCTGCGTGGCCAGCAGTGTTCCTAGGTGGTTTCGGGGCTCCCCTTTCCTCTCCCTCTCTTACACAGAAGGGGGTTTTAGGGGGCTGGGCTGGGGGGATGGGAAGGGCACATTGTGACTGTGTTTTTCATAACTTATGTTTTTATATGGTTGCATTTACGCCAATAAAATCTCAGTTGGGACCCAGCTCGCCTTCCTGGCTCAGGGAGGGGACCTGCTGGTGCCATGGGTCTCTCCGCCTTCTGTGTGGTTCCTGCACTTTCCCCCTGTCCCCCAGCACACACATCACAGGGTTCCTCTGGGGGTGTTTGCTCCTGTCTAGGCTCCTCCAAGTCACACCAGGACAGGTTACAATAGTGGCCAGCCACCGGGGGTGGGGGGATACCTCACTGGGGGTCCGAGTCGCTCTCCCTAGGGGCTGGTGATGGCCACAGCTGTCGCCTCGTGTCCCTTCATAATCTCAGGTGGTCCTGTCTGTAGGCCCAGGAGCATGTCCCTGTTGCCATGGGAGCTGCCGTATCCCCACCTGCTACCATGTCACTGCCCCCGATAGATGCCCTAACGGGGTCAGGGGTCAGTTCATCCTGCACAGGGGGCTGGTGCAAGTCCCACCCCTCTGTTGTGGCCTGGTATGTGCTCAAAGTGGGCACTTGGGTATGCATATGGGGTCATTCCAATCTGGGGCTCTAATCAAACTCCAGCTTGCCAGTGACCTGGGATGGCTGCCTTCCCAGGTCCTCATCTGGCTGGCACCTGTGGAGCAGCAGGTGGAACACAAACTACCCCCATCCTTATCCTCCCAAGTCAGGGGGGTCAATGCCACGCCCCCTCCAGGCAACTAGCACCTGCTCCCCCCAACATCCCCAGCACCGTCCTATGGGGTTTGGGCGCCAAGACCCCAAGGTCAAGATCTCTACAGTAAGGGTGCCCATGCAGCCACCGTTTGTTCACCCAGCAACCCCGCATCCTGGCATGAGTTGGCCTGCCTCTGTTCTGGGTCCCTAGTTTTTTTTTTTTTCATCTGTGTACCCCCAACACTTCCCCTCCAAGCCTGAAGAAGAATGCCAACATTATTATACCAACATGGAGTTTTGAGTTGCAACCCTCTGCTCCGGGCCTGTTTTTCCACCTGCGATTGGATGCCTCCCACATTTTGCATGGCTCCCTACACGCCCTTCCACTGGGCAGCAGCGTGCCTCTCCGTGCAAGTGTGCACTTGCCCGCGGCTCCACGCGGGACGAGCAGAGTGAGGCAGGATGCGCAGCCCCAGGGCGGGCGTTGTGGGGATTGGACACCGTCCGCGAGGAGGCGGGACCGGGAGCCCGAGCTGGGAAGGGGGAGGGGATAGAGCGGCCAGAATCCCCGGTCTGCGCACGCGAGACGCCACGCGGGGTGTCGGCTGGACTGGGGGTGCACAGCACCCCGAGGCGGCCCATCCGCTCTGTCGTGGCCTTGTCTCCGTGTCTCTAACGGGCGGCCGAGGGCCAGAGACGAGGGGCGGCGCCCTAGAGCGTACAGTCAGGGCGATTGCAGGCGCCCAGGGCTGGGGACCCCATGAACTCGGCGTGGTGAGTCCGGCTTGCACTCCTTGGTGGGGAGCGGGGAGGACGCTGGGGCTGGACTCGCCGGCCTCTCCATCACCATCCCTGCATCCCTGGCGAGGCATGCGCAGTTGGGCGCTCCCGGGCATGGGGGAGGGGAGACTGCCCACTCCACCCCCATACCCTTCCCTCCCCTAGTGCGTGAATCCACGCGGCCGAGAGGGGAGGTTAAGGCACCCTGCAGGTGCACGTTCCAGATGTGCCCCGAACGTGTGTCCCCCCCCGACCCCGTGACGATTCCTGTCCTGCTCCCCAATCTTGAGTCGCTCCCTGGGGTGCGATGGGGCTGCAGGGAAGTCACTGCTGCTTGTGCCAGCTCTGCCTCCCGCCTCTGTGTTTGGAGACACGCACACCCCCATTGCCACACCTGCAACCTGGGTCTCCCCCCGCCCCGCCCGCGCCCCCTCTGAGTTGCTGAGAGAAGGGGTGGGCAGGTTGCATTCTGTGTTGCTGTAATCGGCCTGAGGGGCAGATTGGGAGCAGGACCCCCATTCCGGAAGGAGTGGGCGGGCTGGGGTGTCCTGGCTGAGGGTCAGGAGGGCAGCCAGGGTTGGTTACCGGAGCCCACCTTCCTCCTCCTCCGCGCAGAGTGGGCTGCCGCCTGCCATGGCCGAGGCGCGGCAGGCCGGGAGCTGCCGGTCCTCGCTGACCACAGACGGGGCTGAAGTGGAGCTCAGCGCGCCCGTGCTGCAGGAGATCTACCTGTCCGGCCTGCGCTCCTGGAAACGGCACCTCTGGCGCTTCTGGGTGAGCTTCCAGGACCCTCACCCTTAGCCTTCTGTCAGCTTTGACAGTCTCTTCCACCTCCCTGCCTTCCTGCCTTCCTTCCTTCCTTCCTTTCTTCCTTCCTGCCTCCCTGCCTCCCTGCCTCCCTGCCTTCCTGCCTCCCTGCCTTCCTTCCTGCCTTCCTTCCTTCCTTCCTTTCTTCCTTCCTGCCTTCCTTCCTGCCTTCCTGCCTTCCTGCCTTCCTGCCTTCCTGCCTCCCTGCCTCCCTGCCTCCCTGCCTCCCTGCCTCCCTGCCTCCCTGCCTCCCTGCCTTCCTTCATCGACCAGGCATGTATGGGGGCACACAGCAGAGACCAGGGTAGAAGTGACCCTGCCTCTCTTCCGATGCTAGCAGGATGGTGGTCCGTGGGTATCCACCATCAGTGGTGACGTACTGGGGGCAGATGGAAAAGCCTGTGGGGTGTGGTGGTACAATGAAGGGGCAGCCCTTGGGGCCTAGCTGTTAGTGAAGGGTCCCTTAGAGCTGGTGGCAAGACAGCCTTGCCACACCATTTCTAGAATGTTCCTCCCCGCAAGGCTCCTACACTTGTGGTGTCTGTCTTCGGGAGAGGATTTGCATGTGGTGTTGCATGATGGGATGTTAGGGCTGTCACCTGTGTGTTCACCACCAGCTCCGGATCCCTTTTCTGAACTGGATGTCCCCAGTACCTTGGTACGCCCACTGGACCAGCTGGGGAGGGGGTGGTGAGACTGAATATAGTCCCTTTGCTCCCATAGAATGATGTGCTCACGGGCGTCTTCCCCGCCAGCCCCCTCAGCTGGCTGTTCCTGGTCAGCGCCATCCAGCTGGCCTGGCTGCTCCAGCTGGACCCCTCCCTGGGCCTCACGGAGAAGATCAAAGAGCTGCTGCCCGACTGGTGAGGCCCCCGCCCCACCACGTCAGGCTCCCCGGCCGTGTAAGGTGCCTGATGCTGGGTTAGAAAGGGCACGTCTGCCCAGGCTCCATCCCGGCTGCGGCTCTTCTAGGAGGGTGGCAAATCAGGATGTGCCCTGCTACAGTGGCAGCGGAGGCAGGAAGCCTGTGGCTTTAGCAAGAGCCTGGTCGAGTCTCGGCTGTGCAGAATGGGCTGAGCGCTTGCTCACTGGTCGGAATTCATGCACGTTGTGAGACCAGAATGGCCGTGCTCAGGGTGGTGTGGCCGTAGGCTCATGGATGGCGTCCAGGAGCAGACCGTGCCCCCTCCATCAGCCAAGGAAGCGGCAGCATTTTCACGAGTCACAACTGTTGCCTTCGGGGCGAAGGGTTTGCAAGCAAGGGCAGGGAAAGACCTGTATTTGTTCTCCTCGGAAGGACTTCAGACCTGGTCTAGGTAGTCCCGCACTTGCATCTAGAAAGTTCCAGAAAGATGGGGTTTCCACAGCCCATAGAAGGGGAGTGACGCAAGCAAAGACACCGGGTGAGAGGTATTGGCATGTTGGACTGCATGGTTTTTTTAAAGATCTGTTTTATTTTTATTGGGAAGTCAGATATACAGACAGGAGGAGAGACAGCGAGGAAGATCCTCCTTCCATTAATTCACTCCCCAAGCGGCTGAACCAATCTGAAGCCAGGAGCCCAGAGCCTCTTTTGGGTCTTCCACGTGGGTGCAGGGTCCCAAGGCTTTGGGCCATCCACTGCTTTCCTGGGCTATAAGCAGGGAGCTGGATGGCAAGTAGACCAGCCAAGACATGAACCAGCGCCCCTGTGTGATACCAGCACTTGAAGGCAAAGGATGAGCCAGTTGAGTCATCTTGTCAGGCCCTGGACTGCAGTTTTGCCCACTGCAGGGCCAGCTTTATCTGCCCTTGGGTTCGCAGCAGAGTCTCCTGCAGGGACTTCCTCAGGCACTGATTGCCAAGTGGGCATGTGGTGCACTGGTTCCGATGTCGCGTGGGCACTGCCTGTGTTCCAGATCCAGGGGCCTGACTCCTGATTCCTGCTCACGTGCACCCAGGGCCCTTGTGGGAGACCCTAATGGAGTTCTAGGCCTCCTAACTTTGGTATGGCCTAATTTTGGGCTGTCAGAGGTTGGCATAGCAAACCAGCAGATAGAAGAATCTTCCTCTGGTTCAACTCGCCGGATGTCAGCAACAGTCAGGATGGGGCCAGGAGTCTAGAGCTTCCTCTGGGTCACCCACATGGGTGCAAGGGTCCCAGCCTGCTGCTTTCCCAGGAACATGTGCAGGGGGCTGGATTGGAAGTGGAGCAGGCAGGACTGAAATTAAAGCTCAGATACAGTAGGCAAGCATCGCAGGTGGTGGCCAGCCCCAGACCCCCCACTCACAGAGCGCCATGGTCACAGTGCCCGCACCACGCAGTGTGTGAGAAGAATCATGGCTCCTCTGCAAATAAGGGAAAGGGGCCGTCCATCCGACTGCAGGCTCCCTCTTGGACCCACAGCAGCCCAGAGCCCCTCTTCCTCTCCCGCAGGGGTGGACAGCACCACTGCCTCCGCGGGGCGCTGGCGGCCGCACTGTTCGCCTCCTGTCTATGGGGGGCGCTCATCTTCACGCTACACGTAGCCCTGAGGCTGCTGCTGTCCTACCACGGCTGGCTTCTGGAACCTCCCGGGGCCATGTCATCGCCCACCAAGACCTGGCTGGTGGGTGAGAGCCCGTGTCTCTGTCCTCTCCTTTCCCTCCCCAGAGTCTTTGCCAGCCCCTCTAGGTCACTGTCCCATTCTCTCTTTGTCCTTTCCTCGGTCCTGGTCCTCCTTGCAGGCTCTGGTTCGCATCTTTTCCGGCCGCCGCCCAATGCTGTTCAGCTACCAGCGCTCTCTGCCGCGCCAGCCTGTGCCGTCTGTGCAGGACACCGTGCGCAAGGTGGGCCTGGGTCTTTGGTGGAAGATGGAGTGGGCGGGGCTGTGGGGGTGGGGGACTGGCCAGCCACCTGAGCTGCCCTCCCCTCGGCCCAACTCCTTCAGTACCTGGAGTCTGTCCGGCCGGTGCTCTCAGACGAGGACTTCGACTGGACCTCGGTGCTGGCGCACGAGTTCCTGAAGCTGCAGGCATCACTGTTACAGTGGTACCTGTGCCTCAAGTCCTGGTGGGCGTCCAATTACGTGAGTCCCCCGCTCCCAGCCCGCCCTGCCCATGTCCCGCCCTCTGACAGTGCTGTGCCCGTGGCCATGGGAGCCTCACCCCTGTACCAGTGGTTTCTCCCCCACCCCCAATATCCAGACCCCAGCCCAGCACCCAGCTCTGTGAACGTGTTCCTGGTTCACTCCCCAAGTGACCACAACGGCCAGAGCTGACCCACTCTGAAGTCAGGAGCCAGGAGCTCTTCCAGGTCTCCCACACGCGGGTGCAGGGTCCCAAGGCTTTGGGCTGTCCTTGACTGATTTCCCAGGCCACAGGCAGGGAGCTGGATGGGAAGTGGAGCAGGGCAGCCAGGACACGAACCAGCACCCATATGGGACTCTGGTTTGTGCAAGACGAGGACTTTGGCCACTAACTAGACTATTTTACTGGACCAAAAACAAATATATTTTTAAGTTTATTATATTTATTTGATAGTAATTATAGAGTTAATCAGGGTGGGAAGGATTAAGGCTAAGGGAAAAATGGGTGAAATCATTGTTTCTTAATTCTTCATTTCTTCTTGTCTCTGGGGAAACCACACCCAGCCGCCCAAATATCCCAGTATGCAGGGATGGGGAACCGCCACCCAATATCAACCCAGCGTCCCGCTGTAGTGCATGTTCCGAGGGTTCTGATCAAGTGGTTTCGATAGTTCTAAATTCTGTCGATTTTGCCTATCCAAGGGTGAGGCAGCCCTCGCAGTGCCCACTGGCTGCCATAGTCGAACTCAAGTCTCCATTCACCCAGATGTTTGCTGTCATCATTTGCTGGGTTAGTTGTCCAGTTTGCTCTGTTCTCCTTTCCCTGTGACAGTAACAAATGGGCTGCCGTATTGTCCATGTGCAGCAGGGTCTGTGTCCGCTACTGCATCCTTTTCAATCACAGGCAGGACCAAGGACCAGGGCCAGGTGACATGGGGCTCACGAACCCAGCACTGACCACGCATTTAGGCCCAAGGACCAGGGACAGGCGACCCTTGTCCCCTGCTGGATCTCCCGCCCTCAGGGATCATGCCTCTGGCACCCACCTCATAGGAAGGGACAAAACAAAACAAAAAACCTCTCAGCACCCCATGTCTTGTGGGTCGGTAGCGCTGTAGGGCTTCTGGCTCCTGAGCGGGTCCTGGTGCCTGCTCTGTCTACAACCTGATGCAGCTGTCCTGGTTGGCAGCTCTGTCCCCGGCCGTGAGCCCCTGGTCAGGGTGGCCTCCTTCACTGAGCTGCCCTGTCCCCGCGCCTCCCCCTCACCACCCCCAGGTCAGCGACTGGTGGGAGGAGTTTGTGTATCTGCGCTCCCGGAATTCACTGATGGCCAACAGCAACTACTACTTGATGGTGAGAGGCAGGAGGGGCCGAGGAGGGGTGGCCGAGCGTGCCCCCCATGCCACGCTGAGGTCTGGGGGTATGGGTGGGTTGGAAGGCAGCGGCACTCAGGGTCAGGCACCTGCACAGCCTCGGGTTCTGCCTGTGGTGTCATGATCCCAGCACCTGCCACACCAGACCCAGCTCGGGCGTCCTGCTCTCTCTCCTGTGGCCCCCAGGACTTCCTGTATGTGACACCCACCCCACTGCAGGCAGCGCGAGCTGGCAATGCCGTGCACGCCCTGCTCCTGTACCGCCACCGTCTGAACCGGCAGGAGATCCCCCCGGTACGGTAGTCCGGCTGCCTGGGGGGAGGCAGGTGCCGGGGTGGGTGACACGTGGGATCCAGCCCAGTGTTCATGAACACGCAGTATCCACTGCAGACTCTGCTGATGGGAATGCGTCCGCTGTGCTCTGCCCAGTTCGAGAAGATATTCAATACCACACGGGTTCCAGGGGTGGATAAAGGTGAGGGCCCCCCACCCCCTGAGGCCCAGCGTGCCCCACCCAGCGAGGCTGTGCTGTGCCTTCTTCCTGGCTGTGTGGCATGGGCACTGGCCTTCCCGTGACTTAGTCTTACCTCTGGAATGGGACAGTAACCAACAGTCCCCTTAGCTTGACGACGGCTTGTCCTATCTCCCCACCCCAGACTACATTCGCCACCTCCAGGACAGCCAGCACGTGGCGGTCTTCCACCAGGGTCGATTTTTCCGTGTGGCCACCCACTCCCCGTATGGCCTGCTCTCCCCAAGGGCCCTTGAGCAGCAGTTCCAGCAAATCCTGGACGACCCATCACCTGCCTGCCCCCACGAGGAGCACCTGGCAGCCCTGACCACGGCGCCCAGGTGAGGACAGAGGTATCAGGGTGGGCAGTACCGCCAGGCTCCTGGAGCTGGGGGCCTGTGGGTGGAGGCCCCCTGGGCTCAAGCACATCCCTGCCCAACAACAGGAGTACGTGGGCCCAGGTGCGGACACTGGTCCGGAGCCAGGCGGCCGAGGCCCTGGAGGCCGTGGAAGGGGCTGCCTTCTTTGTGTCCCTGGACTCTAAGCCCGCGGGACTCACCGGGGAGGACCCGGCAGCTTCCCTGGCTGCCTACGCCCACGCCCTGTTGGCCGGCCCAGGCCACGACCGGTGAGTCAGCCCCAGGGGACCCGCGGCAAGGCCCACTGCCAAACCCTCCAACTGGGATACCCCAGACCCAGGAACCCACTTGGGAGTGAGCAGAGGCTCGGAAAGAAGACTTTCAGAGCCTCAAGAGCCCCAGGCTCAGAGCCCCAGGTTGCCCCCTGCTCAGGGTGTCAAGATCTCCCAGTGACCTGGCTCCCTGCTGAGGACCCCGGTGCTGCCGACGACCCCTTCAACTGATTCTCACATCCCCCCTCAGCTCCCGAGAAGCCCCGAGTCCCCTCACCCAGCCCCGGCTCCATGACCCTTCTCTGCTGCTCCCACAGCTGGTTCGACAAATCCTTCACACTCATCGTCTTCTCCGACGGGAAGCTGGGCCTCAGTGTGGAACACTCGTGGGCCGACTGCCCTATCTCAGGACACATGTGGGAGGTAGGCCCTCCCACCTCGAGCCCGACACCCCCGCCTGGGGCTCCCACTTGCACAGAGGGCAAGTAGAGCAGACAGGACTTAACTAGTGCTGCTGTGGGATGCTGGCGTCACCGTAACACAGCTGTCACAACTGCGCCAGCCCAAGTTCGCCTTGGATGATGTTTAAGCTCAGAGCCCTCAGACCGCCTTAGCGCCTCTGCTTGTTAGCTTCAGGGGGAGCGATGAATACTGGGTAAGATGGCATCCCACTGGGGCTCTGGATCAAATGCCAGCTGCTCCAATTTTTTTTTTAGATTTATTTATTTTTATTGCTAAGTCAGACATACAGAGAAGATGAGAAAAAGGAAAATCTTCCATCCAGTGATTCATTCCCCAAGTGACCGCAACAGCCAGAGCTGAGCTGATCTGAAGCCAGGAGCTTCCTCTGGGTCTCCCGCAGGACTCACCAGGGAGGACCCGGCAGCTTCCCTGGATGCTTACGCCCTGCAGGGTCCCAAGGCTTTGAGCCGTCCTCTACTGTGCTTTCCCAGGCCACAGGCAGGGAGCTGGATGGGAAGACAGCTGCCAAGATACAAACCGGCACCAATATGGGATCCTGGTGGATGCAAGGGAAGGATTTAGCCACTAGGCTGCCACGCCGGGTCCCAGAGTGGGGACTTTCATCTGGTGGCCAGGAGGCAGAGTGGAGCTATGACAGGCTGTCCAGCAAGTGTTGGGCACCCAGCAAGGCCAATTCAGAATGTCTTACGAGCAGAGCAGGACACCACCCAGAGCGCTGGTCTCAGGTGACCCAAGCCATGCCCCACTTCCTCCCTCTAGTCTCAGGATCTTGGTGAAGCGAGTCCCTGGTAAGGGAGGGCATGGCAACCAGCAGTGGCCTTGTCTCCTGGGCAGAGGAGCCAAAGGTATAAGCCCTGTTCTGTATGAACTTGAACCTGAGTGCCTGTCTTGTGAAGATCAAGGATGGCTGGGCAGAAGGTCTTGGCGATAAGGCCACGCCCACTGGGAGGACAGGGTCTCTGAAGTCTTCACCTGCAAGCAGGAGGGACCTCAGATGGTCACCACCCACAGGAGGGGCTCTGGCCACCTCCGCCTGCAGGGAAGAGGGGTCTCTGACAGTCTCCACCCACGATCAGGTGGGACCTCCACTCCCCGGAGGAGGGGCGTCTGACCACCTCCCTCTGTCATCAGTTCACGCTGGCCACAGAGTGCTTCCAGCTGGGATACTCAGCAGATGGCCATTGTAAAGGCCAGCCCGACTCCACGCTGCCCCCACCACAGCGACTGCAGTGGGACCTGCCGGAGCAGGTGAGTCTGTGGCTCTGGGTGCCTCCTCCCAGCCCTGACTTGGAACTCACTCTAGTGCAAACACAGACTCACCCTAGCAAGCACCCACCTCAAGTGCATCCTCCATCCATATTCCTCTCCACCCTCAGACCCTGACCCAGCTCAGCTCAATCAATCCCACTTCCAACCGCAGCCAAGCCCATGCATGGCCAATGCTAAGCTCATCCCCACTGCAGCTCGGTCCTCACCTGTCCTCATGCCCTGCTCTCTGCATCCCAACTCCAGCTGCTCACTCAACAGCACTCGCTCCTCCATGCCCACCTCCACGTCCCTCCCTGGTCCCACCTCCAGCCATGCCTCGCCCCCTCCTTTCGGGCAGATCCACCCGTCCATCTCTCTGGCGCTGAGCGGAGCCAGGACGCTGTCAGGGAACCTGGACTGCCACGTGTTGCCCTTCTTCCACTTCGGCAAGAGCTTCATCAAGCGCTGCCACCTCTCCGCCGACAGCTTCATCCAGATGGCCCTGCAGCTGGCCCATTTCCGGGTGGGTCACATCGCCCACCGCCCCCACCAGAAGAATGGCTGAGGCTCGGGTCTGAGAAGATCCCTCCATGCCCTCTGGCTAATGGAGCCCCTTACTCCTTGTCCCCCCAGGACAGGGGTCAGTTCTGCTTGACTTACCAGTCGGCCATGACACGCCTGTTCCTGGAGGGCCGGACAGAGACGGTACGGTCTTGCACTAGGGAGGCCTGTGATTTTGTGCGCGCCATGGAAGACAAGGAGAAGACGGTGGGTGGGGGCCTTCAACCCTGGGCACAACCAGAGGTGCCAGTGGGAGGAGGAGTCTGGGGAGAAGGTCCAGTGGCAAGTGGCTTGGGGTTAGAACGGCCACAGACGCCAGCAGGAGGCCCACTTCCTGTCTTTCCATGGCCTCTCCTTTCCCCTTCCTCCCTCGCCACATGGGGGGGACTGCAGGACCCACAGTGCCTTGCCCTGTTCCGCACTGCCGTGGACAAGCACCAGGCGCTGCTGAAGGCTGCCATGACCGGCCAGGGGGCTGACCGCCACCTCTTTGCGCTGTACATCGTGTCCCGGTTCCTGCACCTGCAGTCGCCCTTCCTGGCCCAGGTTGAGTAGAGGTGGAACTGATAGCAGGGCATGGGAGAAGGGAGAGACTTCAGGTATGGAGGGTGATGTTGGTAAAGCTGTGAAGGCAGGAAATGTGGCCAGGAAGAGAGCCGTGGCCATCACGGAGAGGGGCGTGGTTGCAGACAGGAGTGTGGGTGTAGTAGAGGGCGTGGCTTTGTAGCGGAGGGCGTGGCCATCACGGAGAGGGGCGTGGTTGCAGACAGGAGTGTGGGTGTAGTAGAGGGCGTGGTTTGTGGTGGAGGGGCATGGCCATCCTTGAGAGGGCGTGGTTGCAGACAGGTGTGATTGTAGGAGAGGGCGTGGTTGCGGTAGAGGGGCGGTACCATCAGGGAGGGGGCGGGGTTGTGCTGGAGGGGCGTGGCGATGAGGGAACTGTGTGCTTGTGGGCAGAGGAGTGTGATTGTAGGAGGAGAGGGCGTGGCTATAGGAGAAGGCGTGGTTGTGGTAAAGAGGCAGGACCAGTAGGGAGAGGGGCGTAGTCAGAGACACATCTAGATACAGAATTTGCCTAGAGACACAGAGGCATGTAGGTTGGAGTTTGGCCCTGCGATCTTGCCCACACACGGGACCACCTGCTGCCCTCAGGTTCACTCGGAGCAGTGGCACCTGGCCACCAGCCAGGTCCCTGTGCAGCAGATGCACCTGTTTGATGTTCACAACTACCCAGACTACGTCTGCTCCGGAGGTGGATTTGGGCCTGTGAGTAGCACTGGGGGCCTGGACCCTGGGCCGAGGGAAGATGGGGCGTTGTCCTGCATTGTGGGGGGCCAAGGGTTGGGACTCTGAGGTTCTCTTCCCCTGTTCTCCTCTGCAGGCAGATGACCATGGTTATGGTGTTTCCTATGTCTTCATGGGGGATGACAGGCTAACCTTCCACATCTCCAGCAGAAAATCAAGCACAAAAACAGTGAGACAACCATGAATGTGCCTCCTCCCTCACACCCAGGGGTCCAGCCCTCCTCCCTCACACCCAGGGGTCCAGCCCAGCCCCTGCTCCCTCACACCCAGGGGTCCAGCCCTCCTCCCTCCGATCTGGTGGTCTGGACCCACCCGACCCTCTTGTCTCTCAGCCTTCCCCAGGTTCCCAGGTTTCGCCCTTTTCTCCCACAGGACTCCCGCCGGCTGGGGCAGCACATTGAGGATGCCTTGCTGGATGTGGCCTCCCTGTTCCAGGCACAGCAGTCGCTGAGAAGCCGTGTCAGGGGGCTAAGGGACGAACCCTCGGGGCCCACGAGGCCCACGTGTGGAACTCTCTCCAGCCGGATTGTGGACTCCAAGGTGCCCATGGCACCCACCGGCCTCTGACCCCTGCTGGCACGGAGCTGGCCTCCTGCAGGAACTGGGCAATAAAGACGTATGAGTTGGGTGTATGGTTTATACCACACTCTTGGGCAGGGCGGGGGTGGCAGAGGGCAGGGGCTGGACCCCTGGGCAGAGGAGATTCCAGATTCCCTTGCCTGTCAAGCTCCAGGCACCATCCCCAAGTCTGGTGCTAAGAAACCCAATTCTCCAAGGCCAACGCTGATTGAGCAACTCCGTGGGCTCTCCCCAGCCCACCCTCTTCCACCAGCATTCCTGTTAGCCAGCCCTGGCCATCCCATCCACCACGTCTGTGCGTTCTGCTCCCATGAGTAAGAAGTGATCACACAGTCCCCCCCACCTCAACTGCCAGCAAGTCACCACACCCTATGTCACACAGCAACTCCACCACAAGGAGAGCCATATATTTAATAACCCACCCTAAGAACCACCCCACCTACCTCCTGCCTTCTCAGTTCCACCATAACCCAGAGTTTGATCTCTCGCTAAAGATTTTAAATATCACATTCCCAGACCACACCCCTGTCTAACGCCCTCTGCCTCATCCTTACCATCCCATGAGCCCAAAGGCAATCATTTCAACCTCAGCTCCCCAGTTAGCCAACCTCTTGGGACTGTGGTTGCAGGGCCCCAAGCCCTCCAGTCCCTGCAATGCTGGTACCCTCCCCCCATCAGAGCACTGGTTCAAGTCCTGGGGACCCCACATCTGATCCAGCTCTCTGCTGCTGCTGGTCTGGATTTGGGGTTCAGAAGTGGATTAACCATGGTGATTTTACTCCACATGCTGATTCCTTGGGGACCAGGGAGTTGTGAGGCTGTGCTAGGCTCTGCCCTCTAGGGCCTTCCAGAGGAGAAAAGGGGCCTGGCTTCCTCCTGCGGGCTCTCACCCCTCACCTGGTTGGTCTCCTATGCTGGTCAGTGCCACCAAGCAGCAGGCCCTTGCTGTGGCTCCCACTTGTCTCATCTGGTTTCGCCCACGGATTTCCTCTGGGTCTCCTGCATGGGCGCAGGGACCCAAGGACTTGGGCCATCCTCCAGCGCCTTTCCAGACCATAAGCAGGGAGTTGGTTGGGAAGTGGAGCAGCCAGGACACGAACTGGCATACATGTGGGATGCTGGTGCTATAGGCAGAGGATGAGTGTGCAGTGCCATGGTGGTAACATCCTCATTTTATCATCGTTTTGGCTTTTATTCAATGCCATGATTCCATATCTGTACCCCACCTCTCTTCTTTTTTGCTTTTATTTTACTTTATTTTTAAAGATTTATTTTTATTGGAAAGGCAGATATATAGAGAGGAGAGGAAGATCTTCCCTACAATGATTCACTCCCCAAGTGGCCACAACGGCTGGAGCTGAGCTGATCTGAAGCCAGGAGCCAGGAGCTTCTTCCAGGTCTCCCATGTGGGTGTAGGATCCCAAAGTTTTGGGCCGTCCTCGACTGCTTTCCCAGGCCACAGGCAGGGAGCTGGATGGGAAGCGGGGCTGCCAGGATTACAACCGGTGTCCTTATGGGACCCTGGCACATTCAAGGTGAAGACTTTAACTGCTATGCTATCACACCAGGCCCATTTATTTTATTGTTTAATAATGATTACATGGTTGATCAGGATGGAAAGGATTGAGATTTAGGGAAAATTGGGTAAACTCAATGCATCCAACTTTCTTATTTCTTCTTCTTGTTCCTGGGGGAAGGGGAGAGACAAAGGTGGAAACCACTCATGACTTTTCACACATTCCAGTACCCAGGGATGAGGAACCGCCACCTCATATCAACCCAGAGTCTCAACGTGTCCGTATTCCGAGGGTTCTGTCCAAGTGGCTTGGATAGTTCTGAAATGCTGCGGTTTTTACCACAGTGTCCATTGGCTCCATTCAGCGAGATTTTTTGCTGTCATCATTTGTTTGGGGTAGTTGTCCAGTTTGTTCTGTTCTGCTGCTGCTACAGCACCAAATGTGCTGCCATATCCTCCTTTTACAACAGGGCCTGTGTCCACTGCTCCACCTTTTCATTAAGTAGGACATGTTCTTGCAGGCAAGCCTAAGGGTCTGTGTTAGGTGTCTCAAGCATCACCGAATTTCCCACCCCTGGGGCTCCCGAACCCGGCACCCACCTAGTAGGCGGACCCTGAGGCCTGGGCCAGGCAACCCAAGTTCCTCCAGGTCCCCGACCCATGACATCCACCTAAGCTCTGCTCAATTCCCCACCTCACTTCTTAATCCAGGTCTGCCTGCCAGTTCTGGGCTTGTTTGATGCCCCAGGATATGGCCCATGTCCCTCAGGCAGAGGGGGAGACCACAGGGCTGTCCCCCAACCCCATGCTTCAGGGTGCTTCTGCAGCAGTGTGCTCAGCTCCTGCCTCAAAGACCTTCCTTGGAGGCAGTTTCCATCTGTGACCTCAATCCCTGGCATCTGACATCACTTCCTCCCTTTGTCCTCTTAGCCTAGGGGCAATGGTGCTTCCTGTGTTTGCTAACTCTTGGCTCCCTCATTGTCTTTGTCTGTCTTGGGGCTCCAGTCCCCAACATAACCAACATCCTGCCTCTGATCTGATGGCAGATGTTCTGGGGACCATGATTGCTGTCTCTCCATTGGGTTTTGATTACTGCAGTTCCTGGGGCCAGGAACACAGCTGTTCCAGCCCGGGCCGGTCACCTGCGTGATGTTCTCTGTCTTTGCAGGTAGAAGGTGAGAGCGCAGTTACCTGAGGCATGCGGTGGGTGGCACTGTTTCTCTAAATCATCACCTTTGCCCAGCCTTCCATTTCTTAAAATTATTGAAACGACAGATTTAGGGCCCGGCACAGTGGCCTAGCGGCTAAGGTCCTTGCCTTGAACGCACCAGGATCCCATATAGGCACCGTTTCTAACCCCGGGGGCCCACTTCCCATCCAGCTCCCTGCCTGTGGCCTGGGAAAGCAGTCAAGGATGGCCCAAAGCCTTGGGACCCTGCACCCGCGTGGGAGACCCGGAAGAGGTTCCTGGTTCCCGGCTTCGGATTGGCGCAGCACCGGCCATTGCGGTCACCTTGGACCATCTTCTGGTGCTTTCCCAGGTACATTAGCAAGGAGCTGGGTCCTAAGTGGAGCAGCCCGTATGGCTTGTGTGCAGGGCCTAGCCAACAGTTGCTACACAGACAGCGCCCATAGGAGATGCCACCATTTGCAAAGCAAGGATTTAACCAGTGAGCTTTTGTGCCAGGCCCCCTTTTTCTCTTCCATTTTAACGCGAACTTCCTTTTTTTTTTTTTAAGTTTATTTGTATTACACTCCTCATTTGAGCATCATTTTACTGGTCTTTTTTGGTGCACCTGCACTCTGTGGCCCATCGCATGAGGCCAGACATGGAGTCTACCCCTTGTGGTGTCTGTCACCTCAAAGTTTGGGGATGAAGGAGGCTCACTTCCCTGGGAAGTTAGAGCCCAGCTGGCTGCTGGGCCCCCCAAGTGAGCACAGAGCCCGGAGCAGCTCCCCGCCCCTCAATGCCAAAAAAGGAGACAGAATTCATGCCAGCATGAGGGGCTATTTTACTGTTCAGGGCCTGGGCCCCCACGTTTTGGGGGAGTCCCCCCAGTACTTCCTCCCCCCATTGTCCCCGTGGGCCCCTCAAGTGGCAGGTTGCTGATCTGATCGTGTAGGGAGCACATCTTCAGGTGTAGATAGTCCAGAGTGGCCACCTTCTCCCTGAAATGGCAGCAGTGGGCAGCTGGCACCCCAGGGCACGGGATGGAAGGCAGGGAGGGATGGGGGTGGGACTGGAGGGTGGGGCCAGGGGACCATGCCCTTTCCCCCAAGGCCTCACCCTCCTCCCACGCCCTCAGCCTCCTCACTCCGGCTTCATCTTGTCCGTTAGCAGCAGGTTCTTGGCCCGCATGGCCTCGTCTTGGGCCAGCCGAAGGGTGGAGCTCAGGGCCTCGGCCCTGACGTGCTTGGCCAAGGCTTGGCGCTCCAGCTCCTGGGGAGGGGAGTGCAGGCACCGCTGGGCTTGCTGGACTGGGCTGGGGGGGGAGGGGGAGCTGGGTCGCGGAGGGCAAGGGGCAGAGTCCCATAGGGCCCACATCCCTTCCCTCCAGTCCCCCGGAGTTTCCCAGCATGCCTCAAGCCTGAGACTGACCAGCAGCCCCACCACACCCTGGCTTTCCATGTGCCACTGTGAATGCATGCAAACCTCTGCCCCCTAGAGCACAGGCCTTGGTCCTAGCAAGTGCTATGTCACATCCATTAACCCCTATGGACTGTCCTGCATTTTGTGTCCACAGCCCCCCAGGCTGGCACTACCCCCCATGAACTTCTGCACCCCACATTTCCTAAGCCACTGCCCCTATTCCCCCATCTCAGTATCCTGACCAGTATCTTATCAAGGGTTGTCCCCAGGCCCCAAGTCCTTGCCTCTGTATGCAATCAGGTCTTGTCCATCCCACCTACTACAAATCCCATCATGCACTAGGGCTCATATCCTACAGTCCCTTGGTAACTATTGGCCTCTGACTTCATGCCTCCCCTTTCTGTGCATCGGAACCCAGTCCTCTCCCACCGCCAGCTGCTTGTGGCCCGGCCCTGCCCTGCTTGTGCTTGGGGCTACCCCTGCCCCATCCCTTGTCCTGACAGAGCAGGAGGGTGGCTCCTGGTCCCTGGTACCAGAATCTTCTTGTGCAACCTCTGGCAACTAGGGCAGGCCGGAGCCAAGCCCCTCTGCTTCACTTCATCCACCAGCGGCGTCAGTGCACGCTCCAGCAGCTGCTGCAGGGACTCCGTGGACAGCTGCCCCTGGCTGTGGGAGGGGTGGGAGAAGATGCAGGAGGCGCCATGCTGTCCAGCCTGTAACCAGCAGGGATCCCATCCCAGGTCGTCCCAGCAGGCTCTGCAGTGTCCCCTCCCCCAGGGCTAAGGGGTACCAGGCACTTCCCACCATGTACTACTTCTGCCTGACCTCGAGCTATATTAGGGATTACCCCTACTGCATTCCCACAATGAACCCAGCACAGTAGCCTTGACCTCCACAACACTCCAAGCTCTCACTTCTTCTCTATGCCTCCCCCCAAGTGCTACACTGCAGCCTTCCCACATGCCTTGCCTGGTGCTGCCTATGGGACTCCTCCTTCTTGAGCGCCTGTGATGATGGCGGGCCTGGCCACTCTCACAGTCACCCACACCCACCATTCACCTAGACCCCATTTCTTCTCACGCTCAGTCCTCCTGTCCTGGCCCAGAATACACCCAGAGGCAGCCCGTACCCTCTCACCTGGCACAGCGGGCACAGGAGCCTTGGGGAGACCGGTCCAAGTTCATGGAGAGGTCAGATCCCCTTCGAGAGTTTTGCAATTGCCGCCCCAGCTCCTCTAGAATCGGTTTCACCGGGCCTAGCCCCTCCAGTTCGCTCCTCAGCGAAGCCACAGACACTGCTGACCGCTCCATCCTGAGGTGTGAGAGCAACCAGGGTTGCCTGTGAAGTTGCCTCTGGGACCCCCGGGCCTGGGCGAGTCTCCACGCATTACCTGCCAGAACCCGGGTTTCCCAGCTCACCCCCTCTCCTGACTCCGCTCTCTTTCCTGGGCCTTCCCAAAGCCTCACCCCAGGTACTTGCCCAGGTCCTTACATGGTGCACAGTTCGTCCGCACGACCCCGCAGCTCCTGCAGGCCCCGCGCCGTCTGTGCCTGCTCACGCTGTGCCCGCTCCCACTGGCCCAGGAAGCCGTCGAGCCTGCCGCCCAGGCCCCCGAGCAGCCGCAGGGCCTCCTGCACCGCCCCCTCCTCCTGATGCCACCGGGCAGTCAGCGAAGACACTTCCCTCCTGGAGGGCCAGACAAGTGAGTGGTGCGGGTGGAAACCAGGTTTGGACATGACCGTAATGTTCACCACCCGTCGCCATGTCCACGGCTCCCTTTGCCACCTGACACCAACTCTCCTATCCCCCCATTGCTTTATACTAGATCTTGTCCTCCAGGATCCTGTTTTTGCCCTGCCCCACCTCTGCTCCCCCAGGCAAGGCCTCGCCAAGGCATGACAAACCCCAAGCTTACCCTACTAGACCTGAGCCCCGCCCACCTCAGCTCCTTCTGGCCCCACACCTCGGGTTTCCCTCACTGCTGATCTAGAAGTCTGGTGCATCTCCTTTGGGCTGCACCCCTGCAGGCTTCACTTCTACGGTCACTCGGGCCCCGCCCTCCCGCCTCCAGGCCCCGCCCATTTCTCCATGCACACCCCCTCACTGCTGGAGGCTCCTCCCCCTACGTCACTCAAGTCTCATCCAGTTCTGCCCAACAGCTCCTCTAGGCCCCGCCCATCAGCTCCTCTAGGCCCCGCCCGTCTCCCCTTGTGTCCCGCCCACCGCCCGTAGCACCGCCCACTCTCCCTGAGGCCACGCCCCGTTCCTGGCAGCTGGCTGCAGCTGGCTGCAGCTTCCTCGCTCTCACCTCAGCTCTTCGAGGCCGGCGGAGACCTTCTGTAACTCCTGCTCGCTCCCGTAAAGGCTGTCCCCTCCCCGGGGCCCCAGGCCCCAGCCGCCGGGGAGCAGGCCGCGCAGCCTGGGGAGCTCGTCTGGACTCCCGGGCGGGCCCGAGCAGCCCTGGGGCGGCGGCGTGAAGCCCAGGCCGTGTCGGGAGAGGCCGGCTTCCAGCTTCTGCTCCAGCTCCTGCAGCTCGGCCTCCTGCCTCCGGGGCGTCTCGTCCTGCAGTTGCTGCTGGAGGTAGCGCAGCTTCTCCTTGGCAGGGAGGAGGGAGTGGGGACACTGCGGCCAGTCCTGGCCCCAGCAGCCCCCATAGGGGAAAAGGGGGGTGGGCGCCCCGGTAGTGGAGAGGGTAGGCTCCGTGGAGGTCCAGTTGGCACCTCCTCTACCTGTTACCTTCCCGCCTCCACCCCAGCCTGCATCCTCCTAAGGGTACTAGTGGCCCAGCCACAGCAGGCCTGGGATGCGGACATGGCTGCCCTCCTGCTAAGCCTGGCCATGAGCAGAAAAAGGAGCCACGGCTGGACAGGAAGCCCCAAGGAGCTTGTACTTCAGGGTCCCACCTCCCCCAGATCTTGACACACGCCTTCCCACCCCTGACCCCCTTACCTCTAGCAGGGCAGAGTTCTGCTTCAAGACGTTGGTTTTAATTTCAGCATCTTCCACCGACCGGGTCACCTTCCGGCAGTTCTCCTGGGTCAGGAAACCAGGGCGACGGCCCTGCCTTCCCATTCCAGTTCCGCCCTGCTACCCCTTCCCCTCGTCTTCAGCTCCCCACAACCCCAGGACACCGGCTGCCTCCTCAGCCAGACCCGACCCTGTCCACCGTTCCCTTCCTCTCCACATCCCCCACCCACCCGATCCTCCCCCCTGCCACTCCCCTTGAGCTGACTGCAGTACCCCAGTCCTGCCTGCCACCCCTGTCCTGCTCCCCTTGAGCTGACCGCAGTACCCCAGTCCTGCCTGCCCCCCCCACTGCTCCCCTTGAGCTGACCGCAGTACCCCAGTCCTGCCTGCCCCCCCCACTGCTCCCCTTGAGCTGAGTGCAGTACCCCAGTCCTGCCTGCCACCCCTGTCCTGCTCCCCTTGAGCTGACCGCAGTACCCCAGTCCTGCCCCCCACAAGCTCACCTTGAGTTGAGTGCAGTACCCTTCTAGCTCTTCTGCCTCCTGCCGCCTTCTTTCCAGGTTCTCACTCAGCACGGAGCACTCACTCTGGGGTGGCCAGGGAGCAGGGCTTCACTCAGCCCACTGGTGGGGGGTGCAGCCCATGGCAGGAAGGTCCCTCCCTGTTTGTGAGCCTCTAGCTCCCCAGCTGCACGCTGTGTGGGCGTGTCGGGTAAGAGGCTGTGAGAAGAGGAGGGGCCCAGTACCTGCAGGGTCTGCACATGCTGATTAACCCTCGTGGTCTTTTCTTTCAAGCTGGTGATGGAGTCTTTGGCTCGGACCAGTCCACTGTTGACCCCACTCTAGGGAAGGGTGGAAGACAGGGGGGCGTTCAGAGAGTGTGTGCCAGCAAAAACTTCAACCCACCCCTCCAGAGGTGAATGTTCTAGAACAGGTAAACTGTGCTCACTGCTGCATTTTCCTGGGAGGCTCTGGGCCAGGAACTGCAGCTCTTTGGTTTTGAATATTCCTGGTGGAGGAACCCAGTGACTGGGCTACATTTTACATTTATTCATTGGGGTGCTGGGAGAAGGAGCAGTGGGATCTAGGAGGAAGTAGGAGGGGGATGGAGGGGCCAGTTACGTGCCTCTCTTGTGATTGAGTGGCCAACTTTGCAAGAAAGGCAGCTGAGTGGCAGACAGGTAACATTAATTCTGCTTCCTCCGTCTGCCAGCTCACTCTGCAACAGCCGAAGCTGAGCCGATCAGAAGCCCTGAAGGGCTTGCTGAGTCCCAAAGTGTGGTCCATAATGGGTGCCTTCTCCTGGCATCCCCTTAGCCTGGTACATGCCCAACTGCTCAGAGATGACATTCTAAAGACTCCCCTGCAGCTAGGTCTGGTCCTGAGACTTAAGTCCTATTTCAGGGAATGCATAAAGATAGCTGATTTCTGAGTCATTCCTGAAGGCTGAAAGTGTCTCCCCTTCTGTCTGCCCTCTGGTGTGGGCATCAGGAGACACAAGGCCTGACACAGAAGGAACCTGGATTCTGCTTTCCTCCTGTGGAGACTGACCAGTGAGACTTAAAATCCTCCATCCTGTTTCAGCTACAACACTCTTTCTGTTGCACATTTATACCTTTACAGACGCAATTCAGTTCTTCTTTCTTTTTTTCTTTTCAGTTTTTATCTTTCTCTCTCTCCACACCTCTCTGTATATCTGCCTCTCCTCCTCTCTGTAAATGTGCCTTCCCAATAAAAAATAAATCTTTAAATAAAAGAAGAATGAAAAATACAACCTAATATCCTGCATGAACAGAGCTGCAGAAATATTCTACCAGGTCTTGGCTAACGGTGTCCAGTGGCCCAGGAAGTGGATTATGTACCGTGTGCAAGTGGGATTTGTCTCAGGAATTCAAGGTTGGTTCAACAGAAGAACCTTAACCTATGCAACATGGCATAGAACAGAATAAAGGGGAAAATTCAAAATCATGTCCACAGAGAAAAAGCATTTTATAATATCCAACACATGCATCTGATTAAAAAAAAAAATCACCACAAACTACGACTAGGATAGAACTTGTTCATCTTGATCAAGAATATCTAAGAAATTTCAGAAAATGAAAACACATTGTTAAAATAAATCCATTGGGTGGGGGGGGTCCCTGGTGCAGCACTGGCTTGCTGATTGGGACACCACCGCTCCCTGTGTCAGGGTGGCCACGTTGGAATTTCATCTGTTCCATTTCCCATCTGGCTTCCTGCTAACGCACACCCTGGGAGGTTAGCAGGTGGTGGCTCAAGTAATTGGGTCCCTGCTTCCCATGTGGGAGACCCGGATTAGGTTCTTGACTCCCAAACTACAGCCTGGCCCCACCCTGGAGAGAGCCACCGGGGCGGCAGCCATCAGCCACAGACCTGATGCCTAGGGCTGCACGTACAAGCTCAGGTCACTGTATCCCCACTAGACAGTAGCCCCACTAGAATCCTGACTACATCTTCCTGAAACCGCCCTCTCCCCAAGCGGGAACCAGACTGCAAAGCCAAGCCCGGTTGGTCAGTTTCCATCTTGGGGATGCTTTAATCAACAGCACTACCTCACCACTGCATAAAAGTACCCCCATCTGCCGACAGCCTGGAAGGTGTTGGGATTGTGGTGGGCAGCTCCTGGGGTCAGCTCCTGCGTCCCCTTTCAGAGCCCCATGGGCCTCAGGGAAGTCTGCCCTCTATTTCCCTACTGGTAACATGGGCATACAAAATTATTTTCACAGGGTGGCCATTGGCATGGACATGACCTTGCCCAGAAAGATCAGGACACAAACCTCTACAAAAAGGAAAGGACTGCTGGGACCCCCAGACAGGAGTCTGGGCTTCAGGGATGCCGGCTGGAGGAGGTGGCGACAGGCTACTGTGGCCAGCTCTGGATGGCCCTGTCCCCATCTTCCTGCTCACAGCCTGACTGCAGGTAGAGACTTGGGCAATGGCAGCACCTTGCTTGGCTGCTGATGAGAAAGGACCAGCGATTCCATCCCAGCGTAGTGATACCTGTCATGTCATCACCAATGGGGGCAGCAAAACTGCATCTCTAGGCCAGGGGCCTCAGATTTGGTGGCAGCTGGGAAGGCTCTGAGCAGGCAAAGTCACCACCGCCCATCCATGACACTGGCTCACTGTGTCTCTCCTGAGGGCCGAGCCACCTTCTCCCTTGACCCCTGGGTTTCTATAGATGTCACAGCAGACAAGAACTGAAGCTGTGGGCTTTCCAGGGGCCTAGGGACCTCCCTCCTACATGGGATTCTTCCCTCTCAGCCAGGGTGCCCTGCCCCCTCTCTCTCTGGGTCTCTGTTCCCTCTCTGCCTTTCTCCATGGCTTCTCAGATCCCGGCTTGCAGCTCCTGCTCTTGCTGTTCCCCATCACTGTGGCTATTATTATTATTATTATTTTGCTTTCTCCATCTCGCTGAAGGGGTCCTGGATCATCTTAGAGGCTGCCACAGGCTGTAGCCTCACGGCAAGCTCATGGCTGTGCTGGCCTTGATCTGGCTGTCCAGGGCCCTTTCTCAGGCAGTACCATCTGCTGGGAACGTGACTCAGAAATAGCTGGCGCAGGAGGCAGGCAGCTGCAAGTGTCATTGCTGCCGCTGCCAGTGCCAGAAACCCAGTACTGCTTGGGCTGGGGGAGGAGCTGTCTCCCAGGCCCTGTGTGTGTTCCCAACCGCTACTTCCCACCTCCTCCTCCAGCACCCCACCTCAGTCTGTCCCTCCCACACACCCTCTTCGCAGCCCCCTGGGGTGTCTCCCGAAAGAGCAGGCTTCTCATGGACACCCCAATCTCTTCCAGCCCTGACCCTGCTGCTTGCGGACGTCCCGGCCCAGGGCTCTTGTCCTCTGTCTGAGGTCTGTGTGTTTTAACCTTTACACTGATCCCTCAGAGAGGAACCCGAGACCACCACCCTGTGCAGCCCCACAGCACAGCGCTGGGGCCAGAGCAGGACCAAGCCAGGATCTCAGGGGAGCACCCTCCACTCTGCTCCCCTCAACCCTCACTGCCCTCCCCCACTACCCACAGGCAACTCCCTCCTGCCTCATCTCTCTCCCACCTGACACCCAGCCATAGGGAGCAACTTGCACACATCCCTGCTTTCCCCCAAGGTCTTCTCAGATCCTGACCATCAGCACAGCCACTGGGCCCTCTGTCCCTCTGCTCCAGGTGGGGAATACTCTTGCTAATTGTCCAAGATCTGGGCTGTTTTGGCCAAGCGCCTGACCGTGACTGGCTGGGCTCATACAGTGAATGCCTTCTTGGCCCATTGCTCTGGGATGCCACTGGCTGCTTCAGCTCCTTTAGCCTGGCTCTGTGAGATGGAGGTGCAGGTGGCGCCCCAAAGCGTGCACATCCCTGGCTGTCATGCCTAACTTTATAAGCACCCCTCCCCCCCGGATCCTTAGAGCTTCCTTGCTCTTGCTTCTTGTCTTAGGTTTCCACCCCAGGTTTTTGGGCCACCCCTTTTGGACTGCTCCTTCTCAACTGTCATCGCCTTTCTGGGAAGCTTTCCCTGGTGACGGGGGTCTCCCTTTTCCTTCTTGGGCACTCGCCTTCCCCCAGGCCCATTGTGGAGTTCTCCTCCATCCAGTCTGGGCCCTGATTCCTGATCTGGGACCTCAGCCTCACCCAGGCTGCTAATGTCCACCCACCTGGGTCCGGGGAGCAGGAGGCAGCTCCTGGGAGCCTGGGAGTTACCAGGGATCCCCCACCACCCCACACCCTCAGCTGTCTGAAGCTGAGCTTCCCTCACCAGGATCTCGGTGATGTCTGGGTCATCTGGAGCCCAGGGAAGGGTAGGCGAGGCAGGAGGCCCTGGCAGTGCCAGCGGGCCACTGTCTTCCGTGGTTGAGTCAGTGCCTGAGGAGTCGGTGGGCTCCACGGCAGCCACGTTGAGCAAGGACACGTTGGTGCAGGCCGAGGACCGCTTGAGGTTCAGACACCAGTGCATAGGCTCATGGGACATCCGGGGCTCCACCCTGGGGAGCAGAAAGAGCCAGAAAGGTTGGGGTGCAACCCCCTGGCCTTTCCGCCTCTAGTTTATTCTGCACACTCCTCCTGGACCCCCACCTGCTTGCTGCCCCCTCCTCCTTTCCTCCAGCACCCACGGTAGGCAGCGGGGCCACTCCCGTAGGTGCCTAACCCACCCGTGGAATGACACGGCCTTCTTTTTCTTTGCGATCCCCTTGGCCGGGCTGGTGGGAGCCTCGGGGACCAGATGGGAGTGGCTGTCGACCCCTGCAGGGGGGTCTCCAGCTTCGTGGATCTCTTTGGACTGCCAGATTGTCTTCACTGCCACACTGGCCATGGCATGGGGGGGCTGCTCCCAGGGGGAGACACGCCACCTCACTCAGCCCTCTGTTCTCCCAGTCCTGGGCCCCTCCAGCCTGCCTCACAAAGGACCCTCCCACTGGGCCCCAGGAAGGGGGGTGGGGGTGGAGGCTCTAGACATCCCCCCGGTGGGGCCCATGGATTCTTCCAGCCCTAGGAGGTTCTGGTTCCATTCCCTGAACCTGCTTCGGAGCTTCTGCTGGCAGTCTAACTACTGGGGGGGCGGTAAGCGTACTGATTCTGGCCACCCCCTCCTCCTGGGATCCCCGTGGGGTCACCCAGCAACCCCCACTCCTCCTAACCTCCTTGCCCTTGAATCTGTATGAACCTCCCTTTGGGACTTGGAGGAGCCCGGTGGCTGAGGACTGAGTGCCGGGACCATCCTGAGGGACTTCAGGCACTGTGGGGGGTTTGGCTAGGGACTGAAGTGCGGGCACGGGGCAGGCCAGAGACATGGAAACCAGGGAACACGAAGGGGCTGGGGCGTGACAGGGAAGGAACCCACAGTGGGAGATGGGGATCCTCAGTCATGAGATGTACCTCTTCCACAGCATTCAACAGCAGCGTGTGGCTGTCTCCCAAGCTGGGCAGCCTGGACAACGGGCACCCATGGCTCAGTGCGGAGGTCAGAGGGGCATGGGGGATGTGGTGGTGGTGGTAAAGATCCTGGGCAGAGTTCAGGACATGGCAGGGCCACTCGATGGCCGCCCACCACTCTGGCCCCTCTCTCTGCCTAAACAACGCCCGTCTTGTGGGATTAAAGCTCACCCAAAAGGTTTTAGGCCAACGGCAGAGATTCCTCCCCAGTAAGGTCCTATGTTTCTTATCTTCAGGGTGAAGTGGGCATCCTCAGGAAGACCCCAAACCCTGAGTCCCTGTTGGTATCTAACGCCATGTGGCTACCGTGTTGCTAGCAGAATAAGGAAGAAGAGTCTGTGTGTACAAGGTCTTATTTTGTTTTTAAGATTAAAAAAATAATACTTGAGAGGCAGAATTACAGAAAGAAGGAGAGAGACAGAAATCTTCCATCCACTGGGTCACTTTATAAATGGCTGCAAGGGCCAGAGCCAGACTGGAGCAAAGCCAACCCTCTGGAGCTTCTTGTGTGTCTGCCATTGGCTGCTGACCCTGGGTGCACATGGTGACTGGGCGGCAAGCGGTCAGGACGGGGCAGCTGCCATGACTGTGAGTGCAAAGCCCCAGGCCAGATGGAGGTAGTGATGCTGGGACCACAGGTTGCAAGGCTTGGGCAGATGGCCGATTTGGGCTTGGGGTGAGGGGTGGGAGGCAGCTCCCACGGGGGTGTGGATGGTGTGTGGAGAGGGGCTTGTGCCAAAACGGAAGATATGGTGGGGTGATGAATCTGCATTTTTGGAGAAAACTGTTGACTGGCTTTGCTTTAGATCCATTGGTGGTTCAAAGCCATTTCTTGGCGGGCTTTTGGGGGTTCCTACTTCGTGTTGCGTCTGATAATCTTGAAGACAGGACTTGCTGGACTTCATTTACACCCTGGTGTCATGTCTTGGCAGTGAAGAAGCCGGGGCTTCCCGGTGGCTGGGGAGTGTGGCACCCTACCTACACGGGTTGTAGCTACTTCCAGCCCCCCAGCCCCCCAGCCCAGACCCAGCAAAGCCTGGTTCCCAGTCCCATCCTCCATGCTGTCCCAGCCGACTGTCACTGCCAGGTGGGCCGTCCTCTGCTGAGAAAGTGCTTCTTGCCATGCTATAAACAGACTGCCTCAGTCCTTGGAAGGCCACATAATTCGTCTGGTGTCAAGACATGTACACTGCCTGCCCTGAGGCAGCTGTGTGAGCTAGAAGCCAGAATGGACTTTCCCAAGACCCAGTCCTGGCAGCCCCCAAATGGGCAGATCCACTGAAGCTGGAGGCGTGTGTGTGTGGAATATTCTTCTCCCTTCACCTCTCCGAGTGGACTTTGGCAAGAGCCAAGGAAGGCACACCCTGCCTTCCCAAGAATGCCTGGCCTCGTGAGATAGCGAAAGGGTGGTAGGATGGTCTGGTGCTGCCCTCCCGCAGTCGGCTGCAATGGACTCTTCCAGTTTCCTTTGCCCCAAATTTCTCAATAGCCTGGGGCGTTGCATTTCTGGCAGCTGCTGCCTTCCTCAAAGCCAAGGCCACGAGGTGTCCCTGGGGAGCCAGGGGTGGTAGGACTGGGGGGCTGGGAAGATCCTGCGGAGCCCCCTCCTCCCTTTAACTAGTGCTGTGGTCCAGGAGGGCAGGGGGGAGAATCGGTGGTGTAGTGTTGATGGCTGTTCTAAAGGCAGGTGGGCTCGGGGCATTGTGTGTCGGGTAGGTGGGGGAGAATGCGAAGCAGGGCATATAAGAAAAATTCAAATTCCGATTCTTCCACCGCCCTCCCGGGCTTTGTGGCCTCGGGCGAATCCTTCAACCTCTCTGTTCTCTGCACTGGGGTTCGAGGTCTCCCTGGACAGGTCGGGCGCGCGGGAAGGGAGAACACACTTTCCAGCAAGGGGGATAGAGGGAACCCAGGGCTCCGGGGGTGCAGGGAGGGGACCGGGGACAGACAACACGTCTGCGCAGTAAACGCCTAACGCTCTCTGGCTCCGCCCCGCCCCCTTTCTGCAGCAGGGAATTGCAGGCCTCGCTCCACCTATCCCAGCCCAGCTGGACGACGCCCCCTCCTTTTTTTCCTTCTCCACCAATAGCCGGCCTCCTCCCGCCCCCAACGACTGCCCCATCAAGGGCGGAAGTGGAACGCGTCCCGCGAATGCGCGACACCGGCGGGGGATGTCTGCTCTCCTATTGGTTCCGGTCAACGCAAATCCCGCCTTCTAAGGTTCCTCTCTCACGTCCTTGGCGAGAGACCACATCCAATCAATGTTGGCCTCGGTCGCGCGGAAGGGGCGGCCCTATGGTGCGTCATGGAATCCGCCCGTCTCTGGGGCAACGCCTCCTCCTCCGCGACCCGAACGGAAATAGCGGGTTCTTGGGCCAATCGCAGTGCCGTGCCTTTACAGTGAGGCCAATGGAGGAGTGAATAGGCGTGAGCTCGCGTCTGAGCGGCAGCACCCGTATCCAATGGGCGGCTGAGAGCGGCCCGGGCGCAGAGCAGGGGCGGGCTCAGGGGCGGTGCCACGACCTGCCAGCCCGCCCGCCCGTCCGCCCGTCCGCCCTCCTCCCCCTCGGCCGGCTCGGCGCTTCGGCGTTGCCCGTGGGGTCCTTTCCGCCTGGTCCCCGCCTGCCAGCGCCCGCTGTGCTGCGCCCTGTCCGGCGAGGTCTGGAGCCGACACCACCGCCATCATGCCGGCCGTGTCCAAGGGCGATGGGATGCGGGGGCTCGCCGTCTTCATCTCCGACATCCGGAACTGTGAGCTCGCGGTCGGGGGGCGCAGAGGAGACGCGGCGGGGGAGGTGGTGGTCGTCGGGAGAGGGAGCGCGGAATTTGGGGGTGTTTGGGGGACGGTCACGGGAGGGGACTCGGGCACGGGGATACAAAGCCTTGGCGGTCGAGATGCGACGCTAGAGGGGCTCCTGGGGAAACTTTGGGGTGAGGGAATGGGGGGGTTGGGGTGTCGTAAGGTGTCTTTTTGAGGTGATGACGCGAATGGCTCGGGAGTCCGGTGAGGGAAGAGGCTGGTGAGGTCCTGGGGCTGGAGGCACGGAGGTGTCCCCTGGGAATGAGAGGAAAGCTGGAGGTGTCCTACAAAAGTCCCCGCCGCAGGGCGCATCATGGGGGGCAGCCGCTTGGGGGTGAGGGGGGTCGGCAGGGAGCCGGGCCTGAGGGCCGCGGAGAAGGGGTGTCATAGAAGGGATGGGGCTTGCCAGGGCACTAAGGACTGCGGGGGTGGTGGACAGCTGGGGAGTTGGGGGAGGAGAGCTGCGAAGAGGGGTCCTAGGCGTCCCCGATAACAGTGGGCAGGGAGTGGGCGCAGGTGCATGGGCCTCAGAGAACCTGGGATTTGGGAGTCAGGGCCTGCAGAGGAGGGGACGCTGGAGAGGCTGTGCGTGGGAGGGCTCAGGGGCTTGTGGGAGAGATGCATGACATGGGGGGAGCAGGGAACCTGGCCCTAGAGAGAGGGGTCAGGGGTCAAGCTGGACCTGGGTCTGGGTCCATCCCCCCATGTGACCCCAGCAATGGATCCCTGGCAGAAGGGGTTGTCGTGTCGTTCCCAGATCCTGGGAGGGAGTTACTATGAGTGCTGGGAGCTGTGGAGTGCCAGTAGATGCCGTCCCCGCGTGGGGCTGCAGGGTCAGCCAGGCAGGGTCAGCCAGACCCAGGTTAAGAGTGGAGCTGGAGTGTGGGGACTCCATAGCCGAGTGACCTTGAAGGTGACGGGGGGGGGGTTCTTCACCAATGAGGGTCCTTACCTGTCAGGAGAGGCAGCTGGTGCCACCCCCCAGGTGTGGGCGAGAGCCTGCGTGTGTGTGTGTGTGAGAGGCTCCAGGCAGGGTCTTGGCTGTCATGTGGCGGCTCTGTGGAGTGTCTGCTGCCAAGAGCCCCGGGCACTGAACCATCCTGGAGGGGCTCTGCTCCCTGCCATGGGACTCTGGGCCAGTCATGTGACCCATCCTGGGCGGCAGACTGGACGCATGGCAGTGCACTGCCTCAGGACACGGCTTCATTCATTTGTCCATCCCATGACCCAGTTGAAGGACTTTGTCAGTGTGAGGCCCTGCTCTGGGTACCTGGGCTGCTGCAGGTCCCCAAGGAGGGAGGCAGGAACGTGTGGGAGCAAGGGAGGCGAGGGGTGCTGTGAGTGGAGGGAGGAGAGAGGAGCTGGGTAGGGGAAGGGGGTACAGATGGGGGCAAAGAGAGGGGCTCTGGGGGCCCTGGTGAGCTCTGTGACCTTTCCTGGGGGCCAGCTGTTGTTTCCCGTGATTCCTGTGGCTGCTGGGAGGAAACCCAAAAATTAGGGACCAAGGCGGGAGCAGGGAACCCTTTGGATGCCTCCGCCCTCGAAGGCCTGCAGGAAAGAACTAGTGCTGGCTTGGCACTGTGTGTGTGTGTGTGTGTGTGTGTGTGTGTGTGTGTGTGTGTGT